TCTAGAAACAATTAAACCATTTCTTCCACCTGAAGAGTCAAAGCGCTGGTCACAGCAAAGGGAAACTAAAACCAAAGATGGAGACAACCAGTCTGATGAATCCAGAGAATTAAAAACTCAGATGGTGGACAAAGACGTGAAAGTCCCCCAACAAGAAATCAGGCCCAGGACCATTAGAGTTAGTGACAAACAGAAAATAGGTGTGAGGTGTTCAGCTGGTGCTGTGATGGAGGTGGCTACTCAAACATCTCAAATAGTCCTAGACGTTCCTACAAAACTACAGAAGGTTCGACATTTCATCACATCTGAGATGGCCGAAACACCCTGTGATGTCTCTGTGATGTCCAAAGAGCAGTTAAAGTATAAAACACTTGGACAGGTAATGTCAACTGAAACTAAAGCTAAAGCACCAGAACCAGATGGACTGAAGTCCCAAAATCAACTAGAACCAGGGGGTTTAAAGTCTCAAAATCAACTACAACTGGATGGATTAAAGCCCCAAAATCAACTAGAACCAGGGGGTTTCAAGTCCCAAAATGAAGTAGAACCAGGTGAACTCCAATCCCAAAATCAATTAGAACCAGGGTGTTTAAAGTCCCAAAATCAACTAGAACCGGATGGACTAAAGTCCCAAAATCAACTAAAACCAGGGGGTTTAAAGTCCCAAAATCAAGTAGAACCAGATGGACTAATATCCAAAAATCAACTACAACCAGATAGACTAAAGTCCCAAATTCAACTAGAACCAGGTGAACTAAAATCCCAAAGTCAATTAGAACCAGGGGATTTTAAGTCCCAAAATCAACTAGAACTGGATGGACTAAAGTCCCGCAATCTATTAGAACCAGAGGTTTTAAAGTCCCAAAATCAACTAGAACCAGGGGGTTTAAAGTCCCAAAATCAACTAGAACTGGATGGACTAAAGTCCCGCAATCTATTAGAACCAGAGGTTTTAAAGTCCCAAAATCAACTAGAACAAGGGGTTGTACAGTCCCAAAGACATCTGGAACCAGGGGATATAAAGTCCCAAATTGTACTGGAACCAGGAGGTGTAAAGTCCCAAAATCAACTACAACCAGGGGGTGTAAAGTCCCAAAATCAACTAGAACCAGATGGACTTACGTCCCTAAATCTATCTGAACCAGGTGGACTAAAGTCCCAAAATCAACTACAACCGGGTGGTCTAAAGTCCCAAAATCAATCTGAGACAGGGGGTTTAAAGTCTCTAAATCAACTAGAACCAGATGGACTAAAGGCCCAAAATCAACTAGAACAAGGGGGTGTACAGTCCCAAAGTCAACTAGAACCAGGGGGTTTAAAGTGTCAAAATCAACTACAACTGGATGGACTAAAGTCCCCAAATCAACTACAACCCGGGGGTGGAAAGTTCCAAAGTCAGCTAAAACCAGGGGGTGGAAAGTCCCAAATTCTTCTAGAACCAGGGGGTGTAAAGTCCCATAGTGAACTGGAACCAGGGGGTATAAAGTCCCATAGTCAACTGGAACTAGGGGGTTTAACATCCCAAAGTCAACTACAACCAGGGAGTTTTAAGTCCCAAAATCAACAACAACCACAGGGTGTAAAGTTTCAAAGTCAACTAAAACCAGGAGGTGGAAAGTCCCAAATTCTACTAGAACCAGGGGGTGTAAAGTCCCAAAGTCAAATGAAACCTGGGGATATAAAGTCCCATAGTCAACTGGAACTAAGGGATGTAACGTCCCAAAGTCAACTACAACCAGGGGGTTTAAAGTCCCAAAATCAACTAGAACCAGATGGACTCAAGTCCCAAAATCTATCTGAACCAGGTGGACTAAAGTCCCCAAATCAACTAGAACTGGGTGGTCTAAAGTCCCAAAATCAATCTGAGACAGGGGGATTAAAGTCCCAAAAGCAAATAGAGCCAGGTGGACTAATGTCCCAAGAACCACTAGAACAATTATTTGGGGACGTTCTAGACACAGCTGAACGATTTCTTTCACCAGTGTCAAAATGCTCATCACAGCAAAGGCAAACTAAAACCAAAGATAGAAACAACCAGTCAAAGGAATCACCAGAGTTAAACAGTCAGAAGGTGGTCAAAGATGTTAAAGTCCCACCAAAGGAAGCCAGGTCCAGGACCATTAGCATTAGTGACAACTACAGTGAAATATGTATGATTGTACCTGAAACCAAACAGGAAGTAGGTATGAGGTGTTCAGCTGGTGCTCCGATGGAGGTGGCTTCTGAAGCATCTCACATAGTTCTAGACGTTCCTACAAATCTACAGAGGGTCCAACATTTCATCACATCTGTGATGACTGAAACATCCTTTGATGTCCCTCTGATGTCCAAAGAGCCTTTAAAGGATGGGATACTTGGACAGGTAATATCAAGTGAAACTAAAGCTAAAATATCAGAAACCGGTGTATTTAAGTCCCAGGATCAACTAGAACCGATAGTTGGAGACATTCCAGAAGCAGCTAAACCATTTCTTCCACCTGAAGAATCAAAATGCTGGTCACAGCAAAGGGAAAGTAAAACCAAAGATAGAGACAACCATTCAGATGAATCTAGAGAATTAAAAAGACAGATTGTGGACAAAGATGTTAAAGTCCCCCAACAGGAAGTCTGGTCCAGGACACATGGGGTTAGTGACAACTACGGTCAAATAAGTCTGATTGTACCCGAAACCAAACAGGAAGCAGGTTTGAGGTGCCCAGCTGGTGCTGTGATAGAGGTGGCATCTGAAACATCTCACATAGTCCTAGACATTCCTACAAAACTGCAGAGGGTCCAACAATTCATCACATCTGAGACGACCAAAACACCCTGTGATGTCTCTGTGATGTCCAAGGAGTCTTTACAGGATGGGACACTTGGACAGGTAATATTAAGAGAAACTAAAGCTAAAACATCAGAACTAATGCTCCAAGATAAACTAGAACCAGGTGGACTGAAGTCCCAAGATCAACTAGAACCAGGTGGACTGAAGTCCCAAGATAAACTGGAACCAGGTGGACTGAAGTCCCAAGATCAACTAGAACCATGTGGACTGAAGTCCCAAGATAAACTAGAACCAGGTGGACTGAAGTCCCAAGATAAACTAGAACCAGGTGGACTGAAGTCCCAAGATAAACTAGAACCAGGTGGACTGAAGTCCCAAGATCAACTAGAACCAGGTGGACTGAAGTCCCAAGATAAACTAGAACCAGGTGGACTGAAGTCCCAAGATAAACTAGAACCAGGTGGACTGAAGTCCCAAGATAAACTAGAACCAGGTGGACTGAAGTCCAAAGATAAACTAGAACCAGGTGGACTGAAGTCCCAAGATAAACTAGAACCAGGTGGACTGAAGTCCCAAGATAAACTAGAACCAGGTGGACTGAAGTCCAAAGATAAACTAGAACCAGGTGGACTGAAGTCCCAAGATAAACTAGAACCAGGTGGACTGAAGTCCCAAGATAAACTAGAACCAGGTGGACCAAAGTCTGAAGATCTAGTAGAACCGATAGTTGGGGAGGTTCTAGAAACAGCTAAACAATTTCTTCCACTTGAAGAGTCAAAATGCTGGTCACAGCAAACGGAAAGTAAAACCAAAGATAGAGACAAACATTTAGATGAGCCCAGAGATTTAAAAACACAGATAGTGGACAAAGATGAAAAAGTCCCTCAACAGGAAGTCATGTCTAAGACCATTAATGTTAGTGACAACTATGGTCGTATAAGCATGATTTTACCTAAGACAAAACAGGAAGTATGTGTGAGGTGTTCAGCTGGTCCTGTGATGACAGTCGCTCCTCAAAACCATCTCATTACCAAAGAAGTAGATTTAAAATCGGATTCTGTTAAAAGGTTTAGAGCTGCAGATGAGCTGGTGGAGGTTCAGACAGCAGGAAATAAACTGTATGAGTCAGTGAGTCCAGAATCTATAGAGGCCTCAGCTCAGGCTTTAAAGGATGGGACTCAGGTGAACAGGATCAAGAGAGACAATTCACCAATAAGTGAGGAAGGTAAAAGCAGTTGGAGGAAATCAGATGGACAAGTTGAGCATTTTCAATCTAAAACCACCACAGGAAAAGACAATTTGAATCAAGTTTCCAGGCAAGAAAAAATGAAGGAAACTGCTCTTAAAACATCTGTAACAGCTGTGGTGGATACCACTCCATCAACTGCATACAAGCTTGTTTACCACAATGAGTCGAATGTGGAAACCAGTAGAAACTCTGACATTCCAGCCAAACCCCTAGAGTTCCTGCAGGGCCTAGAAACATCAGACCTGACCTTACAGGCTCAGAACAATACCAGCTCATCTACTGATGGTCCAGCTACAGGAACTGAAACCAAGACCAAGAACGCTGTAACATCAGCAGCAACATCTGGAACTGAAGGGAGTTTCAAAGAATCAGATCACATATCAGAAACATTCACCAAAAACACACAAGTGCTAAAGCAGGATGCTGAAGCTAATGTAGACGCTGCAGGAGTTAAAGAACTTATCAAAGGTCAGCAGTTCATCAACCCAACCAATGAGCTTCATCGATTTCAGAAAACCCCCAGGCTGAACTATGAGCCCAAAGTCAGCGAGCCTTCAGTAACAGATCTAACGAAAACTAGAACCACCAGCTACACAACAGAACCTTCACCGTCCACCAACAGGAAGCAGGAATGGACTGAAGTGGCCGAAGACCAGAATGTTCAGTCCATCGTAGAAACCTGCAGAGGTACAGCGGTTAAATGGTCACTGAGCACGTTTCTGATCTGAGCACCAAACATCATCAAGCATGGTCGCACTGGGACTCTGTCATGGGAACTTCATGTCACGTCACTCATCATGTCTGGACACAAAATGTTTTTAGCACTTATTCTGAAAACCACCTGATCACAAGACATTGATGTTGGGTTTTCCTCACAGTTGTCTTAATTCAATTTGTTTTGTCTGTCATATTTAGCAGGAAACGGCTGTTTCGCTTCTGCTTTCTGTGTTAATGTGGTTCTGACTGTTGTGTTCTTTTATGTTCAAGTTCCTGCGAAGAAAGTATCAGCACCGGTGGCTGCTCTTCCACAAGGTATGCAACGTGTTGGAAATAGAACACACTCTTCCTCAAACCCTAACCCACACTCTTCTAGATGGTGATCTTCAGTTACAGCCTGAGACATCTGGTGTTTGGGCTTCAGATGAAGAGGCTCTGTGTTGATTTCACTCTTTAATCTGTGCTTAAAGCTGCTGGCAGAGTCTCAGAAGATACCCAAAGTCCTGAAGAAAAGAGGGTGGCTCAGCCAGAAGAAACAAAGCCAGGTACCCAGACAACAATATTTAGGAAATCCCGTCTTTAATCAGATTTTACAAAACTTCAGGTTGACCTTTTCTTTTGATTTAAGTGACAAAGACACAGCCAGTTGTGAAGCCTGAAGAACCAACCAAAGAGCTTCCAGAAGAGAAAAAAGCAGCTGTGATAGAAAAAGTGTCTCCAGTGTCAGGTAGAGATCTCTAAAGACCTGAGACAAATATTTTCTTCTCACCTAATATTAATTGCTACAGATGGTCTTTATTGATGTTGGGTCTGAGTGATGCTGCTGATTTTTATGCTGGAGCATCAAGAAGCAGCGTGGTCTCCATGTGTTCAGTTAAATCAGGTGGAACTTCACGGCCCAGCTCTTCATCCCTCCACCTGCTTCATGTTTCTAATGATGATGAACTAGTTCATATCTAATGTGTAGACCCCATCGTCTCTGTTCATGGTCCCACATCCACGTCTCCTTATCTCTATAGCTTCTTTTATCCATCTTTTGTATTTCTGTTGTTCGGTGTTTATGATCTGTGTGTTGTCCCAGTCCATTACATGCTCTTCTCTTCTGCAGTGATCTGTTACGGCTGACTTCTTTATTGTGCTTTCTGCTTCTTGTTTTGCTGCTCTTGTGTGTCTTTGACTTGTTTCTCTCTCGCACTCCTTTCTATGTTCTATTGTTCGTGTGTTGAGTTGGCGTCCGGTTTCTCCTATGTATGTTTTACTGCAGAGTGTGCATGGGATTTTGTAAACGACTCCACATTTAATTCCAGCTGGTATCTTGTCTTTTGGGTGTGCTAGTCTGTTTCTAACTGTTGTGTATGGCTTTGTTGGTGTGTTTATGTTGTGTTTTTTCATTGTTGCTCTTATTTTTCTGTTATGCCTCTGATGTATGGTAGGGTTATCACTGGTTTTGGTTCTTGTCTTTCTGGGTTTCTGGTTCTTTGCTTTGGTTGTTCTTTTCTTTCTGTTGTTGTTTGTTTTTTTCCTGTTTATTGTCCATGTCGGGTATCCGCAGGTGTTTAAAGTGTATTGTATGTGTTTGTCTTCTTGTTTACGGTCTCTTTCTTCTGCTATCATGTTTGCTCGGTGATATAATGTTCTGATTACTGACATGTTGTGTATGGTGGGGTGTTCTGATGTCCATAATAGATACTGGTCTGTGTGTGTTGGTTTCCTGTATGTGTTTATGTTTAGGGTCCCGTCGGTCTGCCTGCTTATTTTCATGTCCATAAATTCTAGCATTGACGATGGGTTCTACACATTGGACCGTGAATGGGACTGCATCATCGGAGAGGGGAGAGCGGGTAGTTCATATCTAACTCTCTGACTGTGTCTTTGTGTTAGATAAAAGCAAAGGACCTGTTCAGGCACCTGGTGGAGTTCAGAAAGGTAAGATGATAAATTCCCCCAACACCTGGTAAATACCTGAGCATCATCACTAACATCTTCAGTTACACTTGCTCAGAGAAATCTGATTTTAACATTTAGAAGCAAATTGTTTTATTAATGTTTACATTTCTCAGTAATTTAGTAATTATTATGTTTATATATTTAGGTGTAGTTTGTGTATATTTTATGATGTTCGTGGAAATATTGGTGTGTCAGTCATGTGTCCTTTAGTAATGTCAGAACTTTTGATACCTCAGAACCAGTTCTGCACAAAAAGGGTAAAATTCGTATAGAAGAGGAAGGCACATTTGAAATTCCTACCTTAAGAAAAGCAACTAGATTCATGAAGGAGGAGGAAGAGGAGCATGAAATGATAACACTGAAGAAGATTCCACCAGTTCCACCAAAAGAGCCTGAAGAGGAGGAAAAACCTCAGAAAGTGATTCACACCACCGTTTTTGATGCTGAGGGTATGGTACGTGAAGAAGAGGCTGTTGAGATGTCAGCGATCACGAGAACTGTAGAAGAGAGGAAGCCTCGAGAGAAAGCTGATGTGTTGAAAAAGCCACACGTCATCCAACCTAAACTGGAGGAACAAAAGGAGGCTCCTAAAGGTGCATGGACCCACCAGAAACTTGCTCCAAAAGATGGAAAACCAGAAGACAAGATTCCTCTAAAGAAAACTCCCAAAGAACCAAAGGAGGAAGAACCATGCCAACCTGACGCAGCCTTAAAGAAAGTTAAAAAGTTGCCTTTTACTGATGCTGAACCAGAAGTAGTCAAGCTCAAACCTTTTGAGAAGCCTCCTGAACCATCAGAGGAACCAGAGAAAGAAAAGACAGAAAGGACAGCTAGGGACGCTGTTCCTTTCAAGAAGGGAGAGAGGATTCCCAAAGAGGTGGAACCCAAGGCAACCACAAAGCAACCCGTGGAGGCACCTGCTGAAAAACAGGAGCCCCCATCTAAGGTGCCTAAACCAGTAGCTAAGAAGGAAACTCCAGAGAAGTATCCTGAAGAGGTCAAAGCACCCACCAAAGTGAGGAAAATGCTAACAGCAGACCAGGGGATGGACAGCGTCAAGCTGAAATCAATTTCCAAATCCGCCAAAGAAGCTGCAGAGCCTGAAAAGAAAGCAGCAGATGAGATAAAGAGGAAACAATCTGATCACCTTGAACGTCATCGCAGAATTCCAGATGAAAAACAAAAATCTAGAGAGCCAGAAGCAAAGCCAATTAAACCTGATACACCTGAGGCTCCAAAGAAAAAGCCAGAGGGACCAAAGGAGGTAGAAGTCGTTCCAGTAATGAAGACAGCTCCTACTCCAGCACCTGAAAAGAAACTTTTCCCTGAAAAGGTTCCCAATGAGGGCAAACCTCTGGAATTGAAGAAAGGATCCATACCCGAAGAAAAGGAAGAGAAAGAAGAAGTTTGTCTGAAGCCCTTGGGACAACTGAAGAAGGTGGAGTTGAAAAAGACACCATCTCCTAAAGTTGAGAAGCTTAAAGAAGCAGAGACAGTTCTACCAGAAAGGAGGCCAAGCAGTGAAAAACTCAAAAAGGTTCCAAAAACCCTTTCACCTAAAGACTCACCTGAAGTGGTACCTCTGAAAACAGCCCCAAGGAAACCGTCTCCAGAAGAGACCAAGGCCGTCAGACCAACAGAACCCACTAAAGGCAAAGTTCCTCTGGTGAAGGAGGTCTCTCCTAGAGCTATCCAAATAAAAAAGGTGGCCACTCAGTCAGAGGAGGAGGTCTATGAAGAGTTTGAAGCAGAGGAGAAAGCCCATCTGGAAGAAGAGGAGGCCTGGGGCTGGGAACTGGTTCCACGGGACAGTCGTGGCTCAGAGGACTGGGAAGATGAAGAAGGAGATGGTGCTCTGGAGGTTCCAGGGGTGACCAGGAGAGGTGAGATGGTGGATTCTCCAACATATGGGTTGGTGACCAAGAACAACCACCTGTTCATGGCTTGAATCATTTCCACCATAATGCCTCCATCCTCTCCTTTGTCTTTGTCATTGTCATCTTCATCTGTCTACCTTCCAGCATCAACCTGTTCATCCATCTCATGTGTTTACACCATCCTGTTATCTCCTAATGAAAACCGTAAAGTTCTGTTATCATTATCATCATCCTACTTTTGTCTGCCTTCATTGTCCTGTTTAACAAGATTCTCCCTGAATCTTCAAACATCTCTGCAAACATCCCATAATGACCAAAGCAGCAAACTAACAGTGATTTTTTCTGAACAGAGGGACAACCGGCAGAGGAAGCAGGAAGAGGCAGAGGCAGGGGACTGAAACGTAAGTCTGCTGAAGACCTTTCAGATCCAGTGAGTGCTGATGGTCACAGCTGATTGTGTGTTGATTGTATTTTAGCCAAACAGACTCCTTCCCCTGGAGAGGGCCGGGGCCGTGGAATGAAGCCAGGCGGCAGGGGCCCAACCCCACCAGAGGAACCATTTGCAGGATTCAAACTCAAAGCTGTCCCTCTGAAGTTCATCAAGAAGCTTCAGGACATTGTTCTACAGGAGGCCGAGTCCATTGGATCCTCTGCTGTGTTTGAGTGCGAGGTATCGCCCTCTACTGCTGTCACTTCCTGGATGAAGGACGGTGGTAATCTCCGTGAGAGTCCCAAACACAAGTTCACCTCTGATGGTAAAGACCGTAAGCTGCACATCATTGATGTCCAGCTGTCTGACACGGGTGAATACACCTGTGTGGCTAAGAATGCTGGCAAGGAGATTACATGCACCGCCAAGCTGATCGTGGAAGGTATTCCCATTTTGTTCACACTTTAAATAATGTATTCCTCAATTTCGATTCATGTAAAATGCTGTTTTCTTTCAGAGCTTCCTGTAAAATGGATCAAAGAGCTTGAATTGGAGACATCTGCTATAAAAGGCCAGCCTATCTACATGACCTGTGAGCTGAACAAAGAGAGAGACGTGGTCTGGAAGAAAGATGGCGAAGTCCTGAAGACAAAGGAAGGCAAGATTCAGATTAATGTCATCGGCATGCAACATGCTGTGACCATCCAGAACTCCACCGAGGAGGACGCTGGTGCTTATTCATGTGAAGTTTCTGGCCAGGAAGATGTCAAGACCACTACAAACGTCAAAATCATCGGTAAGACGAGAAAGACATTAGAAATGTCCCTGACTTTACCTGAATCAGCATCTCTACATGCTTCGTCTTAATCCTACTCTGTGTTCTTCACTCAAAACATTGACTGTTGCATTCACATAGTCACAGGGTGTGCTGATGTCTTCCTCAGAAAGGAACCCTGATCCTGGACCACTGTTCTGGGATTTGGTGTCAATCTAACTTTAAAAGATTGTTTCTAAAACCAAAGAGGTGGCACAGCCACCCAGCCAGAGGTACCTAGGGACTGCTCTAGATGAAAGGTTTATCTTTCACCCCCTCATAGATCCACTTAGTAAGAAGACTATTCAGTCAATGCATTTTTATTCTGAACTCGGTGGTTTCAATGAAAATTCTACTTTATTAAGAAGGTTTTGTTCTTGAGTGTGTTCAATTTTAGTTTCATCCGTTGCTTCAGACTTTGGAAGGGGCTCTTGGGCATCGATGGGGCGTGCAGCCACATTGCTGGCACAGCCCTCAGTAACCTCAATGGTGTGCACAAGGCCGAGCCATTTTTAAAGGATTTCATGTGGCATGTGTGTTGTTTTTATGTTGTTGTGTTTGTAAACACGGTTCTGACACCAGTGGCCCCTAGAGGATAAAACCTCTTGATCGTGAATCCGAAGCCACCTTGTCTGCTAAAACTCTGAAGCAAACGAGTGAGGCCAAAGGAAGTTAACCAACGACGATAAAGTTTGAAGCTGATTTTGGTTTCCTGTCTGATCAGACACTGGATGCCAGAACCTGACTCTGATGTTTGACTCCAACAGAAATCATCAAAGACTGGATAGTGAGACCACTTAGAGACCAGCACGTGAAACCAAAGGCCGCTGCTACATTTAAATGTGAGCTCTTTAAAGACACCCCCAACTGGAAATGGCTCAAAGGAGAGAATGACATCACTCCATCGGACAAAGTTGAGATCAAGAAGGATGGAAAGGAGCTGACTCTGACCATCAAGAACTGCCAGCCGGACGATGTAGCTGAATATGCCATGGAAGTAGAAGGACGTGTCTACACCGCCAAACTTACACTTGGAGGTTCCTTCTCACTTTAGTCCTTTAATTACCTCACTCAGTTAATTGTGTGCCAGAATTTTATATATGAGTACTGATGACTTGTTTGCAGAGCGGGAGGCTCAGATCCTGAAGCCCCTGACTAGTGTCGAGGTGATAGAGAGGGAAGACGCTATGTTTGAAACGGAGATATCTGAGGATGATGTTCCAGGGGAATGGAAACTCAAAGGAGAAGCTCTAACCAGATCTCCAGTAAGGAAGGCGCTTTCATAACGTTTCACATTTTAGCATGTCAGAATTGACTGTTTTAATATCAATGTAATGTGATTGTCAGACGTGTGACATCCAAATGGACGGTGCAGTGCGTAGGCTCACTCTGAAAAACTGCCAGCTGGATCAGGCTGGAGAAGTGTCCTACCAGGCTCTGAATGCTGCCACAACTGCAATGCTGACTGTCAAAGGTAAGAGGTGCACCAGGTTACAAGCAAAAGCACACCGGACCCCGTTTCTTGGATATTAGCCATGAAAACAGATGTTTGATCTGTGGCGATTCAGAAAAGTCCGTAAGGGACACGTCAGAGAACTGTCCCTGCAAACAGCCAAGGTCGCATGGACGTGTAGATCATGTCTATATTAAGTATGTCGGTCCAGAACACGTCTGTAGGATGTACAAACTAGGTCTTTGCACAGTGGGTTAGGTCTTTTCTTAACAGGGCTGACACAATGACTGTTGGTGCTATTTTGTGCACCCTCGGAGAACAAGCAGGAACTTTTCTGTGGACGTGACATTTCCTTGGAGTGTGTTTTTATGTCTGTCTGATTCCGTCTGTCTGCAGATGTCACTTTTACCTGTACTCCACAACGATGTTTGTCAATGTCTCTTGTCACATAGTTTCAATTTTCACAACATAAATCATCCCAGCAGGCCTTTGCGTTAGAGCTAGACCAGAAGTAGGTCGAGGCCTCTCATCACATCTAAGGCACAGTAGAAGAAGACTGGCCTGAAGGGTGAAGACCTGCTGCTAAATGAGCTTCAGGCTTTTCCACCTTCGGGGAGTTATTAAACATCCTCCTCCTGACCATCCAGCAGGAGCTGATGTCTCCAAAGCTTAACTCAGGAATGGAGTGATAAAAAGACGTGTCATGTGACCTGTTGTAGTTGATGTGCTATCACTGTGTTTGACCAGAAATCGAAATGGATTTTATCGTCCCGCTGAAGGACGTTTCAGTGCTTGAAAAGAAACAGGCTAAGTTTGAATGCACCATCACGAAGGATGTCACTAAGGTCATGTGGTATAAAGGGGCTGACATCATCACCCCAGACCAAAAGTATGACATCATCTATGATGGAAAGAAGCACATGCTGGTCATAAACAGCTGTGAGTTTGAAGATGAGGACGAATATACGATTGAAGTTCTTGGAAAAACATCAACAGCGAGACTGACGGTGGAGGGTAAGTCCTGCAGAGGAGACAGAGAAACGTTTGAGTGTCTTCACTGAGCTGGTTAACTCATGGTTTCAATAATACAATTTTAGGTGTCAGGCTCAAATTTATCTCACCATTAAAGGACCAAACGGTAAAAGAGGGCCAAACGGCTCGCTTTGAGCTGGAGCTCTCCCACGAGAACATTCCTGTCACCTGGTTCAAGAACGATGTAAAACTTCACCCGAGTCGCACCGTTGTCACCCACGTGGACGGAAAGAAGCACCTTCTAGAAATAAAAGATGTGACCTTAGATGATATCTGTCAAATTAAGGCTGAGGCCAAAGGATTTCCCTGCATGGCCAACCTGACAGTTATAGGTAAACCAAGAACCTTTCTTCTGTTTCGTCTTCAGTGTTTGTCTGTCCACAAAGTCTTCCTTCTGTCTCTGCTGGCAGAAGTTTTCTGTGTTGTCTTTCCTGTTCTCCTCACCCATCTTCATTGAGAATGTTCCTGCGTGCGTCCTACATTTGACGTCACCTGAACTGTCCTCGTTTCAGAGGGAGATCCTTATTTCACAGTGAAACTGCAGGACTACACAGCAGTGGAGAAAGACAACGTAGTTCTAGATTGTGAGCTCAGCAAGGATGTTGATGTCATGTGGTATCACAACGAGTCCGAGATCAAGTGCTCTAAGGTGGTGGCCATCAAAGCAGAGGGCAACCGCAGAACCCTGGTCCTCAGGAAGGTTGGGGACAAAGACAAAGGACAGTATGTTTGTGACTGTGGAACAGACAAGACCACAGCAGAGCTTCACATCGAAGGTAAAGACTGAGTGGAGATGTGGTTCCTCTCTTGAGGTTCCTTCAACCCTCCTGGATGTACACCTTCACCTGCATCTAACTTCACCTCATGTCCGCCTTCGACCATTTTGTCAGTTTACATTTTTCTTATTTTCTTCAAATCATGAACATCATGTCAAAACATGTCTCTTCTTCACGAGTGTTTATGTCTGACGCCGAGTGATAAAACGTCTGAACTCTCTTGGATCAGACTGAGTTTTGCCGTCTTCGTCCCTTATAGTTTGTCTTTGTGGTGAATCTAACAACCATCTCTCATTCCAACAAACGAACCTTCTTACTGATGCTGATGCTTTCATATGGCACAGCTTCTCTTTGGGTGATTTCACCGCCTGTAGGTTATTTACGGTTCTCTTGTGTACTAACACCTGGTAGTGGCTGTCCGTCATCTGTGTGTGACTACATGTGTCCCAGTGTGTGTGTGTTTGTTCTTTTACACCTCTGAATATCCTCAGTAAGATCTTTGTTCCGTCTCTTGAACATCAGCTCGTCACATCAAGGTGGTTCGGCCCATGTATGGTGCTGAGGTGTTGGAGGGAGAAACGGCTCGGTTTGAGGTGGAGCTCAGCGAGGACGACGTTCACGGCCAGTGGAAACTAAACGGAGATGTTCTCAGTCCTTCTGCTGTATGTTCCAGCTGAATCCAAACCTTAAATCTACGATGTTTACACCCGAGATCTGCTCCAGTTTCTTACATCATCCATTCCTGACAATTACAAGTGTGCTAATGAAATCATGTTTTGTTTTGCTGAGACGCTGATGTTTGTTGGCCTCCTGCAGGACGTAGAGATTGTGGAGGATGGTGCCAAGCACACTCTGGTGTTGTACAACTGCAAAGTGCCTCAGACAGGCGAGCTGGTGTTCGCTGCCGCTAACGCCAGGTGTTCCGCCAACCTGAAAGTAAAGGGTGAGCTGTTACTCCTCGCTCTGCCGCCTTTCAGGGTTTTCACGACCCAAATCAAAGTTGATGCTGTGAGATACAGTGACAGTTATTTACGTCATTGGAGCCAAACCCGGAATAACAAGGATTATTACATGTAAACGGTGGTTTGGCACTCCACACACTCCACCTGAATTATAACCTTTTATGTCTGAACCAACAGAACTTCATGTCTCGTTTATCACGCCACTCACTGACGTGCACGTCTACGAAAAGGACGAGGCAAAGTTTGAGCTGGAAATTTCTCGAGAACCTAAAAGTTACCGTTGGCTGAAGGGAACACAGGAGCTGTCAAACAACGAGAAGTTTGAAATCCTGGTTGACGGCAAACGACACGCTCTTGTTGTGAAATCGGCCAGGTATGAAGATGAAGCCAAGTACATGTTTGAGGCTGAAGATAAGAGGACCTCTGGAAAACTGGTTGTCAAAGGTAAAAGAAGCTGTGGACTCGAGGACGTCTGTCTTTGCTAGAAGTCGTCTGTGCTAAAAGCCTGGAAACAGGAAAAGATCTTCAGATCTGATTTGCTTTTTTCTGCTGTTTTCAAAAGGTTCCAGCCAATCTTTGAAGTCTTAGATCTTAGTTTTCTGAATGATCTTTTGTCGTATCTGTTATAATCAGCCTGAGGGCAAAAGGCTCTTCCATCCCCACAGAAAATCAACCATTTTATTCATAAAATCATCTTTGAAGGTCCAGCAGCACCAACTGAAGCCTGACCCCAGCTAAACCCACTAGCTTCACATGTTCACAGCCAGGACGATGTTGCTTACTTCCCAATGAATGTCATTTGTTTGTCAGGTATTCGCCTAGAGTTTCTCAAGCCAATTAAAGACGTGACTGTGAAGGAACGTGAAACTGCACAGTTCAGTGTCGAGCTGTCTCATGAAAAGATCCCAGTAGTTTGGTACAAAAATGACGTCCGGCTGCATCCCAGTAAAGTGGTGCACATGTCCGAGAGAGGACAGGTCCACACGCTGGCCTTCAAGGAGGTAACACTCGATGACACCTCCATCATCAAGGTGGAAGCCTTGGGGAAAACATCGGAGGCCATGCTCACTGTTCTGGGTTAGTGAAGCCACGCAGCAGGATGCTCTGTTGTGACGTTTCTCTTCGTTTCCAGCTGTTTTGTGGTGAATCAGCTCCTGCGGGTTTTTGTTTGCAGAGGGCGACCTCTACTTCACAGCAAAGCTCCAGAACTACTCAGCTGTGGAGAAGGATGAGGTGATCTTGTCTTGTGAACTGAGCAAGACCACTGCCGAGGTCAAATGGTTCAAAGATGGAAAAGAATTGTTTCCATCTAAGAATATATTCTTCCAGTCTGATGGGAAGAAGCGCATCCTTGCCATTAAGAGAGCATCAAAGACAGACCTGGGAGCGTACACCTGTGACTGTGGTACCGACAGAACCACCGCAGAACTGAACATCGAAGGTAATCTCTACAACCACGCCCACAGAGCCTCCAGATGGCAGGATCAAGCACCGCCCGCCACATCTTTGTGTTGTTTGTCTGTCCTCACCACCCTCCATCTTTACATCCAACCCTTAGTTTCACTGATTATGAGTGAAAACCTACAATAACCTATGATCAGACTTCTGTGTTGTCTTTGTCCACTGTAAGTCTGGACAGCCCCTTGTCCATCCTGTCTTCATGCTCACCCCAGAAACCTGGCTGTGGCGTCTTCTAACGTTCACTTCCACCTCCACAGAGCGAGACATTAAAGTTGTCCGTCCGCTGTACAGCGTGGAGGTCACCGAGACAGAGACCGCCACGTTTCAGATCGAGATTTCTGAGGCAGACCTCCACGCGACGTGGAAACTGAAGGGAGAGATGCTTCACCCCTCCGCTGTAAGGAAACTCCACGACCCCGCGGTCCCACTGAGCCCACCTGTGCTGTTCTGTAACATCTGTTTAGCGAGTCGGACTTGAACTCTGCATGTTTGTTGTCAGGATGTTGAAATTAAAGAGGAAGGAGCTCGGCACACGCTGACCCTCTTCAACTGCAGGAAGAACATGGCTGGAAGCATCAACTTCTCTGCAGCCAACGCCAAATCCACTGCTCAGCTCAGGGTCAAAGGTGACAAGTCTTGTCCTGTCTCTGGATTCACCAAAGCAGGTTCTAAATGCAGGTTCCACAGAAGAACCAGGTTGTTCCCTGATGGCTGCTGGAGAAATGTGTGTCTTTGTGTTGTTGATGTGCTGATGTTTAGGAGGACTAACAGTCCTCTGACTTAACCGCAACACATCTTTTATCATAGTGCGCTCTGGGCCGGGCCAGGGTCCCCGTAGTCACAAACGTTCTTAAAGACGAGGAAGAGACTGTCTTTTAGAAAGCGCCTCTAAGATAAAAGTCACGTGACGCTTCGCTTGATAGAGTCCCTGAAAGAAACCTGCTGCTTGTGCAGGACAAGAACCTTTTCTGATCCAGTTCTGGATCCGACAGCAGAACCAGGAAGTGTGTTTGTGTCTTTGGTGTGTTTAGACTTCATGTTTCATCAGATCCATTCCTGCTTTTCAGGCTGAAGCCTTTTAAATCAGCTAAAAATAACAATGGCGTTCATCAACAGCTGCCTGGACACGATCAGAACATCAGAATACCAGGACGTTCTTAGGTCCACTCCTTGTGTCCAACATCAAAATCTGCTGGCTGCAGGACCACGTTGGTTCTGGGTTCTGTTTAGGCCCCTGCAGAGAAAACTCAAACGTTTAGAAACCAGAACCTCAACGGTTCTGTTGGACACCTTAAGATGTGTTTAACCCTCCCACTGTCCTAATGGGGGTGACCCCGCGAGGAAAGCTGACCACTGAGCAGGATTGATGGTTTATCCCTTGGGTCCACGTGGCAGGGGTGAGGTGTGAGCACCACCTCACCCCTGCCACGTGGACCTCAAGGGTCACCCATAAAGACAGTGGGAGGGTTAAAAGAACAGTAGGATCAAGTAAGTCCTGGAGAAGGACCGGGAATGTTCCAGAGTGGATGCTAATGAGACGACAGAGACGAGCAGAACCTCGTTAGATCAAAGTGACGAGTGAACATCTAGCCTCCTCCGTGGGGGTGCAGCTGTAGTCCTGGCATGTGAGGAAGCCTGTTGTAAATATTTGAAACTGCCCATTAATCCAAACGGGTTACAGTTAACCCAAATCCCCTAGTTAGCTTGAATCAGCTGTTGGAGCACCAGGAGTGTTCCTGTTGGGAACACTTTAGTTCCCTCCTGAACCTCCACATTCTCCTTTTCCAGGAAATTCACAGGCAGGTGATTGACAGGGACAGACTGGCTTCCTCTCATGGTTTTGGAGGATGTGGGCCATCAGCCAATCAGGACCCTCGGTTATTTTAGAACCCAAATGCCTTATCCAGAGGCAGGGGGTCGTGACCCTGTGTCCTACTGGTTTCTGCCAGCCGTGCTGGTGTGACGGGAGCCCGTATGCTAATGAGCACAGCCTCAGTGCCAAGCTGCAGGGCAGCTGCTCTTAGTTGTCCTCAGGGCTTCCTTCAGCCTGCCGTCACCTCGAACACACCATGAGGGTCGGCCTCTGAAGCCCTTCTGCATCTCAGTGGATTTGAGGTTTTTGGATCTGTTGACCTGTTTTTTGGGGGGCACTAACCATGTCTTCTCCCCAAGGCCGGGTGATCAGCCTGACCAGGCCTTTGAAGGATGTCACCGTGACCGTTGGAGAGACCGCCACCTTTGAGTGTGAGCTGTCGTACGGAGACATCCCTGTTGAGTGGTTCCTGGGGGGTTCAAAGCTGGAACCAAGTGACAGAGTAAGTCCCAACAACGCACCTGACACACATGACGCTTTACTCTGAGCTGTGCTTCCTGAAACACTCAACCCATAGACGGGGACTCTTCATAGGATCTGGTCTAACTCCTGGCCCTGGGTTTCTGTTGGGCCTCCTGAGCTGCTCCTGCTTGTTCTTATAAGGTCCTGCAGGTGGAGGTTCAGGATTTCCGCTGAACATTCGATCCTGGTTTTGAGAGAGCGTGAGCAGGGAGGTTTTCTGCGCTGCAAGCATTTTTCAGGGTTTATTTTTAACAGCTGCCAGGGGCCGAGGTGCAGGGCAGCTGCTAACAGATCTGTCTGGTGGAGCTGGTGATTGTTGGTGCCACAATGAGTCCAGGCTCAACCCGGGGTTCTGTCCCAAAGCTGCTTTAGGTTTTCTGCGGGTTCAAAGGGAACTGACGGGATTACTGGTTGGAACAAACACCAGGTCTCTGGGAATAAACAGCTGCTTGTTTAGAGCAAAGTCAGGATGTACCGAGTAAAGCTAAACTCAGAGTTATAACCCGATTAAAGCCTCCAACCATCACAGCTGATGAGATTATCACTCAGGGTCAGGTCCTCCTGTCAGTTAGGTGGGTTTTGATTGCGTGTCAGAGGTCAGAGGTCTTGCCGTTTAAATTTGGGAAGGAAAGCAGCTGTGTGCACTTGTTTCAGCTGTCAGGAGTCAGCAGCTCGCTGATGCTCTGCATCACTGTTCAGGTTTCAGGTGTTCAACATTTAGAAAAACTCCTGACTGTCTGAGGACTCGTCTTTATTTATTATTATTTATTTATTCAAGAATGTTTTTCTCTCTGCTGAAGCTGTCAGGTTGCATTGTGGGAAACCTGAGCTGTCAAAGCTTTAAGTTGAAGTCCCACTAGTTGTAATACTGGTGTGTGAACGTTGTTCTCCACATGTGACCCATCCCCGTAGGGAGAGGTGAGCTGCAGACACGACCGCACCATTAGGGGGTTTAATCCCCCAATCCAACCCTGAATGCTGAGTGTGAAGAAGTCTTTAGTATGACCCGACCATGGATTCAAACCCACGATCCCCCAGTCTCAGGGCAGACACTCACACCACTAGGCCATTGAGCTGGTGTAAAGGAAAACATCACCCACTAAATCTAAAATGAAACATGCACTCTCAGATCTCTGTTAGAGTAGAAACCTGAATATTTAACCTGCCAGGCAGCGCTCAGGATTTACTGAGCCAGCGTTTACCACTGCTGAACCCACAGGTGGTGTTGAAAGCCAGTGGGTCGGTCCACAGCGTTACTGTTCGAGACGTTCAACTGAGTGAAGCTGGACCGGTCCAGTTGACCGCAAAAGACTTCCAGACTGAGGCCAGCCTCTTTGTTACAGGTAAACAGAACCAGCCCCGACTGGGTCACATGATTTTGCTCCTGCTTTAATGTTTAACCAATGGTCTGCATGTCTGATTGCTTAGAAGCTCCAGTAGAGTTCACCAAACTTCTGGAGGATCAAACAGTGGAGGAGGAAACCACTGCCACACTTGAGTGTGAAGTTTCCAGAGAGAACGCAGAGGTGCAATGGTTCAAGGACGACCAAGAGATCAGAAAGTCCAAGAAATATGAGATCAACGTCGACGGCCGCAAGAGGACACTGCTCATCCATGAGTGCACCCTGGACGACTCGAGAACTTACACTTGTGATGCCAAACACTTCAAAACCTCCTGCTTCCTAAATGTAGAACGTGAGTAAAGCTTTGAAATGGAATAGCAGTAGATGATTCAAAAAACAAGAAGTTTAGAGTCGATACGACCTGAAGAAACATGAAAACCCCAACGGAGCCTTTGTTAATGAGTTTAATGATAATAATAATAACGATAATAGTTATAACAATAATAATAATAATAGTGATAATGATAATAATAATTATTATTGGTATTAACAATAATAACAGTATTAATGATAGTAATTATGGTAACAGTAATATGTTTATGTTTATTCATTTAGGAGACGCTTTTATCCAAAGCGACTTACAATTTATAACCTGTAGGGCATGTTGTGATCTGTGGGGGAAACCGGAGTACCCGGAGGAAACCCACGCATGCATGGGGAGAACACGCAACTCCACACAGAAAGGCTGCAGCCAAGTTTCGAACCTGCGACCTTCGAGCTGCGAGGCAACAGTGCTAACAACTGCACCACCATGCAGCCCTATTGTAATAATAACAATAATAATAATAGTGATAATGATAATAATTATTATCATTGTTATTAATATTAAAAATCATAGCAGTTTTAATAATAGTAATAATAACAATAATAATAGTTATAATAATTATTATTATTATTGTTATTTATATGATTAATTATAACAGTTTCAATAATAGTAAATATGATAATAGTAGTAATAAATATTAATATTAACAATAATAACAGTAATAGTAGTAGTAATAATAACCATACTAATATCAGCAATTATTTTTTTCTTGTTATTGATATTAATAATAACTATATCAATAATTGTCATTATAATAATAGTAATAATAATTATTAACATTAACAATAATATCAGCATTAATAATAGCAATAATAACAACAATAATAATAGTAATAATGACAGTAATAACAGTACTAATCATTGTAATAATAACAATAATAGTGATAATGATTATAATAATTCTTGTTAATAATAATAATCAGAATAATAATAATAGCATTAATAAAAGTAATGATGATAATAATTAATATTAATATTAATTAATATCAATCATTTTTTTATGTTAGACCAACAATATCGGACATTCCTACCCTAAATCCTTACCTAGTGCTGGAGGGCTAGGAACTAGTACAATAGCTAAGAAGTAGTACTAGTGCAAGGGACTGAGTGATGTGTGTGTTTGTGTGCATGTGTGTGTGTACCGGTCTCTACATCAAAGAGAGCACATTTTGCTGGTCCTCTTTTTGGGACAATGTCACAAGTTTTACTCGAGGTTAGGGTTGGGAGTAGACTGGTTAGAGTTACAGCTGGGAGCTATTCTGTCACTAAAATGAATGGAAGTCAATGACGGTCCTCACAACGAATGCTGGACTAGTGTGTGTGTGTGTGTGTGTGTGTGTGTGTACGCATGCGTGCGTGCAGGTGTGTGTGTGTGTGTGTGTGTGTGTGTGTGTGTGTGTGTGTGTGTGTGTGTGTGTGTGTGTGTGTGTGTGTGCGTGTGCGTGCTGAGGACCAGAACCGGGAGTCTGGAACCAGAACAGCTGTTGTTAGTTCTGGTGCTATGGTGCTGAGCAGAACGAGCATGGTAGGTTTTTCACTGAGCGTCTTCCATGTGCAGCTCCTCGTGTGGATTTCTCCAAGCCGCTCCATGACGTTGAGGTCAAAGAGAAGGAATCTGCCAGGTTTGAGTGTGAAGTCTCCAGAGAGGACGCCAAAGTAAGCCCCCGACTGAAAATGGCCTGCTGGTGTATTTCTCAGCCTCAGAAACAAACGTTTCCTCTGTCCTGCAGGTTCGCTGGTTTAAGGACGGAAGTGAAATCAGAAAAGGAAAGAAATATGAAATCGTTGCTCAAGGCCGCCAGCACATCCTCATCATTCACAAGGCTGCATTTGACGATGAAGCTGAATATGAATGTGATTCAAAGACTTCCAAATCCTCCGGCATGCTGACTGTCGTCGGTAAGATTCACAGATTTAACCTTTGTGTTGAAACAGCAGAGTGAGAGGTGACATGTCTCTACTGAATCCGTTATTGTCGCTGCAGAGGAGGAGGCCCGGTTCACTAAAAACCTGTCTAATGTGGAGGGGACAGAGACGGACAGCGTGAAGCTGATTTGTGAAGTCTCCAAGCCCAGCGTCGATGTTACATGGTACAAGGGCGAGGAGGAGCTGCCAGAGGGCGGCCGCTATGACCAGATTGTTGATGGCAAGAAGAGGATCCTTGTCATTCATGATCTGAAGATGGGTGATGCTGGAGAGTACCACTGCAGACTGAGCGCCACCATCAGAACATCTGGAAACCTCAAGATTAACGGTAGGGAAACCGAATCCTGGTGCGGTCCAATCAGCTGTCTTCTTTAAACATCAAACCTTCCACTAATGAGCATATCTTTCACCTGTGATGCAGAGCTGGCTGCTGAGTTCATCTCCAGACCTCAAAACCAGGAAGTGGTGGAGGGCCAGAAGGTGGAGTTCACCTGCTCCGTCTCCAAGGAAACCTTTGATGTCAAGTGGATGAAGGGCGACAAGGAACTGGAGGCAGGAGATAAGTACCAGATGGTGAGTGACGGCAAGAGACGGAGTTTAGTCGTCAAGGACTGCGAGCTCAAGGACGAGGGTGGATACGTAGTGATGATTGGAGCCACGAGAGCCAGCGCTGACCTGACTGTGCATGGTAAGCTCCTCCCACAGACGCAGGAAATAAAGTCACTAGAAAGGACTGGGTTCCCAACTCTCTTCTGCTATGTCCTACAGAGAGACTGAAGATCGTCACCCCTCTGAAGGACACGGAGGGTAAAGAAGGTCAGGAGGTTGTCCTGAACTGTGAGGTGAACTCAGATGGCGCCAAGGCCAAATGGCTGAAAAATGAAGAGACGCTGTTTGAAAGTGGAAAGTACTTGATGGTCCAAAGGGACAATGTCTTCTCCCTAAGGATCAAAGATGCTCAGAAGGGAGATGAAGCTAACTACACTGTCAACCTGACCAATCAAAGGGGAGAGCAGGCCAAGAGCTCCTGCAGCTTCACCGTCAAAGGTTGGTGCTCCAACAAGGAAGCCTGTGGAAGCAGAAATAGCTCAGAAATATTCCAAATGTTGGTTTTATTTTACTAAAGTCTTTCAGCACAGGACGGGGTTTGTTGAGTTTAACTTGTTTTACTACAGACAGCAGAGTTTGATATTAAAGCATACATTCACACACCCGTTCTGATCATCTTTCTGCTGTTCAGAGGAGAGTCTGAGGATCGTAGTTCCTCTGGAGGACATTGACACTCAGGAGAAGAAGACCGTCAGCTTCTCCTGTAAAGTCAACAGGCCCAATGCCACCCTGAAGTGGATGAAGGCTGGACAGGAGATCACACTCAGCAAACGCATCGTGTACCGAGTCGATAAGGAGAAACACACGCTGACCATCAAAGACTGCACGCTGGCTGACGAGGGCGAGTACACCGCCGTGGCCGGAGACGACAAGTCCACCGCCGAGTTGATCATCAGCGAGGCGCCAACTGACTTCAACGTGCACTTGAAAGATCAGACCGTCATTGAGTTTGAAGAAGCAGAATTCACCTGCAAACTAACCAAGGAGAAGGCTGAAGTAAAGTGGTACCGGAACGGCAGAGAGATCAGAGAAGGACCCAAGTATGTACTTTTATTTCTGCAGCTCAGGTTCAGAACCTGCTCGCTGATTATGGTTCCACCCTGATGAATAAGCCCCTAACTGTTGTTGTAAACCATCTGATTTCATTCAGTCACTAACCCCCCAAACACCTACCCCTTCTCAGATACACATTTGTGAGAGACGGGAAGTTTTGCACTTTGCACATCAAAGAGTGCCGACCTGATGACGAGTGTGAATACGCCTGTGGGGTGGACGAGAAGAGGTCCAGGGCAAGGCTCTTTGTGGAAGGTGAGCAGCTCTGAATGTTCCATCTGCTCTCAGATCCTGGTCTGTGGCGTATGAAAGCTGCTCTTTCTGATCCACATGTGCAGCAGTCTGGGTGCTGCTTAAGATCAATTAGTATTCACAACTTTATTTTTATGTCGACGTGTTTGTGACAGAGTGATAAAGAGTGAGAATCACCTCTATACTCCTGTTTGGTCTTCCTGAGGACCACAGCTTGTTTTCAAGGTTTAAAAACTTCCATTTAATTCAGTTTATTTATACAGCGTCAAGGACCTTCCCACAGTAAACATTCCAATACAGGTCAGGTCATTGAGCCAATAACAAGTTTCCCAGCAGGTTGCATCGAGTCACTGACTAGTGTCAGAGTCTTTACAGTAATCCTCATACTAAGCAAGCATGCAGCGACAGTGGAGAGGAAAACTCCCTTTTAACAGGAAGAAACTTCCAGAGGATCCTGGCTCAGTATAAGCAGCCATCCACTGGGGATGGAGAAGACAGAGCAGACACACACACACGCATGCTCGCTCGCTCGCTAACTCACACACACACACACACACACACACACACATGCACGCACACACACACACAACATATATTTTCTTTTTCTCTAAGTGTTGGTGCTGCTGTAACAAGTGAATTTCCCCACTGTGGGATTAATAAAGTCTATTCTATTCTACACACCAAGTAGAGTCTCTGTGGCTACATTGTAACCCGTCACATAGTGGGTATGTACCTGTATGCAGGTGAGCTGGCTGTAGCTGGCAGCTTCCCTCAGTGCGCTCCAGTCTGCTAACAACCAGATCATCTGAAACATACTTTCTGTCTTTGTGTCCTGCAGAGACTCCGGTGGAGATCGTCCGACCTCCTCAGGACGCCTTTGAACCTCCAGGCTCTGATGTGGTTTTTGAAGTGGAGCTCAACAAGGACCGGGTGGAGGTGAAGTGGCTGAGGAACAACATGACCGTCGTCCAGGGAGACAAGTTCCAGATGATGAGTGAGGGGAAGCTTCACCGGCTGCAGGTGTGTGAGATCAGGCCCAGAGACCAGGGGGAGTACAGAGTCATCGTCAAGGACAAAGATGCCAAGGCCAAGCTGGAGCTGGCAGGTGAGTCCGCCACCTGAGAGCTCCATGTCATGTGACCACAGGCTGTTGCAGCATCACCAGGCACCTTGGTTACCAGGTCAACATGTTCACAACACTAGTTCAGGTGCAGTAGCATCTTTAGCTTAGTGGACGATTTGTTCTCATTTACCCTGTAGCCCTAGTATGACGCCAGCATAGTTTAACACTTGAACCAGTAAGCCTGACCTGTTAAACAGATATCTCACTAGTTGCACGAAGTTGTTCACAAGACTAAATTAGTTTGAAGGGCAGAAACCTAACCTAACCTAGCCTAACCTTAACTAAAGATTGACACATCAGATTTCTGGTTAGCTGTTCTTAAAGCAGGTCAGTGGTCAGAAACTAAGTTGGTTCAAAACACCCCAACTAGTCCAACACTTGATATCAGTCATTAGGTAAAGCTCAACCTAAACTAGTTAACTGACTGAACTCTTCACAGGACATCATGCAGCTGCTAGTTCACTAGTTAACCATACCTTTACACGCACAATCTAGTAAGTGTCTTTTTATGAACGGACCAGTGAAAAATAATCAATACTGGACACCGTCCCTCCCCCAGCTGTCCCTCAGATAAAGACCACAGACCAGAACTACGTCACTGACGTGGGGAAGCCCATTGTCATGGCCGTGCCCTACAGCGCCTACCCTCAGGCTGAGGCCGACTGGCTCTACAACAGCCTGAGTCTGCCCAGAGACAACATCCACACCTCCGCCGACCGCACAGAGTACCGCCTCAAGGACCCCAACAAGGCTGATGAAGGCCGCTACAGGATCGAAATCAAGAACAAACATGGAGGAGGAGAGGCGTTCATCAACCTGGATGTGATCGGTGAGCTTGGGTAGTGTTAGATGCTGGCGACTTTACCTGAACAAAGCTGCAGGTGAAGCTGCTGGCCTCGCTGACACCTGATGGTAAATCTAGAAGAACAAAAACCACAACAAAGGTTGAAATGGTTAGGTTGATAGTCACCATCTGGTCATAGCTGGGTATTTTAACCAGGGGTGCAAGAGACATGTCCCCACCATCATTTATAGCTCAGAGACATGTCCCTACCATCATTTATAGCTCAGAGACATGTCCCCACCAACATTTATAGCTCAGAGACATGTCCCCACCATCATTTATAGCTCAGAGACATGTCCCCACCATCATTTATAGCTCAGAGACATGTCCCCACCATCATTTATAGCTCAGAGACATGTCCCCACCATCATTTAGAGCTCAGAGACATGTCCCCACCATCATTTAGAGCTCAGAAACATGTCCCCACCATCATTTACAGCTCAGAGACATGTCCCCACCATCATTTATAGCTCAGAGACATGTCCCCACCATCATTTACAGCTCAGAGACATGTCCCCACCAACATTTATAGCTCAGAGGCATGTCCCCACTATTATTTGTAGCTGTCTACCGGCTTCTATAGCTGGAAATATGGGAAGAAGAATTTTTTCATGTTCAGCCTGCACGAGAAAGGGACCGATCACCGAAAAATAACAATACATTTCTCAGTGAAGTTGGTCTTTGAAATATAATTTAGAAGGTGGATTTCCTGTCTTTGTGATTACTGATTTCTCGACATCTAGTTATTAACCCTCTATATGGTCTTCTGTAGATGTACCTGGACCTGTGAAAAACCTACAGGTAGTAGACACCGCTGACGGAGAGGTCAGCTTGGCATGGGAAGAACCAGAGAGCGATGGTGGTAGTAAAGTCATCGAGTATGTGGTGGAGAGACGCGACATCAAACGTAAGACCTGGACACTGGCTACCGACCATGCAGAGAGCCCAGAGTATACGGTGACTGGGCTGCAGAAGGACTCCTTTTACCTGTTCAGAGTTGCTGCACGAAACCGGGTCGGCAGTGGACTCAACGTTGAGACAGACAAAGCTGTGCAAGCCAAGAACAAGTTTGGTAGGTTTCCTGTTAGTCTGATGAATCATTTCTCTGTTAGATCTGCTGTAAAACCAGCTACCTTCTGTTGAATGTTCTTCAGATGTTCCTGATGCTCCTCTCAACATCATCGTGGGAAATGTCACCAAGTTTGGCTGCACTGTCTCCTGGGAGCCTCCTGAGTCAGATGGGGGCTCTCCAATAACCTCTTACATCGTTGAGCTTCGTGACAGGACATCTGTGAAGTGGTCACCTGTCCAGGTCACAAAAGCCAACGAGCTCAGCGCCATCATCAATGATGTCATCGAGAACAAAGAATACATCTTCAGAGTTAAAGCTGAGAACAAAGCTGGTGTTGGCAAACCCAGTGCTGCCTCGCAGCCTGTCAAGATCATGGATCCGATTGGTTAGTTGCATGGTTAATGAAAGTTAACATAGTTTTTTTATTGATAATTAATGGTGGATAGTGGTTATTAGTGGTTAATGTTGGTTATTGATGATTATTGGTGGTTTTTGATGGTTAATGGTTTGTTACTGATAATTAATAGTGGTTAATGATGGTTAATGGTGGTTATTGATGTTAATGGTTAATGGTGGTTAATTGTGGTTATTAATGGTTACTGGTAGTAAAGGATGGTTATGGTTAATGGTGGTTAATAGTGGTTATTAATGGTTAATGGTGGTTAAGGATGGTTAATAGTTATTGCTGGTCAATAGCAGTCATTGATGGTTAATGATGGTTAATGCATATTAGTGGTTAATGGTGGTTAATGATGGGTAATGGTGGTTAATGATGGTATTGGTTATTAGTAGTTAATGATGGGTAATGGTGGTTAATGATGGTTAATGGTTAATGGTGGTTAATAGTGGTTATTAATGGTTAAGGATGGTTAATGGTGGTTAATAGTGGTTGTTAATGTTGGTTAAGGATGGTTAATAGTTGTTACTGTTAATGGTGGTTAATAATGGTTATTGATGGTGAATAGTGGTTTATGGTGTTTAATAATGTTAATGGTGGTTAATGATGGTTAATAGTTATTAGTGGTTAATGATGGTTAATGGTGGTTAACGATAGTTAATGATTGTTAATTGTTATTGGCTAACGGTGGTTAATGGTTATTGGTGGTTAATGATGGTTAATGGTTATTAGTGGATAATGAAGGGTAATGATTGTTAATGGTGGTTAATAGTGGTTATTAATGCTTAATGATTGTTAATGGTGGTTAATTGTGGTTATTAATGGTTACTGGTGGTTATGGACGGTTAATGGTGGTTAAGGATGGTTAATAATGGTTATTGATGGTTAATAGTGGTTTATGGTGTTTAATAATGTTAATGGTGGTTAATGGTGGTTAATAGTTATTGGTGGTTAATAGAGGTTGTTGATGGTTAATGTGGTTAATGATGGTTAATAGGTATTAGTGGTTAACGATAGTTAATGATGGTTAATGGTTATTAGTGGTTAATGGTGGTTATTAGTGGTTAATGGTGGTTATTGGTGGTTAAAGGTGTTTAGTGATGGTTAATGATAGTTTGCAAATTTCGGCTCTCGGAACATTTCTTTATTGGTGAAGGCTCATTGTTTATTTTTTATCACATGGCTGCACACACCTATTGAACTAAACAATAACAAGCAACACTTCTTACTACATAAACACGATTGATTGAAAGAAAGTAAAATATATATATTTCCTTGCCCCTTCCTAAAACATAAAACACAGATGGGTAGTTGGTAAGTCCAATAACCCTTATTCTCCATTTTGTAATGAATCCCACAAGTTAACACCACATATTTAGACTTCATCTGTCAGTTATTTTAATTCCTCCATCTTTATTCTGCCCACCATGCTCCCTCTCTTCTCACATTTTTGTTGTTGTGTCTGTACCAGAGCGTCCGAGCCCTCCACTGAACCTGTCCTGGCAGGACCAGAACAAGAGCTCGGTGCAGCTCGCATGGGAAACTCCTCTGAAAAATGGGGGCAGCATGATCACTGGATACATCATTGAACGCTGCGAGGAAGATTTGGACAAGTGGCTGCGCTGTAACGCCCGTCTTTGCTCTGACCTGTTCTACAAGGTGAATAAGGTTGCTCAGACACATTCAGACAACCTGTGGTCGATCAAAACCTAATTGTTCTGATTCCTGCAGGTCTCTGGACTGAAATATGGTGCCAAGTACAACTACAGAGTGCTAGCTGAAAATGCTGCTGGAGTGTCTGACCCTTCAAATGTCATAGGACCTCTGCTGGCCGACGACCCACACGGTGAGACACTTGTTAGCCGGTGAAAACCCTGAGGAGGTTCTTCTCACTGCGACATTTAGAAAATTCACAATGGTTCCAACCTTTAAAGTCTTTCTAATACCTTTCTCCAGTTGGTCCAACCCTTGACTTGAGCGCTTTCAAAGATGGGCTGGAGGTGATTGTCCCTCAGCCTCTCATTATCAGAGTCCCCATCACTGGATATCCAACCCCTGTTGCCAAATGGACCTTTGGAGAGAAGGAGCTGACCACTGAAGATGAGCGAGTCTCCCGGATGACCAAGTCCACATTTACAGAACTTGCCATCGCTCCAAGTGTCCGTCCAGACAAAGGCATCTACACCCTGACACTGGAGAACGACGTCACCACCGTCTCTGGAGAGATTGAAGTCAACGTCATCGGTATTCCAAAAAGATCAACAGATCTCAAGAGATGACCTTCAGAGTCTGGTTTTGCTTTTGATTTAATAACAGTGGTTCTGAATGTGTCTGCAGCGGCGCCCAGTGCTCCAAAAGATTTCAAAGTCCTGGAGGTGACCCGACAGCATGTCCACCTCAGTTGGGAGGCTCCTGAGCACGATGGAGGTAGTCCTCTGACAGGCTATCAGGTGGAGAAACGGGATGTGTCCCGCAAGACCTGGGTCAAGGTATGATGACATTAAATCAGCTATTGACTGACCTATTTTATTTCTTTTATTTTACCTCTTGGATGGTTCAGTGCAATCTTACAGGATCAGTTGTGAAACCTGCAGGACACATTTTATAATTTTAATAGAGGATGTTTAAGCTGCAGAACATTGAGTTCTTGTTTGTTAACTTCCCACAGATGTTGTAGTAACAAGCAGCCACAATCCTGCAAAGATCCGGTTTATATATTGACTTGACTGATGTTTACTTTGTAATAAAAACTCAGGTGAAACCAGTGATCTTCTCTGTAACCTGAGCTGGCATTATCCGGATGAGCCAGCTGTTAGGAAACCTGTGAGCTAATGATAATGCCTTAAACTGTCCTTCAGGTCATCACAGGGATCCAGGACCTGGAGTTTACTGTCACAGATGTGGTTGAAGGGAAGGAGTACCTGTTCAGAGTCACCGCCCTTAACAAGTGTGGCCCAGGAGAGCCTGCGTACATAGATGAACCTGTGAATGTCTCCTCTCCAGCCAGTGAGTCAGCAAAGCCACAACCAAACTCTCACTAAAACTACCTAAGTGATAGTTCAGATATAAACAATACAGTCCTCTGAACACTGTCCAATCACAGCTGATGTACGGTAACCAATCACAGCATCCGGTCGGTCCTGTAAACAGTAGAATGGACTTCCTTTTAGGGCCTTTCTAAGTACTACACCTCATTCCCCCTCCAGCTGTCCCAGACCCGCCAGAGAACCTGAAGTGGAGAGACAAGTCGGCCAGTGGCATCTTCCTGACCTGGGAACCACCCAAATATGATGGTGGCACCGGCATCCGAGGCTACAATGTGGAACGCCTGCAGAGAGGAACAGATAAGTGGGAGCCCTGTGGAGACCTGGTGTCTGAGCTGAAGTGCCAGGTGACTGGTCTACTCGAGGGCCAGTGGTATGCCTACAGAGTCCGAGCTTTAAATCGTCTTGGAGCCAGCCAGCCCTGCAAGGCCACTGATGAGATCCAAGCTGTTGATCCCAAAGGTATGGTCTTCACCGGCATCCAGTTAAAGATGGGATCTACTTCTTCACTGTGCTGTGATTCTATCATATCAGACCAGTCCAAAGAGTTCTGAATATTCTCAAAAAAGATGTCAAAATTCTAACAAAGTATTTTCTATGAACTAATATCCTGATGTCTGATCTGCTTGGATCCACAGAACCCCCAGAGATCCAGCTGGACGCCAAACTGTTGGCTGGTCTGACTGCCAAAGCTGGCAGCAAGATTGAGCTCCCTGCAGAGGTGCTTGGTAAACCTGAACCCAGGGTAAAGTGGACCAAGGCTGACTTGGTCCTCAAAGCAGATGACAGGGTGTCCATTGACACCAAGCCAGGACACTCCACTGTAACCATCGCCAAGACGAAGAGGGATGACAGCTCCACCTACATCATAGAGGCCACCAACAGCAGTGGCCGAGCCACTGCCACAGTGGACGTCAACATCCTCGGTAGGACAAATGGGTCAGCAGAGGAAACATAAAGACCTCCTCTATTTAAGATCTATTAAATGCATTTTTTGATTAACAGACAAGCCTGGTCCTCCTGCTGCCTTTGATATCTCTGATATCACCAATGAAACCTGCTTCCTGGCCTGGAATCCTCCACGTGACGATGGCGGCTCCAAGGTCACCAACTACATTGTTGAACGTCGAGCTGCTGACAGTGAGATCTGGCACCGGCTGTCCTCCACTGTCAAACAGACCACATACAAAGCCGTTGGCCTGGTCAAGTTTAAAGAGTACATCTTCAGAGTGTTTGCGGAGAACCAGTTTGGTGTCGGCCCTTCTGCCGAACACCCATCCATCATTGCCCGGTACCCCTTTGGTAGGTCACCTGGAGTTTTGTTCATCTCATCTCTGAATCTGGTATTCCTTTGGAACCTAAAAATAAAATAATAGGAATTTTAACTCAATGGAATTACTGTCTATGTTTAATAGAGCCTGGAAATGTGTCCGCTCTCTTTCTAATCTAATGCTGAAGCTCTGCTGTGTCTAATTGTGACTCTTCCTCTTCTGTCCTCAGACACTCCTGGAGCACCCTACAAATTGGAGCCATCAGACATTGCCAAAGACTCTCTGACTCTGACTTGGTATGAGCCGGATGAGGACGGAGGAAGCCCCATCACGGGGTACTGGGTGGAGCGATATGAACCTGACCATGACAAGTGGATCCGATGTAACAAGCTCCCAATCAAAGACACCAACTACAGGTGAGTCCAGCTGACTGGAGGCTGTCTGAATTTCTGTCAGATGTACTTTCAGGACTGCATAAGTTTTATCTTTTCAGAGTCAAAGGTCTTCCTACCAGAAAGAAGTACAAGTTCAGAGTACTTGCTGAAAACTTGTCTGGAACCGGAAAACCAAGCCAAGAGACAGATCCGATCCTCGTCAAGGATCCAATTGGTACAAATGACTTTGTTTTCTCTCAGAGAATTTCAGTTCTTCAGTTCCAGTTTTTAACACAACCATGATGGCTCCGTTTTCAGATCCTCCATGGCCTCCTGGTAAACCCACAGTCAAAGATGTAGCTAAGACTTCCTGCTTCCTGATGTGGACCAAACCTGAGCATGACGGCGGAGCTAAGATCGACAGCTACATTATCGAGATGTTGAAGAGCGGGACCTCTGACTGGATTCATGTAGCAGAGAACATCAACCTGTTGGAGTTTTTCCTGAAGGGTCTGATGGAGAAACAGGAGTACTCGTTCAGAGTGCGAGCTGTTAACGTGGCCGGAGAAAGCGAGCCCAGTGAGCCCAGTGACCCGGTGCTCTGTAAAGAGAGACTGAGTAAGAAAGCATGGCCCTGAAGTAAACAAGCATGTTAAATGATGCTGTGTAGAAGTCAGTCTAGTCCAGTGTTGGGAGTAACGCCGTTTAAATATAACGGCGTTTCTAACGGCGTTCTTTTATAGGTAACGGAATAATCTAATTAATTACTTTTCCCGCCGTTGCAACGCCGTTACCGTTACTGGGGACGGAAGGTTGTGCGTTACTATGTGCTTGTCGAACGTTGAGCAACAGCGTGAGGCTTTCTGACCGCCACACTTCAGCTGCAGTCAGGGAGAGAGAGGTGTCGGTAACACACTTACAAACACGATGATGATTGGCCGGGTCGGCGGAGACCCTCACGGTCTCATTCGCTGCATGCTGTAGTGTAGACACAGAAAGTGATGGTAATAACGCCGTTTAAAATAACCACGTTAATAAAAAAATATTTATTTCTGTAACGAGCAAACTAATTAATTGCCGTCTTCTTTCATCAAAACGTCGTTTCTGTTACTGATAAGAAAATGCGTGCGTTAAGCAGCGCTATGTGTTGAAGCTGTCATCAGCTGATCAGGAGCTAAAGAGGTAGATGTTTTCATCCAAGCGCATCGTGGCCGTGAAGAACGAGGAAGACGTGATGAATATCTACGGCTGCAGGTGTGGATCTGCAGCCGTGCCCTTCTTAGCGTGACAGCGGGACGTCCCGAAGGTCCGCTCACCTGTTCACCGCTCAGACGTCCTGATCTTCTGCCTTCCTAGATCATCCAGCTGTAACCTGTTTCTGATCATGTGTTTAGTCCCGCTGTAACACTGATGCATCAGTCTCAGACGTCATGGAGCTCAGGTGTTATTAGATCTACCTGTGTGTGTTTACCACCCAGCTTCAGCTCTTCTGTGGTTGGGTCTGACCCACGTTAGTACATTTAAGTCCTCCATCAGGCTTGTGCCTCTTCTAGTGTCATTTTAAAGGATATTTATTAATTTATTTAACCGTTACTAGATTACCAGCAACAGAAATGCTGCTAAAACACACAATTATGTGAAACTGGAAAAATTAGAATACTGTGCAAAATTACATTTATTTCTGTAATTCAACTAGACCGAGAGACCATTTAAAGGCACGGGAACCTTTACAGGTGTTTCTATTAGCAATTTTAAATTTTAGCTGATTGGGGTCTTGTTAAATATTACACAGTGACCTTTTAATAGTCTAGATAAGTGTAATGTTCCTGTTAGCAGTTCCTCCTGTAAAGTGCTTATTTATTTAAAATATTCAGGTTTATATAAAACATTTGGACATACATTTTATTATGCTCCAGTCATTAGTCATTTATATTTCACTATTGTAGTAATTCTTGCATGCTTTAATGAAAAAAGTAACTAAGTAGTTTTTTTGTTGGTAATTAGTTACTTTTATGATCTTGTAACTCAGTTAGTAACTGAGTTACTTTTTTGACAAAGTAATCAGTAACTATAACTAATTACTTTTTTAAAGTAACGTTCCCAACACTGGTCTAGTCTATGTTGGAGCTTTCATAACTAAACAAGGACCAGGACCAGGACCGACAGCCGAGAGACTGTAATGCATGTACGAAAAAACTAACTGATCCATCCATCCATAGTTCATTTGTAAAGCACTTCTAAAACACAGCATTGCAGCTGACCAAAGTGCTGTACATACAAGACAAAGCGATTACAAAAGTGGAAGACAAAACTAGGCTAGCGCGAAAAACTAACCACAGAGGAGACAATACAATAAAGCAAGTGTTACAATTGTAGTAATAAAAACATGTAAAAGCCCGTGATAAAAGCAAAACAATGGGTAGGGGAGGCTGCAGTTACAGGGAGCAATTTTAGGAACCGAAGGCCATGCTGCAGCAGTGGGCTTTTAGTCACGCTTTGAGTTTGTGTAATGATCGTGAAGTCCTGATGTGCTGGTGTAGACTTTAAAAAGTCTTTCTGGCAGTCGCCCCTCTTATATTGCACATGACTAACATGAGCCTGATCTCTGGTATGGTCCCGGACAATTTTAAAAAGGCAGTTGCACAACCTCTGCTGAAAAAAGCCTGGACTGGATGCATCGCTGCCTGCAAACTACAGGCCTATTTCAAAGCTTCCCTTTTTAGGTAAGGTACTAGAGAAGTGTGTTTACCACCAGCCCTTAGTTTTTATGGGTGGGAATGGCATTTTTGAGACCTTTCAGTCTGGTTTCAGTGCTCTACACAAGCGCTGAGACTGCACTGGTTAGAGTGCTCAGTGACCTTTATTTAGCAGCTGATAGCGATGTAGCATTATTAAGATCCTATAAAAACAACCTCTTCTGATGATAATATCTGGACCTAATAAAAGTGTAAGAATATACAACTATATTCCACTACAGCGGTAATTTTGTGTTGTTACTTCCGCTGGACCTCACGGCTGCTTTTGACATGATAGATCATGATGTGCTGCACCACCGTCTCCAACACAAGCCTTTTGCTTTCTTTTATAATTGATCCTCTTTATAACAATTTTCCTCATCTTTTAACAATATATCTAATTAGCCTTTCTACATGACCTATTTACTCATCCTTTATTAGGACTTTGTTACATTTTGTCACTGACCTGGAGATCTTATGAACAACAAATCCCTAATTTTCTGGAAATAAAGCACCTTGAATCTTGAATGCAATCTCAAGGTCTCCCTAGAAAAAGAGGCTTTTTAACTCATTGGGATTTTCTACCAGACTGAATAAAGGTTAAGTAAACGCTGATGACTTTCTGCATGTTTAAGATAACCAGTGAAGCTGACCTTAAGAGATATCTGTCTGAAACCCTTTAGACCCCCCCTCAGCGCCTCGCTGGCTGGAGGTTGTGAGCATCAGCAAGAACAGTGCAGATCTGAAGTGGTCGGCTCCAGAGCGTGATGGAGGATCACGTGTCACCAACTATGTGGTAGAGAAGCGTGACGTCCGGCGTAAAGGCTGGCAAGCAGTGGACACTACTGTCAAGGAGCTGAAGTGCACCGTGGCGCCTCTCAATGAGGGAGCACTCTACGTGTTCCGCGTTGCTGCAGAGAACGCTGTTGGAGTTGGACCGTTCTGCGAGCTGGAGGACTCTGTGCTGGCCAAGGATACATTCAGTGAGTTGGAGGAGTGTGTAGGAACCCCCCACCCCACTTAGCAGCATCAGTGATGAGACTCTGTTTGTTGCAGCTACTCCTGGGCCACCTTATGCACTCTCTGTCAACACTGTGACCAAGAAATACGTGGACCTAGAGTGGGAGGCACCAAAGAACGATGGTGGCAGGCCGATACTCAGGTGCTACCTACCCTCCCCCACACTTTTCACCCATGTCTCTTTATGTTCTTCTGTAGCTCTAACATGTCTCTGGAGAAGGTCATTAAAGTTTATTTCCTCTTCTGGTGCTGACATGTTCCAGGTACTCAATTGAAAAGAAAGAGAAACTTGGAACCCGCTGGGTGAAATGTGCCAAGACATCAGGTCCAGACTGTAAATACAGAGTAACAGACGTGATTGAGGGAACGGAGGTCCAGTTCCAAGTCCGTGCTGAGAACGAGGCTGGTGTTGGACACCCTAGTGAACCCACAGAGATCCTAACCATTGAAGATCCAACAGGTTAGAGTGGTGATAATGCGACTAGTTGTATTTCTATTTCCTTTTTTCTAAACCTGTCCTGTCCTTTTAAGGTTCCCCATCACCACCCATTGAGCTGCATGTGACCGGAGCCACCAGAGACTTCTTGTCCATTGCCTGGAAGCCTCCACAGCGGGACGGTGGCTCTCCCATCCGCGGCTACCACATTGAGATGTGTGAGGCCGGAACAGAGAAGTGGATGAGGGTCAACTCCCGTCCAGTTAAAGAGCTGAAGTACCGTGTGGAGGAAGGCGTGGTCCCTGAGAAGGAGTACATTCTGAGAGTTAGGGCCATCAACGCTGTTGGAGAGAGTGATCCCTCCGATATTTCTGAAAATGTCTTCGCTAAGGATTCAGACTGTAAGAGCAGGAAGCACCAGGTTTACTCAGCGTTTGTGAAAGAATAGGGGCTATTTAACATCTTTATTTGTGTGGCTCCAGGTAACCCTACACTGGAGTTCCAAACTCTGGACCTGGTGGTTGTGGAAACTGAGAAACTTCATATTCCAGTCCCCTTCAGAGCCGTGCCTTCACCCAAAATCACTTGGCACAAGGATGGCAAGGAGCTGAAGGCTGACGAGCACTTCAGCTTCAGGTCAGGAAGAGTCTCAAACCTCCATAAAGTTCTATGTTACTGATCAAAATGGAGTTTAGAACATAACATGAACAGTTAGACTAGACGCAGTTGGCATCGACGTCTAGTGAACACTAAAGTTTCTTAGCTAAATTCAGTTTTATGTGTGTGAGCAGACCTGATGTAGTGTTTTCTGCTCCACAGGCATGAGTATACTTCCTGTCATCTGGAGATTGACAGCAGCATTCACCCTGATGCTGGAGTCTATAAAGTCACTCTGGAGAACAAACTGGGAAGTGCCAGTGCCACCATCAATGTTAAAGTCATAGGTAACCCTAACCAGACACATTCAAGTCTTCAGGTCAGTCTCATAACATGTCATCCATCTAGCTTATTCTTTAATGTGTCTTTGTGTCTTCAGGACTTCCTGGACCCTGCAAGGAGATTGTGGCCTCTGAGATCACAAAGAGCTCCTGTAAAGTGTCCTGGGACCCTCCAGATTATGATGGCGGCAGCCCAGTCCTACACTATGTCCTTCAGGTCTGAGAGGGTCATCACATCTTACGTTTATTATCTGGATTTCTGACTCTCATGAGCTTGTGTTTCTTTGTTTTTTTGTTATTCTTACGATGGTGTGCAGCGCCGGGAGGCTGGCAGGAGGACATATGTCAACATGATGTCGGGAGAGAACAAGGTATGCTGGACCGTGAAAGACCTCATCCCCAATGGGGAGTACTACTTCAGGATCCAAGCCGTCAACAAGATTGGAGGAGGAGAATTCATCGAGCTGCGCAACCCTGTCATCGCTGAAGACCAAAAACGTACGGGAAAGTTTTTTTATTCAGATGCACTTTGGGAAATATTGGTTTTTGAAGTTCAATGTGGGTGAAAGGTATCTATGATTCTTGGTTTCTTAGCTTTTCCACCCAAGACTGCCCTAGTGGAGCACCTAATTCATCTCAGGTTGTGGGTTTAATCCCAGCTGCTGTGTCCCAAATGATGCTGCTGTCTGTTAAATGATCTACAACTCAAACTAAGTTAACCATGGAAGTCTCAGGATAAAAAAACAGCTTTTCTCAAGATGAGATGGTTTAGTAACTGGAGCTAAAGAGCTGCATGGACTAAAGAAGTTAGAAACATGTCCTCTACCACTCTGACCTGGATTATTGTGTCTCAGTAGAATGAAATTTTAACTCCGAACTCTCCTAAGAATTAAAAAATCTCTAAACATAAATATTTAAAACTGTGCTGAATCAGAGAGAAATGTATTCGTTTAAACCCTCTAAAGCTTGGCGCTAACAATTAGCTAACTGCAGTTAACACGATTCATTAGCTGAAATTGGCCAAATGAAAAATCGCTATTGATTTATTTTGGTTCAAGGCCAAAATGTAGTTTCATCAACTTACTGGAGGAAAACACTGAGGGTTTTGGGGAGCTCTCCTTCTGGTGACCCCCTTCTTCTGCTGGGGACCTTGGACGCTCACATGGGCAATGGTTGGGAGCAATGGCCCCACCAATCTCAACCCTGGTGGTGTTTGTTATTGGACTTCTGTGCTGTCTTGGATTATTTGTAATTAACCTCACGTTCAAGTATAAAGATATCCATATGTGCTTTAGGCACCAGGATACCTTAGGCCACAGTTCGATGATCAAATTTGTTATCTCATCACATCCGCGGCGTCATATCTTGGACATTCAGGTGAAGAGAGGGGCTGAGTTTTCAACTAACCAGTGCCAGGCGGTGAGTTGGCTCTGGTGGTGAGAGAGGATGTTGTTCAGGCCTGAAAGGCCCAAACATAGTGTGAGGGTTTGCTGAGAACATCTGGCAGAGTCTCCTGTCAGAAGGATCTTCAATTACCACCTCCAGCAGAGCCTTCCGGAGGAGGTGGGGACTTTTGTGGGGACGTTGGTTGACGCGGCTCTGCATTATCACGTGGACATTGGGGGCCAGTTCCACTGGACTGACAGACTGGGGTGGCGGTCCCCCTATTTAAAAAGGTGGACCACAGAGTGTGTTCCAACTACAGAGGGATCACCTAGTGGTTTAAAGTAAAATGCCTTCTTTTTAGATGCTCCTGACCCTCCAGTTGATGTTGAGACCCATAACCCCACGTCCAGCACAGTCACCCTGACCTGGAAGCCGCCCATGTATGACGGCGGCGCTAAGATCATGGGATACATTCTGGAGAAGCAGCAGAAGGGCGAGGACGAATGGAAGAGGTGCAACGACTTTTTGGTCCCTGTGCTGTCCTACACCGTTAGAGGACTGACGGAGGGCAAGAACTATACTTTCCGAGTCAAATCAGAAAATGCCGCCGGCATCAGCGAGCCTTCCCGCAACACTCCATTCGTTAAGGCCTCAGACTCCATCGGTAAGGTTCATATTCTTTTTCTGTAACTGGGCCACTGGGTTTTTGGACAATGATTCAGTTTTTGATTTTCTGACCTTTTCAGATCCTCCAAAGGTTTTCCTCAGTGGCAGTTTGCAGTCTGGTCTCAGCGTGAAACGCGGCTGTGAAATTTGCCTGGATGCCAACATTTCAGGTTCACCGTACCCTCAGATTACCTGGTACTGGAACAACCAGTTGATCCAGCCTGAACCACTTCGCAAGAGGCCTGAAAAACCTCTGAAGAAGAAGGCAGAGAAAAAAGAGGAAGAAAAGAAGGAGGAGGAGACAAAGACAGAGATCGGAGCTGAGAAGAAAGAGGAGAAGGAGGTAGAGGTGAAGGAGGAAGAAAAGAAAGAGGGAGGAGAGATCAAGGAGGACAAGAAGCAAGAAGAAGAAGCTGCTGAACCAGATACAGAGGAACCTGACTATCCAACTATAAATGAACGCCTGAGTATTGACAACAGTCAACGGGGCTTGTCCTCCGTCGTCATCAGAGACTCTGTTCGCCCTGATCATGGTGTCTACGTAATAAAGGTGGAGAATGACCATGGGATCGCCTCAGCAACTTGTGAGGTGAACGTGCTTGGTAAGTGAACAACAAACATTTGCATGAGCACAGACTGAGAATTCCTAATGACGTCTAAACCAGCTGTCTGGAGACTGAGCCTGAGTTCACATCTACTCTGTCTACAGATGCTCCCGGTCCCCCGGTCAACTTGAGATTTGAGGAAGTGAGAAAGAACTCTGTTGTCTGTAAGTGGGATCCTCCTCTGGATGACGGAGGCAGCGAAGTCCTCAACTACACCCTAGAGAAGAAAGATAACTCAAAAATGGAGTTTGGCTGGAGCTGTGTAACCTCCACTCTGAGAGGCTGCCGATACTTGGTGCCCAAACTCATCGAGAAGAAAGAGTATATCTTCAGGGTTGTGGCAGAGAACAAATTTGGACCTGGTCCCCCCTGCGTTTCCAAGCCCCTCATTGCCAAGAACCCCTTTGGTATGCTCACACAGATGTTTACGGATTAAAGCATTTTGTTGGTCAGGCACATTCAGGTGTTTTGATGTCCCATCTCATTGTCCTTAGAACCACCTGAGGCTCCTGAAAAGCCAGAGATTGATGACATCACAGCCAATAGCATGTTGGTCACTTGGAATGAACCGAATGATAACGGCAGCCCCATCCTGGGATACTGGGTGGAGCGTAGAGAGATAAACAGCTCGCACTGGGCACGTGTCAACAGGTTAGGAAATGCCAGATTAACAACGACTGTGTTTGGAGGTGACAGTAATATTTCCTTCCTCTCTGACCCTAGGGAAATTGTCCCAGACACCAAGCTGAATGTTGGAGGGCTGCTGGAAGGACTGACGTACATCTTTAGGGTGGCAGCTGAAAACCAGGCCGGCCCTGGGAAGTTCAGCAGCCCTTCTGAACCTAAGAGGGCCCAGGCTCCAATTTGTATGTAATCTGTACTATACATTAGAGTCTGCAGGGTATTGATGAGACTTAAAAACATGTTAATGTGCTTGTTTTGACCTTGAAGTGCCTCCTGGACCTCCCATTGCTCGTGTAGTGGCTACCACTGACCACTCTATTGAGGTTGAGTGGGATCCACCTGCTGATAATGGTGGAGGAGAGATCCTGGGATACCAGGTGGATAAGGTCAGAACATTTAGTCCCTTCTGATAACTTTTTATTCAGTTATTCATTATTTAACATCTTTTGTAGGTTCTTTCTGTGTTTGTCTTTAAATTCCATTTTTAGTTGTTTTTAAACACAGATAAGGTTTTTCTTTGCCTTGCTGACGTTTCGTTTGTGGCTCCAAACATCTTCAGAGCTGACGCTGATGGGGCGTCACTTCCTACTCGGTTTATCCTTTCCGAGTTGGTCAGGCACATTCAGGTGTCCTCTGCTGCCCACGGATAAACGGAGTAGGAATTGACGCCACCATCAGCGTCAGCTCTGAAGATGTTTGGAGCCGCAAACGAAACGTCAGCAAGGCAAAGAAAAACCTTATCTGTGTTTAAAAAAAAACCAAAAATGGAATTTATTATTCAAGTTTATTTCTATCACGTCAAATCAGGACCAGAGTCGTCTCAAGCACCTTCACACAGTAAACATTCCAGCACAGGTCAGGTCATTAAGCCAATCAGTAACAAGTTTCCTATATAAGGAACCCAGCAGGTTGCATTGAGTCACTCACACACACACACACACGCATGCACGCACGCACGCACGCACGCACACACACACACACACACACACACACACACACTAAGTAGTGTTTCTATGGTTATATTGTGATTTCTTAGTAAATATTCTGTTTGGTGAGAGATAAACTTTATTGTATTTATCCTAGTGAATCTATAATTAAACTGGTAAACTGGTAGTAGCACATTTAATGTCAAAGAGAGTAAAATGTTATTATCAGGAGAGGGAGAATGTTTAAGTGGTTAGCAGCAGTGTTCAAGCCGATGGCCCCCTCCATGAGGCCACCACAGCTCAGCAGAGCATCATTGTAGCTTCTTCTGGGGAGAAAAACACTTAGAGACAAAATAAAGTTAACAGCTGAAATTGCAGAAAATAGTACAGTTAAAGAGCAGATTGTAGAAGAAAGTAGTCAGTGTGTCCTCCAGCTAAGCCTATAGCAGCATAACTACAGAGATAACCCTGGATGACCTAGCCTTTTAGATGGTTGTTGACCTAATATTTGCTTTCAGCATATGTTGGTGCAGATGCTAATCTGAAACTTCAAACTGTAATCAGTTACAGTGGAACTGATGTTTTGATTGATTCTGTGGTTCCTCAGGCAATAGTTGGAACGAAGGACTGGTCCAGATCTACAGAGCGCCCCTGGAGGACTCATGCCTTCACAGTCTATGGAGTGCGTGAGGGAGCAAAATACTCCGTCAGAGTCATTGCCTGCAATGCTGCAGGAGAAGGAACACCTGGGTTCACAGAGTCTGTGATTGTAAAGAATCCAGCAGGTCAGCTGACATTTTACTGACTTTTTACTGAATCAAACATTTTAGGTCATTTATGTGCATTAACACTTTGTTGTTTCATTCTTTTAACACTATTTTGGAATTCTTCAGAGACACCAGTGATCCAAATGAGCCTTGCTGTCAAGAACGGAATAGTCATCAGAGCTGGAGAAACACTCCAGGTACCTGCCACAGTCACAGGTAAACCTTACCCATTCATCACCTGGACCAAGGATGATGGGAAACTTGACAAAGACCGTGTGGAGCTCCTCAGTGAGGGCAATGACAGCATCGTCTCCATCAAGAACGTCCAAAGGAATGACTGTGGAAAGTATCAGATTTCTGCTTGTAACCCTAGTGGTATCAAGACTGCATGGACCAGAGTGGATGTGGTCGGTGAGTAAAAATCCAAGTAGTCTTCAGAACTTTGTCATATCTCTAACAATGATGCCCAACAAGCTAACACATTGCCATGCATCGTATTTCAGATGTTCCTGGACCTGTCACAGATCTGAAGCCAGTCGTCGTTACTCGTAAGATGATCTTCCTGAACTGGGATGACCCTGCAGATGATGGAGGCAGTGACCTCACAGGCTTTGTTGTGGAACGAAGAGATGCCAAGATGCACACATGGAGACAGCCTATTGAAACAGCTTCGTCCAAGTGTGAGTGTGTGGGTATCATGGAAGGACAGGAGTACTTTTTCCGTGTCATCGCCAAGAACAAGTATGGTATGGGTCAACCCGTGGAGCTGGGACCAATCAAAGCCATAGACCCACAGGGTGAGTGCTGCAAATGTTTACAATCTGTACGTCAATACTTGAGCTCTGAATTAGTACATGAAACACATTGTGGTGATTCTGTAGGTCCACCATCATACCCTGAGAAGTTCCACTACACAGAGCGCACCAAGAACTCCATCACATTGGCCTGGAGGCCACCTCGAAATGATGGTGGCAGTCCCGTTATTGGCTACTTTGTTGAAAAGAAAAGACAGGACCAGCAAGCCTTTGAACCTTGCAACACGGAGATTTGCCCTGACATGACCCTGACTGTGGAGGGCCTCGAGGAGGCCTGGATGTACGAGTTCAGAATTAAGTGTGTTAATCTCATTGGAGAAAGCGAGCCGTCAATTCCACTGACTGTGGTCATCCAGGACGATGAAGGTGAGGTCCGGTACTGCTCACTAGGGATGTAATGATGCTTTGAGAATCTATTTGAAATCTGTGCTAACTAGTTTAAATATCCATCGTTGTAGAAAAAAGGAAAATCATTCACAACGGTCACAAATATTACGTGATATGGCATGCTTGCTTGTGACAGGCATTAATCAGAACAGAGGCAAGTAGGGATGCAACAAATCATTATTACTAATGATCTGTTATCTGTTTGGATGGGTTTGGCATGCACGCGGTCCGCAGATTGGTCATGGTGAGAGCGTAGCCGCTACCTGTTTACTCCAGAGCAGAAATGAACAGGGGTGGTCATAACGGAGGAGAGGAGCTTGAAAATCCACCTGCATCATTTCAGTCTATGTGTGGGGGCGTTTTGGCTCCCCTGTAAAATACAATAATGATCCACACACACACACACACACACACACACACACACACACACACACACACACACACACACACACACACACACACACACACACCTCCGATTGTTGGAAAGGAGAGGGGTGGTGCGTGAAACATGCCTTGGACAATTATCACATAAAGGTGGTGAGACCTGTGAATATTGTTGGGGACAAGTCTGTCAAAGAGGGAAAGGTGAGATGACAAGTGAACACAGGAGGTCACCCAGAGAGTGTGTCTTGTAGGGCAAGCCGTTTTGACAACTAATCAGCATTCAGACCTCTCCTCAGTAACTCCTGCTTTTATAGCAAGTTGCACATTCAGCAGAAAAGTTTGCACAACAAAATAGAGTGCAAAGCTTTTTGTTTTTCTGTTCTTTTTCTTTCTGCTGGTCTAAAAAACGACCCGATCTGTGACTGAAAACCGTGATACGATCCAAACCGCGAGATCATTCATCAGTCGCGCCGCTACAGGCAAGCGTGGCTACAGCAGGCTACTTCGAGACGCTCCAGTTTGAAGTCAGCAGTGTGGCAGCATTTTGGCTTCTCCATGTTTACAAATGAAAAGGGTGAACGAAATACCGACAAGACAAAAATCGTAAAAAAAACTGAATCGTGAACTTAAAATTGGGAATCCAATTTAATCGTGGCTTGAGTGAATTGTTTCATCCCTACTGCTAACCATTCTCAGTGGATGAACATCAATGATCTTAGGACAAAATTATGGTAGTCAGGTGCTCGGTGACTACGGGTGTTGATCTGTTTTCTGCCCTCATGTGCTTATTTTCTCCGTGTTGAATCTTTTTCTTTCAGTGGGTCCTGAGGTTCACATGCTCAAGCACTTTAAGGCAGACTGCATCACCGTGAAGAAGGGTGAACCAATTGAGATTCCCGCTAACATCATTGGACTCCCTATCCCAAAGATCGAGTGGTCCAAAGACGATGTGGTGATTGAGAAGCCCACTGAGACCCTGCTGATCGACACAGAGGTGACTGGAAGGCTGAACGCTAAGACCATGCTGACCATTCCAGCAGCCAATCGGAGGGACCGGGGTTACTTCATGGTGTCAGCTTCCAACAACATGGGCTCAGCCCATCACACCATCTATGTAATGGTGCTGGGTGAGTGAGCCACCAACAGGCCGGCAGCTTAAACAAACCTAAACTGTAATGTTTGTGTCCTGAATGAACTTCTGCTTTCCTCTTAGACCGACCCACTCCACCCAGGAATCTGAGTGTCTCAAACATCAGAGCAGAGTCTTGCTACCTGAACTGGGACCCACCCACGGATGATGGTGGCAGCGAGCTGACCAACTACATTGTTGAGAGAAAGGAAGTAATGAAAGACCAGCCTGAGGTGGAGGAAGGACAAGAGGCTCTGGCGATGCCGCAATGGGAGGAGGTCAACAGCAGCGTCATTGAGAGGAAGTTTGGGGTATGTTCCTGTTATTATGACTACATTCAATTCAATTCAAATTCAATTCAAAAATACTTTATTAATCCCAGAGGGAAATTGATTAAGGTATAAGATATAAAAACCGCTGACTGTGGGTCTTTTTCTTCTGCAGGTGTGGAACTTGGAAACTAACAAGACCTACTTGTTCCAAGTCAGAGCCCAGAACCGCTATGGTAAATCTGATCCTTGCACAACGGAGGAAGTCCACATCACAGACCCCTTTGGGCTTCCTGGCCCACCAGAGAAACCAACTATTTCAGAATACTCCAAGACCTCCATGACACTAACTTGGGAGCCTCCCAGAGAGACCGGAGGTTCAATGATCACCGGCTACTGGCTGGAGAAGAGGGAGAGAGGCACTGACTACTGGGCCAAAGTTAATAAGATGCCAGTGACCAAGAGGGGTGTAAAAGGCTGGGAGTACCAGGTAACCCGCTGGAGCTTTAACTTGCTCACCTGGCAAATGTAAAATCGATATGAATCCAGTTTAGCTCAACCAACAACCAATCTCAGGATTCAAAAACAGGTGTAATCCTTCTTCTCTGTGTGAACCAGGTGACACGTCTCTTTGAAGGAACTGAGTACGAGTTCAGGGTTGCAGCCAGTAATTCAGCTGGAACTGGACCATTCAGCGGACCTTCTGACTCTGCTTTTGCTGTTGATCCTATCAGTGAGTAAATCCACCTGTCTGCTAGCGCCTGCGTTCAGGGACAAATGTGCTTTTTATCAAATGTCTGATTTTAGCCCAAAAAAACTTGGGGCAGCAGCAGCTCAGGAGGGAGGGCGGGTATCCAGTAGTCAGAAGGTTGCAGGTTCAATCCCGGCTCCAACCAGAGAATGCTGCTGTTGTGTCCTTGGGCAAGACACTTAACCCACCTTGCCTGCTGGTGGTGATCAGAGGGACCGGAGACGTGTGTTCGGCAACCTCGCCTCTGTCACTTCGCCCTAGGACAGCTGTGGCTACATCGTAGTTCATCACCACCAGCGTGTGAATGGGTGAATGACTGATTGTGTTGTGAAGCGCCTTGGGGGCTGTAGAAGCCTAAGAAGGTGCTATACAAATACAGACCAGTTACCATAACTGAATGTTCTGCTATCAGTCCTCCTGACCGTGATGGGACTTGCTGCTCGGAGACGATCTGTGTCGTGAACCGGAGCTTAAGAAATAAATTGAACTGCAAGCTTAGATTTTGGATACAGTTATCAAAGTTTGTTAAACCAAATAATTGCTTTCCATTTCAGCTCCTCCAAGCATGCCTGCTGCTCCTGAAATTGCTGATAAGACCAAGCACAGCGTCACTCTGTCCTGGAAGCCACCTGAGAGTGATGGCGGAAGTCCCATCAAGGGCTACATCATTCAGATCCAAGATGAGGGCTCATCAGAGTGGCACCGGATCAATGACATTGACAGCTTGCATCCCACCACAGAGTTCACCGTGCCCAGCCTCAGAGAGCTGAAACGCTACCGCTTCAGGATTATTGCTGTCAATGACATCGGAGAGTCTGACCCCAGCCCACGGACCAGTGAAGTTCTGGTCGAGGATGTCCAACGTATGTCTGACATCTTCAACAGATCTCAATGTTTTTGTCTTTCCTCTTTACGTTTGTTTATTTGGTTTCTGGACAGTTCCTCCTCTCATCACAATTGACGTAATGGCGGAAGACCTGGTGAATATTCGGGCTGGAGATTCGATCAGGATACCTGCCACCATCAAGGGCCGTCCTGTTCCCAAGGTGACTTGGGACTATGAAGGCAAAGCCAAGTCCCACAAGAAGAACAAACTGCACATCCTACCGGTGGACTCTGAGGTTAGAGCTTTACAGAAACACCACAGCTTCTGCTATAGAGGTCAGACCTGCTCATACAGTTTGTTGTATCCAGGTGGAGTCCACAGACACCACATCCATTGTGAACATCCCCATCAGTCTGAGGAGCCACTCTGGACGCTACACAATCACCGCCAAGAACAAGTCTGGACAGAAACACGTCAACGTCAGGGTCATTGTTGTTGGTATGTGCTGATCATGGCAGAAATTCTCGACGTGTCTGAGTTAAGCCTAACCCCATATCTAAATAACATTTGCTTTGGGTTGCAGATGTTCCTGGACCTCCAAAAGATCTGAAGGTCACTGATGTCACTCGTTCCACCATGAGGTTGATCTGGAAGCTCCCTGATACTGATGGAGGAGAGAGAATCAAGAGCTACTTTATTGAGAAGAAGTCAGCCATTGACAAGGCCTGGACTAAGGTGAACGCTCACCTGTGAAACATCAGATCAGATGTTTCAGCAAATGTTTTAATCCCATTTTACTTTAGTTACCTTAAGGCTGCTGTAATCATTACAAAGTGTGAGCCCACCAACTTAGCTCCTCACAAACGCTGTGAGCTGTAAATGAAATGGACCGGCACAGCTAACACACGTTCCTCCGTGGTTCCTCAGGTGAATGCAGCTTGCGCTAGCCAGGCCTTTGTGGTTCCAGGCCTTCTGGAGGGTCAGGATTACTTGTTCAGAGTGCGTGCGGAGAACAGGTTGGGATTCGGCCCGTTCACTGAAACAACGGAGCTTGTTCGAGCCAGAGATCCCATCTGTAAGGACACATCTGTTACTCCAGCTTAACACGCCTAACTCTCATCCTTCAGGAAGTAATCAGTCCTCCTAAACTTCTTCCCACAGACCCCCCTGACCCACCAACCAAGCTGAAGGTCAACCTGATAACAAAGACCACGGTGACTCTGAGCTGGGAGCCCCCCAAAAACAACGGTGGCTCTCCTGTGAAGCATTACATCATTGAGCGTTTGAGCTGGGACACCAGTGGCAAGGAGAAGGAGACCTGGAAACAGTGCAACAAGAGAGATGTGGAGGAGCTGACGTTTGTGGTGGAAGACCTGAAGGAGGTTGGTTCTTGTTTTCCTTTCCCTTCCAGAGAGTTCTGAGGTCTTTGGGACCAGACTCCTTTATCTTGATGAAATTCTCTTTACGTCAGAATTCATGAGAACTGTTTGAATTGGGGGTTGTTAGTTTTTATGTTCAGTAACTGAAAACAGAGATGAACCACGTGGAACCTCAAGATTAACACATCCAAGAACGTGATGTTGATTCTTGTGTGGATCTGCAGGGGGGGGAGTATGAATTCAGGGTGAAAGCCGTGAACAATGCCGGACCCAGCCGACCCTCTGCCACCGTGGGACCCCTTGTTATCAGGGATCAGACATGTGAGTGGCACGCCTCCACAACACCTCCGTCTTCAAGGTTCTGGTTGTAGCTGAATGTAACGGTCCTCCTGCAGGTCCTCCTACCATTGAGCTGCGAGAGACCATGGAGGGAGAGGAGGGATGTGACGTCAGCATCGTGGCTAAGATCAGCGGCTGTCCGTTCCCAACGCTCACTTGGAATAAGGCCAGCCTGGCCAAACCCGAGGAGAAGGCTGCTGTCCAGTATGACCAGCATCTAAACAAACTGGTGACCCAGGACAAGTGCACACTTCTCATTCAGCAGGCCAGCAGACACGACAGCGCCCTCTACAGTCTGGTGGCCACCAACAGTCTGGGTTCAGCCACTAAGGACATCAAGCTGTCGGTGCTGGGTGAGACGAGCAAATAGCAATCCCTCATGTGCTGACTCATTATGGTCCAGTGGATTCCTGTTCAAGGCACTGCAGTTAGATTACTGAAAAGTAATCCTGGGCCTTCTAAACTGTTACATCTTGCTAAATATTTGCTTGCAGAAATTCTTTGAGTAAACTTGTGACAAATAGCAGAAGTTCTGATGTGAATCCATTCTGACCCATCCCCCCCACCCCTGTAGGACCTCCGGGCCCACCTGTTGGACCAATCACATTCACTGAGGTGTTTGCTGAGAGGATCGGCCTGGCCTGGAACCCTCCCACAGACGATGGAGGCTCCAAGATCACCAACTACGTTGTTGAGAAGCGTGAAGACAACAGGAAGTCCTGGGTCCATGTCTCCAATGACCCTAAAGACTGTGCCTATGTGGTGACACGTCTCACGGAGAACCACGAGTACGAGTTCAGAGTCATGGCCCAAAACAAGTTTGGAGTGGGGCCACCACTGATCAGTGAGCCAGAGAAGGCCAGAAACCTTTTCAGTAAGTTCAGAGCCGCTCCATCAGACCTACAGAACCTCTTACTCACTTCAGTTTGAGTCCACAGAGACATGAACCTCTGATTTGTCTCTGCACAGCCGTCCCAGGTCAGTGTGAAAAACCAACAGTAACTGATGTCTGTCTGGAGTCCATGACTGTCAACTGGGACGAGCCCAAGTATGATGGAGGATCCTCGATCACCGGCTACTTCGTTGAGAAGAAGGAGACCACCTCCAAGCGCTGGACCCGTGTGAGCCGCGAACCAATCCGAGCTCTCCCTCTGGGCAACAACTGGGATGTGACAGGTCTTCTGGAGGGGGCATTGTACCAGTTCAGGGTCATAGCTGTCAATGCTGCTGGCTGTGGGCTGCCCAGCATGCCCTCTGACCCTGTACTCTGCAGGGACCCCATAAGTGAGTCAACTCCTCTCACATCAGTTACCTGCACTCACCTGACGCAGGGGTGGGGAACCCTGGTCAATGGAGGACCGCTATCCAGCATATTTTAGTTTCAACCCTGCTTCAAGACACCTGATTTCAATCAGCAGGTGATCAACAGGCTTCTGCAGAGCCTGATGAGCTGCTGAACAGGTGAACCGACCACTGAATCAGAAGTGTTGGAGCAAAGACATGCAGGGTACCGGTCCTTGAGGACCAGGGTTCGCCACGCCTGGCCTGACCCATCGGTCTTATCTTTGTGATGTTTAGTTGTGTTTTATTGGTCATTTAGAGCTTCACCTTTGTGAAGTTGTTACTTTTCTCTGTGATTTGTCGTGAACGTGGTTTCAGGACAGTACCACTCCACAGAATTCACTAGTTTATCCTGAGAACAGCCAATCAGAGCTCCATTACCAGAGGCTATCGACAACAATTGTGGGTGTTAAACCCCTCAGACAGTAAAGCTGCTGGATTACCCACTTTATGTGTTTTCTCAATATTTTAGCATGAAATCGTAACATTTGGCTGTTTGTGTACAGAACCTCCAGGCCCACCCACCCCAAAGGTGACGGACTGGACCAAGTCAACAGTGGAGCTGGAGTGGATCCCTCCTCTGATAGATGGAGGATCTAAGGTGACCGGCTACATTGTTGAGTTCAAAGAGATAAACAAGGAGGAGCAGGAGAAGAAAGCTCAGAGGAAGCTGCTGCTGAGCGACACTGAAGAAGACAAGGAGCCTGAAAGTGATGAGAGCTGGGCAAAGGTAAATGAAAACAAACGAACAAAAGGAGGTCAAAGTTCAGCTCCTGACTCAAAGTTCAGCTCCTGACGGTGTGTGTGTCTGTCTGCAGGCCAAGGACACGGAGATCAGAGGCACCAAGTTCGTGGTGACTGATCTGAAGGCAGGAGGTCTGTACCAGTTCAGAGTACGAGCCGTGAATGCTGCAGGGGTGGGAGAACCTGGAATGGTGTCTGAGCTGATTGAAGTCAAAGACAGAACCAGTAAGGGTCCAGCACCATTTTGTCTCACATGGAAGGAGATGTGGACCCATTAACTGTAACTGTCTTGACCCCCAGTTCCTCCTGAGATGGACCTGGATGCCTCAGTGAAGGAGAAGATTGTTGTTCATGCCGGGGGCACCATCCGCATCATCGCCTATGTGTCCGGGAAACCTGCCCCGCTGATCACCTGGTGCCGTGACGATGGCGAGGTGCCCAAAGAAGCAACGGTGGAGACGACAGGTATCTCCAACTCTCTGGTGATTAAGAACTGCAGACGCCAACATCAGGGTATGTACACGCTGAGCGCCAAGAACGAGGGAGGTGAGAGGAAGAAGGCCATCATCGTTGAGGTCCTTGGTGAGTGGGAGGTGGGGTGATGTGCATTTAACAGCTTTACAAATCTTCTAACATAATTACTTGTTCCTTCAGACGTTCCTGGACCTGTTGGTCTTCCTTTCGCCGGTGAGAATTTGACCACAGACTCTTGCAAGCTGACTTGGTACACACCTGAGGATGACGGTGGCTCCACCATTACCAACTACATCCTCGAGAAGCGGGAGTCTGACCGCATGGGCTGGACCTCAGTGTCCTACACGGTGACGAGAAACAATGCTGTCGTGCAGGGCCTCATAGAGGGCAAGGCCTACTTCTTCAGGATCGCAGCAGAGAACATCATCGGGATGGGCCCCTTCACCGAGACTGATAAAATGGTGCTCATCAAAGACCCCATCTGTGAGTGGTCAGATTTCTGGGTGATTTATGAAGGTGTGGTCGGCAAAAAGACACCGAACAGTGATTTCTAAATCTAAATCCTGTAGTTAGAACCAAAGCTCTACAAACGTAGTTTCAAAGCGAGCCTGTCCTCTTTATGTCAGCGAATCGGATGTGGTTCCTAGAATGAATGAATAGACAGAAAGTTCTGGCGTTAGTCTGGGTTGTGGAAGGATGGGACAGCAGAAGTGTTCATTATAGGCGGCCATCTCTCCTCTGATTGGCTAACATGAACACAACTCCTCCAATGCCTCCATTTGCTCTGCGACGTTGATGTTTTACCTCCATAAATAACACGAGTCTGACAGAAGCTCTGTGGGGTTACTAATGCTAACGGTTAGCTTCTACTTGTCGGGATGCACTCTGCTTTCTCCATCTCCCACGGTCGTGAGCCTTGGGGTGTGACTCTAGCTCTGTGTGGCTTTTCCGGCCCGAGCATTTCCTCATCAGTGGCTAATAAAAGCACATGTGGGAAGAAGACAGGACAACAGCAGCTCAGGAGGCAGAGCGGGTTGTTCAGTAGAAGGTTGCGGGTTTGATCCCGGCTCCGACCAGAGAACGCTGCTGTTGTGTCCTTGGGCAAGACACTTAACCCACCTTGCCTCCTGGTGGAGGTTGGAGGGACTGGTGGCGCCTGTGTTTGGCAACCTCACCTCTGTCAGTGCACCCCAGGGCAGCTGTAACTACATGGTCGCTCATCCCCATCAGCGTGTGAATGTGTGAATGAATGATGGTGGTGTGAAGAACCTTGGGGGGCCCTAAGAAGGTGCTATACAAATACAGACCATTTACCATTTCAGCCTGCACTTTAAACTCTGTGACCAGTTATATTTCAGAAAGAACAATGATGCAGTTCTCGGTGAAACCTCAATAATCCACTAGCCTACTAAGTAAAACTTTTATCTGTTGTAGTAAAACATGAAAGTGTTTTTATTAATTAAGTTTGCATTTTATCCAGCTGTTCCAGAGCGTCCAGAGGACCTGATCATCACCGCCATTACCAAAGACTCCATTTCTGTCACCTGGAAACCGCCTAAATATGACGGCGATGCTGAGGTGACTGCATATGTCCTCGAGTCCCGAATGGTTGGTCGTGACAGTTTCACACGGATAGGTGGAGAGGACAAGTTGATGGACAGGAAGTTCACTTTGAAGGACCTGAAGGAAGGCTCGAGTCATGAGTTCAGAGTCTCTGCCGTCAACCAGGTGGGACAGGGCAAGCACTCGTTCCCCACTAAACCGGTGCAGTGCAAGGACGAGCTGGGTGAGTGACCTGGTGTACCATCAAGAACTGGAAACTGCATGTAAATTACTCCATTACTCAAAGCTTAGCAGAATATCACTCATGTAGTAGTACTCAAGTTCCACAGTGCCCCGTGTGATTGGAACTGAGTGGCCCCTAGTATTTTTATAGCATTAGACATCCGCTTAAAGAACAAGTCACCCCAAACAACTTATTTTGCTGATAAACTATGTAAACGATGTCTAATTGTGCTGCAGGCATGTGTGAGTAAAATTATAGCACTAGCGCATCTACCTAAAACTGTCAATGTTGCACCGTCTTCAGGTAAAAACTTTGCACTAAATTTGAATTTTAATCTGCCAGTGGTGTTGGCCTAGAGGTACACTATGATGCTAGCTGGTACGTTATGATGTCACTGTGCCGTGAGCCTGTGTGTATTTGTTAGCGGCTCCGCCCTCTCGGTCTGCTAGGCAACAGCACTGGTTGCATTTTTCAAACAAGAAATGGGAGTGGAGTAAGACTCTGGTAGGGGGTGACTTGCTCTTTAAGAAAAACCTGCTTCCAGCCGTATCAGTATATGTTTCCACATCCATGTGGTGCCCTCTGAGGATTTAATATTCCACTAGAGTCAGAGGAGACCATACATTAGTTGTTTTTCAGTTAAAGGGTGAATCTTAAACTGCTTCTGCTTGCTTCAGAACCTCCCACTCTGGACCTGGACTTCAGGGAGAAGATGGTGGTAAAGGTGGGAGACCCATGCATGCTGTCAGGAAGTTTCAGTGGAAAACCGGCTCCTGCTGTCGCTTGGATAAAGAATGACGAGGAGCTGAAAGCAGACGAAGAGCTCAGCCTCCACAGCACCACACGTCACATCAGCCTCAGCATCAGCAAGGCCAAACGGGAACACAGTGGCCGTTACTGCGTCAGCGTGGAAAACGCCGCCGGCGCTCGAACGGGAATCTGCACAATCATTGTGGTCGGTGAGTCGGAACACATGCAAGTGTGGAATAGCCACAACGTTTCAGAGAAATATCACACACACACACACACACACACACACACACACACACACACACACACACACACACACACACACACACACACACACACACACACACACACACACACACACACACACACACACACACACATACACACACACACCTCTGATGTGTTAAACGTTTAAATACGGCCAAATTCTTAAAAGCCTAGAAGTGTAAACGATGGAAGCTCACCCGTGTGAATGTTTCTCCTGTCAGATCGTCCTCAACCACCAGAGGGCCCCGTTGTTTTCAACGAAGTGTACAGGAACTACATGATGGTCTCCTGGAAACCTCCTCTGGATGATGGAGGCTGTGCCATCTCCAACTACATCATTGAGAAGAGAGACACCAACCGAGACCTGTGGATGCCCGTCACCTCGTCCTGCACCAGAACAACCTGCAAGGTCAGCAGCTTTTAGGATTGGTTCAGATGTTCTGAATAATCACAGCAACAAACTGCTCTGGACATTCATGATCTTTCGTGGCTTCAGGTCCCAAAGCTGATCGAAGGCCGAGAGTACATCATCCGTATCATGGCTCAGAACATGTATGGAGTCAGTGACCCCCTACTGTCAGCAGAGGCCAAAGCCAGGGATGTCTTCAGTAAGTTTGCCTTCAATCAGTGAATGTAGCAACAAAGCCGAAGGCATTCTTACCACCAGGTGTGTTTATATCACAGAGGTCCCCGATGCTCCCAAACAGCCCATAGTGAAAGAGGTTTACCACGACTCCGCCCTGATCAGCTGGGAGCCACCTGCTGATGGAGGAAAGCCAATCACAGGCTACATCGTGGAGAGGAAGGAGACTAAGGCCAACAGGTACTCAGACAATAGCTGCAAAAACACTTCAACTTCCTTGTGTCCATCCATCTTGTACACCTGCTGGTCCATGCAGGGTCACGGGGGGCTGGTGCCGATCTCCAGCAGCCACCGGGCAAACAGGCAGGGTACTCCCTGGACAGGTGGCCAGAACATCACAGGGCAACACAGAGACACACAGGACAAACAACCACACACACACACACACACACACACACCTAAGGACAATGCAGACAGACCAGTTAATCTGACAGTCAAGTGTTGGACTATGGGAGGAAGCCGGAGCACCCAGAGAGAACCCACGCATGCACAGGGAGAACACGCAGACTCAGTGCAGAAAGAACCCAGGTTGGGATTTGAACCCAGGACCTTCTTGCTGCAAGGCAGCAGCGTTAGCCACTGTGCAGCTCCAACTCCCTTTTATATGTATCCGAAATACTTTAAACATTTAGAGAAAATCTAACTAATCAAAAAACAGAACAAGTAAATTATCAATGTTCAAATCAAAACAAGGCAAGCAGCCTCCAACCAAACGTGAAACCCTCATTAACATCAGATCCAGTGGTTTATTAGGCCAGTAGATAAATTCATCATGCTGTGGCTGCAGGTGGATTTGCTGCAACACCGAAAGGATCCATCCTAAAGTGGAGTACTGGGTGGCCGAGCTACTAAAGGGTTGTGAGTACGAGTTCAGAGTCAGTGCGGAGAACGAGGTGGGAGCTGGAGACACAAGTCCACCATCCAAACCTGTGTTTGCCAAGGATCCCATCGGTTGGTTGAACTCACTGAACCCATTTTAAACAACCTCATGATTTTAGCACCAACTCACAGAGACTGCCTCTGACCTCTACAGTGAAACCCGGTCCTCCAGTCAACCTTCAAGCCATTGATTTCACCAAGGAGTCTGTGACTCTGTCCTGGGACCCCCCTACTGACACTGGCAGAGGAAAGATCTTTGGATACCTGCTTGAGTTCCAGAAGGCTGGAGAGGAAGAATGGCAGAAGGTGAGAACAGGTCGATGTTTGGTTGGTTTCCTCTTGGAACCCCACTAACCATAATGGGTACTCTGCAGCCACTGCTAGATCCACGTATTCTCTTTTTATCCTAGAGGAAAACAAATACGTTCAGTTTTAGTGATACTGCCCCATTCGCACTCTTTGCATTTCATTTCACTTTGTCTAACCAAATATTCCAACACGTTTGAGCAACGTTGGTGTTAACCTTTGACCTTTTCAAACATCAGGTAAACCAGACCCCAGACTCTTGTCAGGAGACCAAGTTTAAGGTGATCAGCCTGGAGGATGGAGCTTTATACCGCTTCAGAGTTATGGCTGTGAATGCTGCAGGGGAGTCTGACCCAGCCAACCTGAAGGAACCAATCAGAGTGCAGGACAGACTAGGTGAATATACAGTGCTCTTAACCCTAATGTTTGAACATTCCTTTTTACTTCTCAGTCCATCTAAATTCATGTCGCTGCTTTTTGCTCCAGAACCACCGGAGCTCATCCTTGACGCCGGAATGACTCGGGAAGTGAAGGCTATGGCTGGCACGCACATCACACTGATGGCTACCATCAAAGGCGTCCCATTCCCCATTGTCACGTGGAAGAAGAACGATGCAGAGGTTCCCACCAGAGCTGACATCGAGACCAATCAAGTAGGCACCAAGTTGGAGATGAGATTCTGTAACCGTGGTGACTGTGGAGACTACACCCTAACAGTGGAGAACCCAGCTGGATCCAAGACCGCTACATGCACTGTTCTGGTTCTTGGTACGTGAAAAACAAAACATTAGAGTAGACACAATAGCAGGAGCCCTTCTTATGTGCATGCGTGTGTGTTTTCAGACAAACCTGGTCCCATTCAGCACCTCCGGGTATCTGATGTCAGAAGCGACTCTGCCTATCTGTCCTGGAAGGATCCAGAAGACAATGGTGGAACTCGCATCACTAACTTTGTGGTGGAGAAGAAAGACACGGCATCCACTCAGTGGGTGCCGGTCTGTTCCACCTCCAAAAAGCGCAGCATGATGCTGAAGCATCTGATGGAAGGAACATCTTATATGTTCAGAGTAGCGGCTGAAAATCAGTATGGCCGAAGCGAATTTGTTGAGACATCAAAAGCCATCAAAGCAATGAACCCTCTCTGTAAGTGACGACACAGGGACGAGCCTGCAAAACGGTGTTTCTTCATCAACGATCTTTCTTTAACTGTGTTTACGTTCTTCCCACCAGTCCCTCCTGGTCCTCCAAAAGATCTGCATCATGTTGATGTAGACAAAACTGAGGTATGGTTGGCCTGGAACTGGCCCGATCGCAATGGAGGAAGTGACATCACAGGTTTTTTGGTGGAGTATCAGGAAGAGGGAGCGAAGGACTGGGAAGAATGGAAGATTGAGAGCATTCCAGAGAGCCATGTCACTGGCCTAGAGGAGGGAAAGACCTATCGCTTCAGAGTGAGAGCGGAAAACGCCATAGGCCTGAGCAGACCAGACACAACAGTGCCCATCCTATGCCAGGAGAAACTTGGTGAGACGTAACCTCCTTTACCTCTTAGATGTGTTTGTCGATAAATGTTGTTAGTATTGTTTAAACTCTGCGGTAACCTGTTTTCTTTTATTTGATCACAGTGCCTCCAGTTGTGGAGGTGGATGCTAAGCTCATTGAAGGCATCACCGTGAAGGCCGGCACCACCATTAGGCTGCCGGCTATAATGAGAGGAATCCCTGTGCCCACAGCTAAATGGTCCATTGATGGAGAAGAGATCACTAGCCAGGGCAACATCAAGATTGACACTGATAATTTCTCTACTGTGCTCAACATTAACGAATGCACCAGGAACCATTCAGGAACTTACCTGCTCACCGTGTCCAATCCAGCAGGAACGAAGGCTGTGGCCTTAAATGTATTAGTTTTAGATGTTCCAGCTGCTCCTATTGGACCTGTCAATATCCTGGAAGTCACGCCAGACTCCATGACCATTGAATGGCGTCCTCCCAAGGATGACGGTGGAAGCCCTGTCACCAAATACATTGTGGAGAAAAGAGAATCCAACAAGGAGACTTGGGGAGGCGTTAGCTCTGGCAGCCTTGACACTGAGCTTAGAATCACTCGACTACAGAAGGGAGCTGAGTACGTGGTCCGCATTCGTGCTGCTAACAAAATGGGGGTGGGTGCTCCACTGGAGAGTAAGCCAACTGTTGCTGAGCACACCTTTATGCCACCCAGTCCACCTGGAAAACCACAGCCCTCTGACCTGTCAGAAGACGCTGTTACAGTCGGATGGACGATGCCTCTTGCTGATGGTGGCAGCCAGATCACTGGTTATCTTGTTGAGCGCAGGCACAAGGGAGGAAAATGGATCCGAGTTAATAAGACACCATGCAAAGACTTGCGCTACAGAGTCCAGGGTCTCTTTGAGGGAAGTGAATATGAGTTCAGAGTATTTGCTGAGAACATAGCTGGTTATAGTGGTCCTTCTCCCACATCTGACCTCTGCAAGCCCTGCAGACCCATAACTGTCCCAAGTCCCCCTGTAAACCCCAAAGTTAAAGATTACAGTAAGGCCACTGCTGACCTCGTCTGGACGAAGCCTACCAGAGATGGGGGCAGCCCCATCCTAGGCTACACTGTGGAGATGAAGAAAGCTGATTCTGATGAATGGAAAAAGGTGAATATAGATGACTTCATTAAGCTGTGTGCCTATAAGGTGAAAGGCCTAGAAGAAGGTGTGGCCTACACATTTAGAGTCTCTGCTTCAAACATGATTGGTGATGGAGAGCCCAGAGAATTTCCCGAGTCCATCACCGTTAAGGATATCCTGATTCCTCCTGAGATAGAAATGGAGGCCACCTGCCGTGAGCGAGTAACTGTACGTGTTGGACACAACATTAACATCATTGGCTATATCAAGGCTCGCCCTGACCCTGAGGTAGTTTGGTCAAAGCAGGAGACAGTTCTAGAAAACAGCAAGCGTGTGACAATAATTCAGAACTTACCCGTGGTCCACCTGAGGATAAAGGAGGCCACAAGGGACGATCATGGCAAGTACACACTGAAGGCTTCAAATGAAAGTGGTGAGGCTTCCTGCACCATCACAGTTAATGTTCTGGACAGACCCAGCCACTGCCAGAACCTGCACCTCACCTACGTCACCAAGGACTCCTGCATGATTAACTGGGAGGCACCTAATGACAACGGTGGATCTGAAATCACCAATTACATTGTTGAGTGCCGTGAGCCCAGCATCAGCATGTGGTCTATGATTTCTTCAACCTGTACCAATCGCAAGATCAAAGCCAAGCTGATGGAAGGCCACGAGTACCTGTTCCGTGTTTGTGCTGTGAACAAGTTAGGACCTGGTCCTGCTGTGGAAATCAAGACCCCTACGTTGGCCATAGACCCCATCGAGAAACCCGGTGAGCCAGAGAACTTCAGAGCTACTGACATTGGTAAGAACTATGTCTATCTAAAGTGGAGAAAGCCTGATTATGATGGTGGAAGCCCCAACCTCTCCTACAACCTGGAGTGCAAAACCAAAGATGCTGAAGAATGGGTGAAACTCGGCACTGGCCTCCTAACAGACACCTTCTACTTGGCTGACAAGTGTGTGGAAAACCAGACGTATACGTTCAGGTAAGTTCAGGCTTTACTGCATTTAAACAGTCATTCTCCCAGACGTTTACTGGCAGAGACATAGTTCTAACGCCCCTTCTTAAAGGAGATTTTTCTGTATGTTCCCACAGGGTTCAGACCGTAAATGAAGGTGGCGAAAGCAACTGGGTGAAACTTGCTGATATTGTGGTTAAGGAGGAGCTCCATAAGCCCGTCATTGACCTGAAAGTGGCTGGAACTGTGACAGTTAAGGCTGGAGAGTCTGTCAGGATGGAAGCTGCCCTTAGGGGAAAGCCCCAGCCAGAGGTCGTATGGGCAAAGGACAAGGCAGTGGGAGACAATCCAAGACTGAGCTATGAAACTGGTCCAGACTATTCCAAGTTTCTTCTGACTAAGTCCAAGCGTATAGACTCTGGGAAGTATGTCATCACTGCTACCAACACAGCAGGCACTTTCACAGCATATGCCAATGTCAATGTCCTGGACATCCCTGGACCAGTAAGGAACCTGAGGATTACTGGCATTGGAGCAGACAAGTGCAGAGTGGTGTGGGATGTTCCTGAAGATGATGGAGGTTGTGAAGTGGACAGCTACATTGTGGAGAAATGTGAAACCAGAAGGATGGTCTGGTCCACATACTCAGCAGCTGTGGTGACACCATACTGTAACGTCACGCGCCTGGTGGAGGGTAACGAGTATATCTTCAGAGTCAGGGCAGAAAACAAGATGGGAACGGGCCGCGCTGTGGAGAGCAAGCCTGTAACCGTGAAGACTCAGTTTAACAGACCTGGACCCCCTGAAGCACCTGAAGTTACCAAGGTCAGAAAGAATATCACGATAAAGGTTTTCCAACAGGAACGTTGCAAACACATTTTCTTTTTTTACTCACACTGTTGATGTGTTTTGTACAGGTGAGTAAAAGTGAGATGACTGTGGTCTGGGCTCCACCAGAGAGTGATGGAGGAAAGTCCATTACTGGTTACATCCTGGAGAGGAAAGAGAAACGTGCAGTGCGCTGGGTGGCTTGCACGAAAAGCCCCATTTCTGACAGACGCATGAAAGTTCCTAATTTGATTCCAAACCACGAATACCAGTTCAGAGTGAAAGCTGAAAACGAAGTTGGTCTGGGAGAGCCTAGCAAGCCCTGCAGGCCTGTGGCAGCCAAAGATCCTATTGGTGAGTTTTACAGTTGTGCAGCTAGAATTACGGCTCTGATGACGGCCCTAGTATGGATGGAAGTAGGATATTCTGCCTTGAACTTTTTTCTTCATGTCTTTACTTTCAGAACCACCTGGCCCTCCTGCATTCCTGAAGGTGTCTGACAGCACAAAGACCTCAATAACCCTCTCTTGGTGTAAACCTGTGTATGATGGTGGTGCACCCATCATTGGCTACAGCCTGGATCTAAGGCTGAAAAGTGATGCAGACCCAGAAAAACCTTCAGTGGGCTGGAAGAGGATTGATACCTGTGGCCCACTTGTGATGACAGAATTCACCATTGATCAGCTGGATGAAAAGCAGGAGTATCACTTCAAGGTTTCTGCCCAGAACCAGGTGGGCTGGGGGCCCCATGCCTATCTGAGGGAAGCTGTTTCTCCCAAAGAAATCCTTGGTAAAGCTGCAATAATCCTGTTGTGTAACACAGCACTGTAGAGTTTACTAAAACATGAATCATTTTCTGTGTTTGAATGGCAACAGAGGCTCCAGAAGTTGAGCTGGATGCAAGTCTGAGGAAAGGCCTGGCCGTCAGAGCTGGTTGTCCAATCAGGTTGTTCGCTGTGATCAGAGGAAGACCAGCCCCCAAGGTCACTTGGAGGCGCCTAGGTGTGGACAACGTGGTGCGCCGAGGCCATGTGGATCAGGTTGACACAATGTCCTTCCTGGTTATTCCTGAGTGCACCCGAGAGGATTCTGGGAAATACTCTCTGACATTGTCCAACTCAGCTGGAGAGAAAGCTGTGTTTGTTCGTGTCAAAGTCCTTGGTAGGAACAGGAACGAGAACAAAGATCAAAGAAACAAGCAATCATATCAGAACATTTCTGTGTGACATAAACATCTAAATAATTGTTTACAGACACGCCTGGCCCTGTTGGGGGCTTGGATGCAGCTGATGTCACTAAAACAACTGCTCAGCTCTCCTGGATGCCACCTGAAAATGATGGCGGCAGCCCCATTCTGAACTACATTGTGGAAAAGCGAGAGGTGGATAGGAAGACTTGGACCAAATGCTCAGAAGACCTAAAGAAACCCAGCTTCAAGGTGACCAACTTAACTCCTGGCATCGAGTACTACTTCAGAGTTATGGCCTGCAACAAATATGGTGTTGGAGTTCCTCAGGATTCTCCCAGATCCTACCTGGCAGTGGATCCCATCAGTAAGTGTCACCACTCAGCACACACTTCACATTTATGCACAACTCAACCTCTCATACGCTGGGCATTGGTCATCTAAGAATCTCATGCATAATTATAAAGTAGGGACAGATACCATCATGGCCAATGCTTCTTACATACATGCATTCACAAGAACCGTATATATCGCGTCATACCCGTGTCACAACCCGTGCACGCGCATTGGGTCCACAGCGCGCGTGTGAACGGGACTCGCGCGCGTGTGAACGGGACTCGCGAGCGAAAATATACATGGCGAGAGGTCATTTGTGCACTGAGAAGGAGCAAACTGTGTCTGTGAGCGCACAAGGATGTGCACAAGTGACAAACCTGCGTGCGCGCGTTGTCAACGAGCACACGGCAGAGGAAAACGTGCGCGCGCGGCAGCCTCTGTGCGCGCTCGGCAGCCTCTCTGCGCGCTCGGTTTCTGACTCCTGCTCGCTCGGCTGTAAGGGCTTTTGGCACTCTGGAGGCGTGGCCTGTGGCAGATCTTGTCTGTCCTCTGATTGGTTAGTTCACCCCGCACTTTACCCTCTATCTATATAAAAAAGTCTGATGTTCAGTAGTTGCTGGCATAGCTCAGCTGGGAGAGCGGGTGACTCTCACCCCGGAGGATCCAGGTTCGAGTCTGGGCAAGGAAAATGTAGTAGACGTCATGTTAATTTTTCTTAATTTCAGGTATTTTACAGTTGTGACCGTTCAACTGTCATTAAACGTCCGAATGTTTGCTGGGCAGTGTTTTAAAAAGTGCACATAAGCTAGATGGTTTTAACCATATAAAATTACATTTTTTGTGATACTGGAAAAATACATACTGAAATAAAACTACTGATTGAAAACTTTATGACTGTGGTTGTACAATATATGACTCACTAATACACTGCAAACTCCCTTAGAGTGGGGCTTCCACAGAGAGAGAGAGAGAGAGAAAAGTTCTTGCCTCATTAATGAATTGTTTATTTTTTTCAGTATTTAATTGACAAATTATCCTTTCAAATAATTAATTGATGAGTTACATAATTGTCCATTTCATAAAGAAACTGCATATCAAGCTTTCATTCAGATGACCTTCAACAGTGCTGCACCCTGCTGAGGGACATCCGAGTAAAACCTTGAGATGGCCATTTTCTGTTCACTAACTTGCTTTAGTAAATCCTTACTTTTGTTAAACAAATCAGTTGTTGAACCCCCACTCCTCTGTTTGGTCTCCTTTCTTATTACAGCCCACCACTTCCAGTCTGGGTTGTAACAATCTGCAGACAGATTTCTGAGTATCTCCTCCTTTACACAGATCCTCACTAAGCCATGTACTGTGAACAAATAGTTTCTCCATGATATTATCCAGCAAGGTCCCGTTTTTGTCAAAACAAGGGTGAGGTAATGAAAAAATAGAAATATTTCATTAAATTAACATTTAAATTATTTATATGCATCATTAAAATAAAAAAAAAACATGTTTTGAAATATATAAAGTGCACCAAACTTGACTCAGTCCATTCAACAATTCTAAATGGACAATTATGTAACTCATCAATTAATTATTTGAAAGGACAATTTGTCAATTAAATACTGAAAAAAATAAACAATTCATTAATGAGGCAAGAACTTTTCTCTCTCTCTCTCTCTCTCTGGAAGCCCCACTCTAAGGGAGTTTGCAGTGTATTAGTGAGTCATATATTGTACAACCACAGTCATAAAGTTTTCAATCAGTAGTTTTATTTCAGTATGTATTTTTCCAGTATCACAAAAAATGTAATTTTATATGGTTAAAACCATCTAGCTTATGTGCACTTTTTAAAACACTGCCCAGCAAACATTCGGACGTTTAATGACAGTTGAACGGTCACAACTGTAAAATACCTGAAATTAAGAAAAATTAACATGACGTCTACTACATTTTCCTTGCCCAGACTCGAACCTGGATCCTCCGGGGCGAGAGTCACCCGCTCTCCCAGCTGAGCTATGCCAGCAACTACTGAACATCAGACTTTTTTATATAGATAGAGGGTAAAGTGCGGGGTGAACTAACCAATCAGAGGACAGACAAGATCTGCCACAGGCCACGCCTCCAGAGTGCCAAAAGCCCTTACAGCCGAGCGAGCAGGAGTCAGAAACCGAGCGCGCAGAGAGGCTGCCGAGCGCGCACAGAGGCTGCCGCGCGCGCACGTTTTCCTCTGCCGTGTGCTCGTTGACAACGCGCGCACGCAGGTTTGTCACTTGTGCACATCCTTGTGCGCTCACAGACACAGTTTGCTCCCTCTCAGTGCACAAATGACCTCTCGCCATGTATATTTTCGCTCGCAAGTCCCGTTCACACGCGCGCTGCCATGTATATTTGCGCTCGCGAGTCCCGTTCACACGCGCGCTGTGGACCCAATGCGCGTGCACGGGTTGTGGCACGCTTTAAACGCCATACGTATAGATCCAGAGTGTACTTTTGGCGGGTGGTGGATGCCAGTCGGTCTTGCTAGGAATCAATTTTCCGACAAAGGAGTGGTATCCATCTTGTTCACAAATGTCCTTGTTATGTGTGCGTGGGTAGGGCCGATCCAATTATTATTTCATACATTGGCATCGGCCGATTTAAAGTCAGGCACAGCCCCAGGTATTTCTTTATTATTAACAGAAACAATAGCAATGCCCCTGGGATTGTATTTGATGTGTTTCCCCATCACTACCATCTTTTACAAACAGGTGAACCAGACCCTCCTAAGAAGATGGATGTGCTGGAGATCACCAAAAACAGTGCCACCCTGGGCTGGCTGAAGCCCCTCAGAGATGGAGGAGCCAAGATCAATGGCTATGTGGTGGACTACCAAGAGGAGGGTGCACCAGAGAACAAGTGGACACCTTACTCTGTGGTCAAAGACCTGACCATTGTGGTGGTTGGTCTGAAGGAAGGCACAAAGTACAGGTTCAGAGTGGCAGCCAGGAACTCTGTGGGAGTCAGCTTGTCTCGAGAGGCTGAGGGCGTGTTTGAGGTCAAGGAGCAGCTGAGTAAGTCAACCAACCTGCTTCTAGTTTTCACACAAACTGTTAATCAGTAAGGAGGCCTCATTGAATACATGTTTAACTAAGTTGTTGAATTTTTAACAAAGCTGAAATGATCTTCAACACTGACTTAATTTTTTATATTTTTCTTCTCAGTGGCACCAAAGATCATAATGCCTGACATTGTGATGGCCAGAGCCGGATCTAAGATGGTGATAGAGGCCATTGTGGCAGGTAAACCTGCACCTGTCTGCAAGTGGAAGCAGGGCAACGAGGATGTGCTGACTTCTGACCGTCTGTCGCTTGTAAAATCACCAACAATGTGCACACTCATCATCAAAAATGTGACCAGGAAGGACAGTGGCTACTACAGCCTGTCGGCTGAGAACAGCACCGGCAGGGTCAACCAGATTCTCAGAGTCACCATCATGGGTCAGTCAAAACAAACTGTCCTTCCAGCAACAATTGGAAATGTGATAAATTGTTGTCAGTATATCATAATTAATGATTCACTTCTCTCTTAGACAAACCTGGGCCTCCAGAAGCTCCTTTAGAAATCTCAGAGTTAGACATCGATGCTTGCACACTTCTTTGGAACTCCCCACAGGAGGACGGTGGCAGCAACATCACCAACTACATAGTGGAAAAATGCGACATTAGCCAGGGTGACTGGATCACTGTGTCCACATCCTGCACCAAGACTAGCTTCAGAATGACTAAACTAACACCTGGCAAGGAGTATGGGTTCAGGGTTCGTGCTGAAAACAGGTTTGGGATCTCAGAGCCCATCTACTCTGAGAAGATGGTCGCTAGATATCCTTTTGGTGAGTTATGCATTCCTTAAGAGCTCGCTGCCTTTACATTTGTGGCATTATGTGTAACCTGTGTTCTGTGCTCTCACAAGATCCTCCCAGTGAGCCCATAAACCTGCAGATCAACAAAATCAACAAGGACTTTGTTATTCTGTCGTGGGAGCGTCCCGGCAGCGATGGTGGCAGCCCTGTTACCGGGTACTGCATTGAAAAGAAGGAGAGGAACAGCCTTCTGTGGGTGAGGGCCAATGAGTCTGTTGTCAAAGCCACCCAGTACACCTGCTCGGGCCTGATTGAGGGTCTGGAGTACGCCTTCAGGGTGTCGGCCTATAACATGGCTGGACAAGGAAAACCATGCAAGCAGACTGACTTCATCACAGCCAGGACCGCTGTTGGTAAGTTCATGTCTATCTAAGTTTAATCCTTCTAGTGATTTGTTTTAATAAAATAATTTAAATAATCAAATGACACAAATTGAACCAACACTATTAAATAATGACTAACCTGTAAAATGCGTGTCTGAGAGAAGAGTTGATTTCTAAATGTATGTGATCCACAGACCCACCAGGTAAACCTGAACCAATGGATGTTGGCAAGAACTCAGTTTCGCTGGTTTGGAGCCGTCCCAAACATGATGGTGGCAGCAAGCTAATTGGTTACTTCATGGAATATGCTAAGCTACCAGAGGAGAAGTGGACTCGCTGCAATTCCAACTGCATGAACATCCAGACAGAGAGTTATGTGGTCCAGGGGTTGGAGGAGGGTCAGAGGTACCAGTTCAGAGTTCTAGCCAAGACTGCAATCAATGTCAGCCTCCCGTCTGACTTGTCTGATCCCATCACAGTCATTGCAGAAAACGGTACAGTTAGTAGCCTAGGAAATAAACAAATAAATAAACAAAACAACTGAAAACTAATGCTAAAACGTTTTCTTGTTCAGTGCCTCCTCGTGTGGAACTTGGCATCAACATGAAAACCCTGATTGTGGCAAAGGCCGGGGAGAATGTCTTCCTGGATGCAGAGGTGTTTGGCAAACCACTACCCAAGGTGAGCTGGAAAAAAGACGGCACACCTCTGGTTCTTGCTGAGGGCATGAAGATGGCTCAGAAGAAACATCTTCATTTGCTGGAGCTGTACTCCGTTACCAGAAAAGAGTCTGGAGACTATACTATCACTGCTGAAAACATCAATGGCTCAAAGTATGCTACCATCAAGGTCAAGGTGCTCGGTAGGTTAGAGTAAAAATCCTTTTAGTTAGGCTGAAGTGGGTTTGATTTCAGACCTATCTCAACATTCATCTCTTTGCTCTGCAGACAAACCTGGGCCTCCTGCCTCAGTAAAAATTGCAAAGGTCTTTGCTGATCATGTGAAGCTGCGATGGGAGCCTCCACTGGCAGACGGAGGCTCTGAAATCCTCAACTATATTATTGAAAAGCGTGAAACAAGCAGGCCTAACTGGGCGTTGGTAACCTCCAACATCCACGGTTACATCACTGACTGCTCAGTGGAGAAACTCATTGAGGGTCATGAGTACCAGTTCAGAGTCAGTGCTGAGAACCAGTATGGTGTGGGAGATCCCGTCATGACCGATGCTATCACAGTTAAGAACCCATATGGTAAGAAACCACTCTAATCTGCATGAACTTGGGAATTCTTATTAACCAAACAGGAGACTGACCTTATGTCTTCTATCAGATGTTCCTGGACCCTGTGAGGCTCCTGTCATCACCAATGTTACTAAGGAATCTATGACAGTCAGCTGGAAAGCTCCAGCCAATGACGGCAAAGCGCCCATCCTGGGCTACATGGTGGAGAAACGGGAGGCCACCGAGCTGACCTGGGCAAAGGTTAACCGTCGGCCAGTTATTGACCGAACTATCAAGGCTGCACAGCTGACCGAGGGCTCAGAGTATGAGTTCAGGGTCATTGCCTTGAACAAGGCTGGTCTGGGCAAACCCAGTGATCCATCCAACGCAGCTCTGGCTGTTGATCCTGTCTGTAAGTGAGCAGTGGAAAAGCAAATTAAAGCTTCTTGGAATTTATAGTGATTGTTTGACTTAAAACTCACCTACACTTCAGATCCTCCTGGCCCACCTGCGTTTCCAAAGGTGGTGGACTCAACCAAGAGTTCTGTTAGCCTCAGCTGGACCAAACCTGCTTATGATGGTGGTTGTGAGATCATTGGATATCTGGTGGAGTGCAAGGCGGTTGACGCAGAAGCATGGACTAACTGCAATGTCCCCAAGAAACTACAGGCCACTAAATTCGTGGTGACTGGTCTGATGGAAAACACAGAGTACCAGTTCAGAGTCACTGCTGTCAACAGGATCGGCTACAGCGAACCCAGTGAGGTTCCTGGAAACCACATGGCCAAGGATATTCTGAGTATGTGTATTTGGCTTATCAGTCTCTACACCGGTAGTGGCCTAATAAAGTCATGTCACGTGCTAAAGGTTTTAATGTTGGGTGTAAATGCTGACCCTGAACCACGTCTCTTCTGTAAAGCTGTACAGGGATGTGGTTGTGCTCTTTAGTTTCACTACGATAGCTAGCAAATACTAAAATATGCCACTTTCCTTCTTTAATGTACAACCGATCCCTAGTGGCAACTCCGAGTTTTACATACCTGTCAGATGAAAACAGCCCTGCAGGATGGATTTAGCGTTTCTAAAGCTTGGGCTCCACTCAGAAGTTAAAATCACATAAAAAAATTACTCAAGCAAGCATGACAAAGACTGTATAACCATCAGTGTATGTCTATCTGCAGTCCCCCCTGAAGCTGAGTTAGATGCTGACCTGAGAAAGGCACTGGTGTTGAGAGCTGGCGTCACCATGAGGCTCTACGTCCCGCTGAGAGGACGGCCAGCACCTAAAGTCATGTGGACAAAGGTGGATGCCAACCTGAAAGACAGACAGGGCATTCTGATCAAGACATCAGACTGGGACACCCTGCTGATGATAGAGGACATCAACAGATACGATGCCGGCAAATATGTTTTAACCCTGGAGAACAGCAGTGGATCCAAGAGCTACACCATCATAGTGAAGGTCCTGGGTAAGCATCTCTGTCTGACACTCGTATGCTACGAGTGGAAAGAAGCTCATCTGTTGTTTTAAAGGCAAGAAGAGCAAGCCTATAAGAGATGAGTTCAAGTTGTTAGAGTGGTGTTTGTTTCATAAAGACTTCTGCAATGGTCACATTGGAAATGACCCATAATCTTATTCATTGTAGTTTTACTTTTAAACAAAACTTTAAAGTGTCAGAATAAATATGAGAAATGTAACCTAATGTAAGTGAAACGTCCTCTGACTCTTCATTTCCATCACCCGTCCATATTTTAGTTAATTCACATGGAAGATTCATTGTTGTTCCTCCCCACTCAGATTCTCCCGGACCACCCACAAACCTGATAGTGAAGGAAACCTCCAGAAGCCATGCCTGCATCTCCTGGGAGGCACCGCTGATTGATGGCGGTAGCCCAGTGAAAAGCTATGTGGTAGAAAAACGACTGGCTGAGAGGAAGGCATGGACTTGTGTGTCAGCGGAGTGCCACAAGATTTCTTTCAGGATCACAAACCTGGAGCCAGGACAAGCATACTGCTTCAGAGTGCTGGCTGAGAATGCCTATGGCATTGGAGAGGGCTGTGAGACTCAGGGCAGCGTACGCGCCTCAGGTAACCATAAAAAAGCACGCATCCACTCCTCTGATAGGTCTAAATCAAGGTTGTTGTTCTTTTAATGGAATACTGTGGTAAATAATCAAATATCATCCTTAACCCGTTACATTTTTTCAGAACACCCTGGCCCAGTTACTGACTTCAAGGCCCAGAAGACCACCAAAAACTCGATTACTCTGGGTTGGAAGAAGCCCATCAGTGATGGTGAAAGCTTTATTACTGCTTACATACTGGAGCAGAGCCAAGGCGAGGAGAAGTGGGTCCAGATTATGAAGGGCAAGAACATGTCACACAACATTAGTGAGCTGGCAGAGGGCAAGGCATATTTATTCAGAGTCAAGGCGCTTAATGAGTCCGGAGAGGGGCCACCAACTGACCTCACAGTTGTTGCCAAGGACCAGTTTGGTAAGAATTCTGTCTTCACATTGTCAGATATATTTTTGTGTGATAAACTCAGCTCTAATAACTGTAGAATCAGAATTTCAACCATCTCATTTACTTCTATCTTAGTGCTGCCTGACTGCAACCTGAGCAGTCTGCACGATGGTTGCTGTGTGGTAAAAGAGGGCACAACCGCACGGATCAACATCCCTGTCACTGGAGTGCCTTACCCCACTGTCACATGGAAGAAAAGTGATGTGGCGCTTGGTGATACTGGGCGCATATGTGTTGAGGCTTCTCAGGGCTTCACCACCCTACTGATAAGAGATTGTCAGAGAGGAGATGCTGACACTTTCACCATCACTGTCAAAAACAGTGCTGGCTCAAAAGACTGCAAGTTGCAGTTGAAGGTAGTTGGAAAGCCTGGCATCTGTTCTGGGCCCATCAAATTTGACGAGATTACTGCTGATGGCATTACTCTGGAATGGTGGCCACCAAGTGATGATGGAGGAGCAGAGGTGTCCAATTACATTGTGGAGAAGAGGAGGACAACAGACAACAAATGGGCCACAGTGGCTTCTGCCATCCAGAAGACCTCCATGAGGGTGATCAGACTCCACGATGGAATAGAGTACATCTTTAGAGTCTGTGCTGAAAATAAGTACGGGATTGGAGAGTATCTGAGGTCCGACCCAGTCATTGCCCAGCATCCATTTAGTGAGTATTTAACATTTTCACAAGTTTGGTTAGTAAAAAAAACACGTATCAAGTTAGTTAATATATTTTACACAAAAGCATCAACAGCAACTGATATCTTATTTTGACACCTCATAAGGCTATATGTGGACTGAAGGGCACCAAAATTCAGTGTGACCAATCGGGTTCCTTAGTAAAGCAACTTATTAAGAATGTTTTTTAGAATGGTTTCATTTTTAAGTGTTTTAAATTAGGTTGCATTTAATTAAACTGGAATATATGTCATTGCACTAGAGTAAAGGGAATGAAGTAAATAAAGAGTGTCTGCATCCAAACATGTTTTGTCTTAAAAAACGTGAACGAACAAGTGAATTTTTAGAGCTTCTCCTGTTGCTAACAATGCTATCATTCTACGACTCTTTCCTTCAGACGTGCCAGAGGCGCCTGCTCCTCCAGAAATTGTCAGCATTCGTCATGAGTCGGCAATTTTGAATTGGGAGGATCCAAAAGACATCGGAGGCTCTCCAATTACTGGTAAAATACATTGAGGGATATCAGTAAGTTGGTAAGCATGAACAAGCAGTTACTAGTAATTAGTTTGTCTTCTTTAGGGTATCGCATTGAATTTAAAGAGAGGAACAGCCTGATGTGGAAACAGGCCAGCAAGACTCCTCTGAGGGTGAAGGAGTGTCGAGTCACAGGCTTGATAGAAGGACTAGAGTACGAGTTTAGGGTGATGGCCATGAATATGGCTGGCCTTGGAAAGGCAAGCAGAGTCACTGAAGCTGTGGTTGCTCTTGACCCTATTGGTGAGTTCAACCTATTTGTCTTGTTCCAAGACAAAACACTTTACTACAGGCATTCATTTTTGTCGCAAAACTAAATGATTTGGGCAAAAGAGCCTTGTTATGATTTATAACGTTAATTTTGTTTTGTGCTTTGCCAGATCCACCTGGCAAACCTGAAGTAATTAATGTGACCAGAAGCACAGTCACTCTGATGTGGACTTCTCCAAAATATGATGGTGGCTATAAGCTGACTGGGTACATGGTGGAGAAGTTAGAGCTTGGTGGAAAGACCTGGATGAAGGCCAATCATGTCAACATTCAGGGCTGTGCCTTCACTGTCACTGACTTGACAGAAGGATCTCAGTATCAGTTTAGAATCAGGGCCAGGAATTCTGCTGGTGCCATCAGTGTTCCCTCAGAGTCGACTGAGTCGCTGACCTGCAAGGATGAGTATGGTAAGCTTACTAATGAACTTGTTTGAGTAAGTTATGATTTTAAGTGACTGCAACTTTTGAAAATCTTATGCTTGGGTTTTAAATAAATATGATCTTTTAATTAGAGTGATATATACATTTATGAGGAACTTGTTGTTATTCTCTTTATAGAGCCCCCATCTATCACTATTGACCAAGACATGAAGGATGGTGTATCAGTCAGGGCAGGAGACACAATTGTGATTACAGCCTCCAAGATTGTAGGCAAACCTCCACCCACTGCTGTCTGGTCAAAGGGAGGTCGTGAGTTCAAGAGCTCTGATATTGTCACTGTCACTAGTACCCCCACCTCTTCCACCTTGGCTATTAAGTACGCAAGTAGGAAGAACACAGGAGACTACAAAATCACTGCAAGCAATCCCTTTGGTATAAAGGAAGAACATATTAAAGTGAAGGTCCTTGATGTGCCCGGACCTCCAGGTCCAGTTGAAGTCAGTAATATTTCAGCAGAGAAGTGTACTCTGACCTGGCTTCCTCCAGAGGAGGATGGAGGCTGCTCCATCAAGTCCTACATTTTAGAGAAGAGAGAGACCAGCCGTCTGCAGTGGACAAAACTTGCGGAAAATATCATGGACTGCAGATACATAGCAAGTAAACTAATTAAGGGTAATGAATACATCTTCAGAGTGTCTGCTGTGAACCAGTATGGCACCGGGGACTCCAGCCAGTCTGGTCCAGTCAAAATGATCGACAGTTACCGTAAGTTTAATTAGTTTTCATATACAGTTTTTCATTTTTTAATTTGCACAAGATTTTTGAATAAAAAAATTTCTGATTTGTTATGAAAAGATTTGTAATTTGGCTGAGAGATTAGTAAAAATGTGTATCATTGTTTTATTTCCCCAGGCCCTCCAGGTCCACCCTCTACCCCAGAAATTGATAATGTCAGTAGGAATGCTGTCACCATTTCATGGAAGAGACCAGTACAGGATGGGGGAAGTGACATTAGAGGATATTGTGTGGAGAGGAAAGAGAGGAGAGGAATGAGATGGGTGAGAGCCAGTAAGAGGACAGTTCCTGACCTGCGCTTCAAAGTGCAAGGTCTGAGTGAGGGAGTAGAGTATGAGTTTAGAGTCACAGCTGAGAATAAGGCTGGATTTGGGGAGCCAAGTGAGCCATCACACCCAGTGATGACCAAGGATATTGTATGTAAGTAAAGCAACAATTCGGATCAATTTTCCAAAAAAGGAATATTGTTTCCTTTTAACATAACATAATTTTGAGGAATTCTGTAACCTCTTTTTTGTGTCTTTATTTTTTTTAGATCCACCTGGGCCTCCATCTAATCCCAGAATTACAGACACCACAAAAACCACAGCAACCTTTGCTTGGGGACGCCCCCATTATGATGGTGGTCTTGAAGTGGAGGGATACATTGTTGAGTATAAAAAGGAAGGTCATGATGATTGGGAGACAGAAACACAGTACCCTGTGAAGATTACTGAATATGTTATTGGTAAACTTCAAAAGGGAAGTAAATACCACTTCAGAGTCAGTGCTGTAAACTCTGAGGGAATTGGTGAGCCTGCAGATGTTGAGAAATTGACTGAACTGGTGGACCAGGAAACACCACCAGACTATGAGCTGGATGCTGAACTCAGGAAAACTTTGGTGGTCAAGTGTCGCGCTTCAATCCGTATATTTATTCCCATCAAGGGTCGCCCTATTCCTGAGGTCACTTGGAGCAAAGAAAATTCCAACTTGAAAACACGTGCTCATATTGACTCAACCGAGTCTTACACTCTGCTTGTTATTCCTGACTGCACAAGATATGATGCTGGAAAGTATCAGCTCTGTCTAGAGAATGTTGCTGGCAAGAGGACTGGCTTTGTTAATGTTAAGGTTCTGGACACACCAGGACCACCAGTCAACCTCAAACCACGAGAAATCACCAAGAACAGCATAACACTCCAGTGGGAAATACCCATAATTGATGGGGGTTCAAAAATTCATAACTACATAATTGAGAAGAAAGAGGCCACTAAGAAGGCATACACAGTGCTCAGCACCACATGGCAAAAGTGTTCCTTTAAATTTCAAGACCTTGAGGAAGGAGCTTACTATTTCTTTCGTGTCTCTGCTGAAAATGACCTGGGTGTTGGTGAACCTGCTGAAACTCCAGAGCCAATAAGAGTGTCCCAGGCCCCTTCTGCACCTGAAAACTTGTATGTCACTGATGTGACCTCTGACAGCGCAAGCCTTGTATGGACCAAGCCTCTCCAAGATGGTGGAAGCTTGATTACTGGCTATGTCATTGAAGCTCAGAAGAAGGACACAGATCAGTGGGTCCACATGGCCACCATCAAAGCTCTAGATTACACTGTTACAGATTTGGTTGAGGGTGCTGAATACACCTTCCGTATAATGGCCGTCAATGCATCAGGCAGGAGCAATCCCCGTGAGAGCAGACCAGCAATAATCAAGGAACACACATCTGCTCCATCATTTGACCTGAGAGGGGTCTACCAGAGTACTGTAATTGCCAAGGCAGGCGATCGTGTGAAGGTAGAGATTCCAGTACTCGGAAAACCCAGGCCTTTGGTTTCATGGAAGAAGGGAGACTTTGTCTTGAAGGAGACACAAAGAATCAACACTGAAACCACATCAACTTCAACTATTCTCAACATAAATGAAATTAAAAGAACTGATGGTGGCCAGTATTCCATGACAGGAAAAAACATGCTTGGTACAGTGACAGAGACCATCACAGTTTTGGTTCATGACATTCCAGGTCCTCCTACTGGTCCAATCAAACTAGAAGAGGTCTCATGTGATTATGTCATTATGTCCTGGGATGCACCGGAGAACGATGGAGGTGTTCCCATTAACAACTATATTGTTGAGATGCGAGAGACTACTGGCACTTCATGGGTAGAGTTGGCAGCTACAGTTATTCGTACTACATTCAAGGCAGCAAGACTCACTACTGGAACCCTATATCAGTTCCGTGTCAAGGCTCAGAACAGATATGGCATAGGACCATGCATCGTCTCTGAATCAGTGTTGGCTGCCTATCCATTTGATGTACCAGGACAACCAGTTGCTCCTGTGGTTACATCTTTCAATAAAGATTCTATGACTATTAGTTGGAATGAGCCATCTTCTGATGGAGGCAGTCCCATTCTTGGCTATCACGTAGACAGAAAAGAGAAAAACAGCATTCTGTGGCAGAGGATCAGCAAATCTCTTGTTGTTGGAAACATCTTCAAATCAACATGTCTTGTTGATGGCATAGCATATGAATTTCGCGTGATCGCTGAAAACATGGCTGGTCTAAGCAAACCTAGCAAACCGTCTGAGTCTATGTATGCTTTGGATCCAGTTGAATCACCAGGCAAACCTGTGGCATTGAATATCACTAGACATGAGGTGACACTGTCTTGGACAAAACCTGAAGGTGATGGAGGATTTTCCATTACAGGATATACCGTAGAAAGAAGAGAGACACCTAATGGACGCTGGCTCAAAGCAAATTTCAACAACATTCTAGAAACCATGTATACAGTCAGTGGTCTGACTGAAGATACAACCTATGAATTCCGTGTGTTTGCTCGAAACTCTGCAGGTGCTGTTAGTGCTCCATCTCAGCCATCAGAGGCAATCATGTGCAGGGATGATATTGAAGAACCCAGGCTAAATGTGGATGCATTGTATAGTAGCAATGTTGTGGTAATGGCGGGAGAGGTGTTTAAACTGGAAGCAAGTGTGACTGGTAGGCCAATTCCTTCGCTGGTGTGGACTAAGGAAGGAAAGGAGCTGGAGGATACTGGCAAACTAGAAATAAAAACATCTGACTTTTACACAACTCTAATCAATAAAGATTCTCTCAGGAGGGACGGTGGAGCTTTCACCCTGACTGCCAGCAATCCTGGTGGTTTTGCCAAGTTCACTTTCAATGTTAAAGTACTTGACAGACCCGGACCACCGGATTCCCTCACTGTTTCAGATGTGACTGCAGAGAAATGTGTTCTTAATTGGCTGCATCCAACACATGATGGGGGTGCCAAAATTGAGTACTTTATCATACAGAGACGGGAAACCAGTAGGTTAGCATGGACAAATGTGGCTACAGATCTCCAAGCAAACAGGTTCAAAGTCACCAAGCTTCTTAAGGGCAATGAATACATTTTCAGAGTGATGGCAGTTAACAAGTATGGTGTGGGTGAACCTCTGGAGTCAGAATCAATAATTTGTGCCAATCCTTATGGTCCTAGTGACCCACCAACACAGCCTGAAGTCACCACTATTACCAAAGACTCAATGGTTGTCTGCTGGGAGCGCCCTGAGCATGATGGAGGCAGTAGAATCAACACATTCATAATTGAGAGAAGAGATAAGACTGGCCTACGTTGGGTGAAGTGCAATAAGAGAACTGTTACTGACTTGCGGTTCAAGGCCTCTGGTCTCACACCAGGACATGAGTATGAATTCAGAGTTCTTGCTGAAAATAATGCTGGTCTAAGCCAGCCTAGTCCTTCTAGTGCATTTTACAAAGCAGTAGACACAATTTTCCAGCCTGGACCTCCAGGAAATCCAAGATTGTTGGATGCCACAAAATCTTCTATTACAGTTGCCTGGAACAAACCTGTCTACGATGGTGGTTCTGAAATCACTGGTTACATTGTGGAGACCTGTTTGCCTGAGGAGGATGAGTGGACAATCCATACTCCTAAGAAGGGATGGACAGCCACTTCCTTTACCATCACTAATTTAAAAGAAAATCAAGAGTATAAAATCAACATCTGTGCCACCAATTGTGAAGGAGTGGGTGAGCCTGGTGCTGTTCCTGGAACCCCTAAAGCTGAAGACAGGCTGCTTCCCCCAGAAATTGAACTTGGAGCAGAGTTACGTAAAGTAGTTTGCATCAGGGCCTGCAGCACACTTAGACTCTTTGTCCCCATCAAGGGCAGACCAGCACCTGAAATAAAATGGTCAAGAGAGCATGGAGAATCTCTTGACAAAGCAAACATTGAAATCACCCCCTCATTCACAACTCTTCAGATAGACAATGTTGACAGATTTGATGGAGGCAAATACTTGGTGACAGCAGAAAATGCCTCAGGTATTAGGACAGCCTTTGTTAATGTCAGAGTTCTAGATACTCCTGGAGCACCCCAGAATCTGATTGTCAAGGAGGCCACTAGAGACTCTGCTTCTCTAGTTTGGGATGCACCTCTCATAGATGGGGGCTCCAGAATCCTTAGCTACATTGTGGAGAAACGTGAGTCAACCAGGAAAGCCTACTCAACTGTTTGTGCCAGTTGTCATAAGTCTAGTTGGAAAGTTGGAGACCTAGAAGAAGGGAAAATGTACTTCTTTAGAATCCTGGCTGAAAATGAATTTGGAGTTGGTCTCCCAGTAGAGACCACTGAACCAATTAAAGCATCACAGAAGCCTCTACCACCAGGGAAAGTATCCCTTCGTGAAGTTACTGGTACTAGCGTCATGCTGTCTTGGGAAAAGCCAGACCATGATGGTGGAAGCAGAATTACAGGATATATTGTTGAGATGCAGGGTAAAGGAAGTGAGAAATGGACCCAGGTTACGGTGGTGAAGACAAACGAGGTTCAAGTAACTGGACTTACACAGGGAGAGGAGTATATGTTCCGTGTTTTGGCCACTAATGAAAAAGGTGTTAGTGATCCACGTCCTCTCAGTGTGCCTGTGGTGGCTAAAGATCTGATAATCCCACCAACTTTCAAACTAATTTTCAACACATTCAGTGTGCTGGCTGGAGATGATCTCAAGATTGATGTTCCATATGTTGCTTGTCCAAAGGCTACAGCAACTTGGCTCAAAGATGGTGTTGTTCTCAAGGAAACAACAAGAGTAAATGCTGAGGCATCTGACAAAAACCTTCTTCTAATTATTAAGGAAGCTTGCAGAGATGATGTTGGCACATATACCATAAAACTGACCAACACAGTTGGAGAAACTATAACAGATGTCAGTGTTGTTGTCCTAGATAAACCTGGTCCTCCAATTGGTCCAATCAAACTGGATGAAGTGACTGCTGACAGTATAGTCTTATCTTGGAATCCACCACAGCATGATGGTTGCTGTACAATCAATAATTATATTGTAGAGAAGAGAGACACATCAACAACAAACTGGCAGATTGTCTCAGCTACTGTAGCCAGAACAACTATCAAAGCAGCTCGTCTAAAGACTGGGTCTGAATACCAATTTAGAATAGCTGCTGAAAATAGATATGGAAAGTCTTCTTTCCTACTTTCTGATAACATTGTAGCTCAGTATCCATTTGAAGTGCCTAGTTCACCACGTTCTGTTGTAGTTCAGTCAGTCACTAAGGAGAGCATGGTTATTGTATGGGAAAAACCTAGCAATGATGGCGGAAGCAAAATTTTGGGCTATCACTTAGAACTTAAAGAGAGAAACAGTATTCTGTGGGTGAAACAGAACAAACAGCTCATTCCAGAGACTAGATTTAAAGCTATTGGTCTTGAGGAAGGCATTGAGTATGAGTTCAGAGTCTATGCAGAAAACATAGTAGGCCTCAGCAAAGCCAGCAAAGTGAATGAAATGCAAGTGGCCAGAGATCCTTGTGACAGACCAGGAAAACCAGAAGCTGTCATTGTAACAAGAAACCAAGTGACATTGAGATGGAGCAAACCTGAATATGATGGTGGTATCAAAATCACAGGTTATGTTGTTGAGAAAAAAGAAGCTAGTGGCCGTTGGATGAAGGCCAGTTTTGCCAACATTATTGAGACTGAATTTGTTGTCACTGGACTTACTGAGGATCAGACTTATGAGTTCCGCGTCATTGCAAGAAATGCAGCAGGTGTTTTCAGTCAGCCATCTGATTCTACTGGAACTATCACTGCCAAGGATGAGGTTGATCCACCAAAAATTGATTTGGAGGCTAAATACTCACAAGTTGTGGTTGTAAATGCTGGAGAAACATTTAGACTTGAGGCTGCAGTGCATGGGAAGCCTGTGCCCTCTGTACACTGGCTGAAAGAGAACAAAGAGATTACAGAAGCAGCTCGTTTAGAGATCCATAATACAGACTTTACAACTTGTCTAACTGTCAAGGAAGCCATTCGTGTTGACGGAGGTCAATACACATTGCTAGTGAAAAATGTTGGAGGAGAGAAAACTGTCAACATTACTGTTAAGGTCTTGGACAGACCAGGTCCACCTGAGGGCCCTATCGCTGTCTATGGGGTCACCAGTGAGAAATGCTCAATTTCCTGGAAACCCCCCTTGCAAGACGGAGGTAATGATGTTTCACATTACATTGTTGAGAGGAGGGAAACCAGCAGACTTGTGTGGACTGTAGTTGACCAAAAAGTTCAAACATTGAATTTAAAAATCACTAAACTTCTTCCTAATAACGAGTACATCTTTAGAGTAATCCCAGTCAACAAATATGGTATTGGTGAGCCTTTAGAATCTGAACCAATGATTGCCAAAAATCCATTTGTCACTCCAAGCCCTCCAACTGAAATAGATGTTTCCACAATTACAAAGGACTCCATGGTTGTGACCTGGGAGAGACCCGTCAGTGATGGTGGTAGTCTGATCCAAGGTTATGTTGTTGAGAAACGTGACAAAGATGGTGTTAGATGGACAAGATGCAACAAGCGCAATGTGACTGAGCTACGCTTCAGAGTAACAGGACTGCTTGAAAACCATAGCTATGAGTTCAGAGTTGCTGCTGAGAATGCTGCTGGTATTGGCACACCTAGCACACCAACAGTGTACTACAAAGCCCTTGATCCCATTTTCAAGCCAGGCCCACCAAACAATCCCAAGTTGGTTGACACCTCTAGATCCACTGTGTCTCTTGCATGGGGCAAACCCATCTATGATGGTGGCTGTGAGATTCAGGGTTACATTGTTGAAGCATGTGATGTAGCCTCTGATGAGTGGTTTATGTGCACTCCTTCTGCTGGGATAACAGACACTAAATTCACAGTGAAAAAACTGTTGGAGAAGCATGAGTACCAGTTCAGAGTCTGTGCAATCAACAAAGTAGGAGTTGGTGAACATGCTGATATACCTGGAAAAATTCTTCTAGAGGAGAAACTTGAGGCTCCTGACCTTGAATTAGATGCTGATATGAGAAAAATGATCAACATCAGAGCAGCAAGTACTCTAAGATTGTATGTACCTGTGAAAGGTCGACCTGCTCCTGAAGTGAAATGGGGCAAGGCAGATGGTGAGATTAAAGAAACTGCCCAGATTGACAATACAGGAAGCTATGCTTCACTTGTCATTGAGAATGTTGACAGATTTGACAGTGGAAAGTACACATTAACTGCAGAGAATGCTAGTGGAGTCAAGTCAGTATTTATAAGTGTCAGGGTTCTGGACTCCCCTAGTCCACCAACTAACTTTATGGTGAAAGAAATTACCAAGAATTCTGTCACACTCTCATGGGAGCCTCCACTTCTTGATGGTGGTTCAAAGATTAAACAATACATTGTTGAAAAGCGTGAGAGTACCAGGAAAGTTTACTCTCCCATAGTCACCTGCAACAAGATGTCATGGAAAGTTGAGCCTCTTCCTGAAGGTGGAATCTTTTTCTTCAGGGTTTTAGCAGAGAATGAGTATGGTGTTGGTCTCCAAGCTAAGACTCTTGATCCAATTAAAATATCTGAGAAACCTCAACCACCTGGTAAGGTTACTGTTGTTGATGTCACTCGTAGCACAGTGACTTTAACATGGGAAAAATCTGAACATGATGGTGGCAGTAGAATCAGTTATTATGAAGTAGAAGTTGCTCCTAAGGACAGTGAGACTTGGTCTCTGTGTGCCAGTGTAAAAGGCCTGGAGACGATAGTAAGCAACCTTCTCAATGGAGAGGAATATCAGTTCAGAGTTGTTGCTGTAAATGAAAAAGGAAAAAGTGACCCAAGACAACTGGCTCATTCTGTTGTGGCAAAGGATCTTGTCATTGAGCCTTCTGTTAGACCCAAGTTGAGTTCCTATAGTGTCCAGGTGGGGTATGATCTTAAGATAGAGGTCAGAATTGCTGGTCACCCCAAACCAACCATCACCTGGATCAAGGATGGAGCTACTCTTAAACAAACCACCCGAGTAAATGTCACTGACACAGCGCATCATACAACTCTAACCATTAAGGAAGCTACCAGAGAGGATGGAGGGATGTACAATATCAATGTTGCCAATACCCTTAGTTCCAAGGATGCCACAATTGAAGTAATAACCCTGGATAAACCAGGTCCACCCACAGGCCCCGTCAAGATTGAAGATGTCAGTGCAGAGAGTGTCACGCTTAATTGGGAACCGCCCATATACACAGGTGGCTGTCCAATCTCCAACTATGTAGTGGAGAAGAGAGACACAACTACAACTAATTGGATGGTTGTATCTGCCACTGTTGCTAGAACCACACTGAAAGTATCAAATTTGAAGACAGGTGGTGAATACCAGTTCAGAATCTTTGCTGAAAATAGATATGGAAAGAGTTATGCTATCGATTCCGCACCTGTTGTGGCACAGTATCCATTCCAGGAACCTGGCCCTCCAGGTACACCATTTGTGTCCTCATACACTAAAGATTATATGGTAGTTGAGTGGCATAAGCCTCCATCTGATGGAGGAAGTGCCATTTTGGGCTATCATTTAGAAAGAAAGGAAAAGAACAGTATTTTATGGACCAAGATCAACAAAATGCTCATCCAAGATTGCAAATTCAAGTCCACTCCACTTGAGGAAGGTATTGAGTATGAATACAGAGTTTATGGTGAGAACATAGTCGGCATTGGAAAATGCAGTAAGGTGTCTGAGGTTTATGTAGCCCGTGACCCATGTGATCCTCCTGGCCGTCCTGAGGCTGTGATTGTAACCAGGCACTCTGTAAAGCTGAGGTGGACACCCCCGCAATATGATGGTGGAAGCCTCATAACTGGCTATGTTGTAGAGAAACGTGATCTCCCTGAGGGAAAATGGATGAAGGCAAGCTTTGCAAACATTATTGAGTATGAATTCACAGTTACTGGTCTTACAGAGGATAACAAATATGACTTCCGGGTGATCGCAAGGAATGCAGCTGGTGCTGTCAGCAAGCCTTCTGAAACCACAGGATCCATTACAGCTAAGGATGAAGTTGAACCACCAAAGAGTGAAACTGATCCCAAGTACAATCAGACCCTTGTTATTAATGCTGGAGAAACATTCAGTCTGGAGGCCAGTGTGGAAGGCAAACCCATCCCAACAGTTCAGTGGTTCAAGGGAAGCACTGAAGTTGAAAATTCAGCAAGAACTGAGATCAAGAACACAGATTCTAAAGCTTTGCTTGTTGTGAAGGATGTTATCAGAGTGGATGGTGGACAGTACACGCTGGTTCTAACAAATGTTGCTGGAACTAAGACCGTCCCATTCAGTGTGAAGGTTCTGGACAGACCAGGTCCATCAGAGGGACCTTTTACAGTCAGCAATGTTACTGAGGAGAAATGCTCATTGTCATGGCTGCCACCAAGGCATGATGGAGGAGCTAGCATTTCTCACTATATTATTCAAAAGAGAGAAACTAGTCGCTTGGCATGGACTGTGGTCTCCAGTGATTGTGGAGCTACAATGTTTAAAGTTACCAAATTGTTGAAAGGTAATGAGTACATCTTCAGAGTTATGGCTGTAAACAAATATGGAGTGGGTGAACCTCTTGAGTCAGAACCAGTCATAATGAGAAATCCCTTTGTTCCTCCGGGCTCACCTTATGACCTTGAGGTCACTAACATTACCAGGGATTCCATGACAATTTGTTGGAACCGCCCTGAAACCACAGGTGGAAGTGATGTGTCTGGTTACATTGTTGAGAAGAGAGACAGAGCTGGAGTGCGGTGGACCAAGTGCAATAAACGCAGAGTGACAGACCTTCGTTTTAGAGTAACAGGACTCACTGAGGACCATGAATTTGAGTTCAGGGTATCTGCTGAAAATGCAGCTGGAGTGGGCCAGCCAAGCCCACCTACAGCCTACATTAAAGCCTGCGATCCTACCTTTGAACCAGGCTTTCCCACCAATGCTCATGTGGTTGACACTACAAAGAACTCCATTAGTTTAGCTTGGCATAGGCCCATTTATGATGGTGGTTGTGAAATTCAGGGATATGCTGTTGAAATTACCAAAGCTGATGAAGAGGATTGGATTGTATGCACACCATCTACTGGAGTAAATGATACAAAGTTAACTATTAAAAACTTGACAGAGCACCAAGAATACAAAGTGCGCATCTGCGCGATCAATAAAGTTGGTGTTGGTGAACCAACAGAGATCCAGGGAGTTGTGATACCTATGGATAAGATTGATCCTCCAGAGATGATTCTGAATTCTGAGCTCAGAAAGGGAATAGTTGTTCGTGCAGGAGGCTCAATGAGAATCTGCATTCCTTTTAAGGGTCGTCCCATTCCTGAAATAAACTGGGCAAAGGAGGATGCTGAGTTGCCAAGTAAAGTTCTGATTGAAAAGGGTGAAGATTACACACAGCTCTCTATTGATATATGTGACAAATTTGATGCTGGGAAATATATCCTTAAATTAGAAAATAGTGCTGGCAGCAAATCTGCTTTTGTGTCTGTTAAAGTTCTGGATACACCAGGTGCTCCTTTAAATCTACAAGTAAAAGACATAAAGAGGGAAAGTGTCACTTTGACCTGGGAACCTCCTGTTATTGATGGTGGTTCCAGGATAAAGAATTATCTAGTTGAAAAACGTGAGTCCACCAGGAATGTGTACTCTAATGTGGACAGCAAATGCACAAAGACAAGCTACCGTATCACTGGTCTCACAGAGGGAACAATCTACTATTTTAGAGTTTTAGCTGAAAATGAGTTTGGTGTTGGACAGGCAGTTGAGACAGAAGAATCTGTCAAAACATCTGAGCCACCCTTACCTGTGGGTAAGGTAAATTTAACTGAAGTAACAAAAACCACTGTTTCACTTTCCTGGGAGAAGCCAGTTCACGATGGGGGCAGCAGAATAATTGGCTACTACATTGAGATGCAACCTGCAGGCTCAGAAGAATGGGTTGTAGCTGCCACAACCAAAACCTGTGAGGGCATCGTCTTAGGCCTCAGTACAGGACATGAGTACCTATTCAGAGTGTCCGCCTTTAATGAGAAGGGAAAAAGTGACCCCAGACCTCTTGTTTCACCAGTTATTGCTAAAGATGTGACCGTTGAGCCCATGCTTAAAATGAGATTCAATACCTACAGTTTACAACAAGGTGAAGACCTAAAAATTGAGATTCCAGTATTGGGACGCCCTGTTCCCAAAGTTGAATGGAAGAAGGCAGGACAAACCCTGAAAGAGACAACAAGAATAAACGTGTCAAGCACACCATCATCCACTAAGCTGATTATCAAAGATGCAAATAAAGAAGATTCTGGCAAATACACCATCACTGCCACCAGCAGCATTGGAACATCTACAGAGGAGATTACTGTCATAATTCTTGACAAACCTGGACCCCCTACAGGCCCAGTAAAGATTGAGGAGGTGAGCTCCAACTATGTTGTTCTATCCTGGGAGCCACCAGAGTACACTGGAGGCTGTCAGATCAACAATTATATTGTGGAAAAGAGAGACACAACCACCACAGTGTGGCAGATTGTTTCTGCAACAATTGCCAGGTCAACCATCAAAGTCACCAATTTGAAGACCCGTGTTGAATATCAGTTCAGAGTATCAGCAGAGAACAGGTATGGAAAGAGTTCACCGATTGTGTCCTCTGCTGTTGTAGCCAAATATCCATTTAGCGAGCCTGCAGCCCCAGGAGCACCAATTATTACAGCTGCAACCAAGGATGGAATGGTTGTCGAATGGAAACCTCCAACTAACAATGGGGGCAGCCCAATTCTCGGGTATCACCTGGAGCGAAAGGAAAAGAACAGCCTTTTGTGGACAAAATTAAACAAACTTCTAATCGCAGATACACGATTCAAGACTACAGAATTGGAAGAAGGTATTGAATATGAATTCAGACTTTATGCTGAGAACATTGCAGGCCTCAGCCCAGCTAGTAAAATCTCTGATAGTGCAGTAGCCAGGGACCCATGTGACCCACCAGGCACTCCTGAGGCCATTGAAATTACCAGAAATCATATTACACTTCAGTGGACCAGACCCCAGTATGATGGAGGTAGCGCAATCACTGGCTACGTGATTGAAAGAAAGAAGCACCCAGATACTCGCTGGATGAAGGCCAGTTTCACTAGCATCACTGATACCCAGTTCACACTCACTGGTCTCACTGAAAATTGTGTTTATGAATTTAGAATTATTGCCAGAAATGCTGCTGGCATTTTCAGTTGCCCATCTGAGGGCACAGGAGCCATTACAGCTAAAGATGACATTGAGGCTCCAGATGCCACCATGGATTCTAAATTCAAGGATTTGACTGTTGTTCGTGCTGATGAGACATTGGTCATTGATGCAGACTACTCCGGTAAACCTCTACCAGAGGTCACATGGTTGAAGGATGGAAAGGAAATTGACAAAGCCACACCAAGAATGGAGATCAAGACTACACTAACTCGTACTATACTGACCGTAAAGGACTGCATCAGAGTGGATAGTGGTCATTTTGTGCTCAAACTTTTAAATGTGGGTGGGATTAAAATCATACCAGTTAATGTAAAGGTTCTGGACAGACCTGGTCCTCCAGATGGTCCATTAGAAGTCAAAGGAGTCACAGCTGAAAAATGTTATTTGCATTGGAATCATCCCTCACATGATGGTGGAGCTAGCATCTCTCACTATATCATTGAAAAGCGAGAGACAAGTCGTTTGTCATGGACCGTGGTTGAGCCAAAGATTCAGGCTATTAGTTACAAAATTACAAAACTGCTCCCAGGAAATGAATATATATTCAGAGTCACTGCTGTGAATAAATATGGTGTAGGAGAACCTTTAGAATCTGAGCCTGTCATTGCTCGCAATCCATTCACAACTCCCAGTGCCCCCTCAACTCCTGAAGCCAGTGCCATCACCAGGGATTCAATTGTACTTACCTGGGAAAGGCCCAATATTAATGGAGGAGCAGAGATCGAAGGATACATACTTGAAAAACGTGATAAGGATGGTGTTAGATGGACCAAGTGCAACAAGAAGAGGCTGACTGATCTGAGATTCCGGTGCACTGGACTTACAGAGGGCCACTCCTATGAATTCAGGGTGTCAGCTGAAAACGCTGCTGGTGTTGGAAAGCCTAGTTCACCAACACAGTACATCAAGGCATGTGATGCAATTTATCCTCCAGGACCCCCAAGTAACCCTAAGGTCACTGAGCATTCAAGCACCACAGTTTCCCTTTCCTGGTCCAGGCCCATCTATGATGGTGGGGCAAATATTATTGGATATGTTGTTGAAAGGAAGGAAGCAGGAGATGATGAATGGATTGTTTGCACACCTCCAACTGGTGCTCAAGACACTCACTACACTGTAAAGAAACTTAAAGAAAATGTTGAGTACAACTTCCGTATCTGTGCTATCAACTGTGAAGGAGTAGGGGAACATGTGGATCTACCTGGGTCAGTTATTGCTGCAGAGAAGCTTGAGGCTCCTGAAATTGAGCTAGATGCAGATCTGAGAAAAATGGTCAATGTTCGTGCCACTGCCACTCTGCGTCTCTTTGTGACCATCAGAGGAAAGCCTGAGCCTGAGGTTAAATGGTCTAAGGCTGATGGCATTCTAAATGAACGTTCTCAAATTGAAGTCACAAGTTCTTTCACAATGCTGGTGATTGAGAATGTTGACAGATTTGATACAGGCAAATACACACTCACTCTTGAGAACCTTAAAGGATCTAAATCAGCCTTTATCAATGTTAGAGTTTTGGACTCGCCCAGTGCTCCAGTTAACTTGCAAGTAAAGGATGTAAAAAGAAATTCTGTCTCCCTTTCCTGGGAACCTCCTTTAATTGATGGTGGAACTAAGATATCCCACTATATTGTGGAGAAGAGAGAGCAAAAACGAATGGCTTTCACAAGTGTTTGCACCAACTGTGTGAGGAACTCATTCATTATTTCTGATCTACAAGAGGGGGGCAGATACTCTTTCCGTGTGCTGGCTGTTAATGAGCTGGGAGTAGGTCTGCCTGCTACCACAGACCAGGTCAAGGTATCAGAGGCTCCTTTACCTCCTGGTAAGATTGTTGTGGTTGATGTGACTCGTCATACTGTCGCTCTTTCATGGGAGAAACCTGATCACGATGGAGGTAGCAAAATCACTAATTATATTGTGGAGATGCAGCCTAAAGGAGATGACAAATGGACAGTGTGCAGTGAAGCCAAAGCACTTGAAGCAACAATTGATGGACTCACAACAGGTGAGGAATACTCCTTCAGGGTCATTGCCATGAATGATAAGGGTAGGAGTGATGCCAAACCCTTAGCTACACCTGTGGTAGTAAAGGACACTACAATGGAACCCATAATCAACTTGCTGTTCAACACATACAGTGTAAAAGCAGGAGATGACTTGAAGATTGATGTTCCCTTCAAGGGCAGACCTCAGCCTGAGGTGTCCTGGAAGAAGGATGGCCAGGTGTTGAAGCAGACCACCAGGGTAAATGTTGTGAATTCCAGGACCTCTTCCAAGGTTGTCATCAAAGATGCAACCAAAGAGGATGTTGGGAGATATGAGATTGCACTGACTAATTCAATTGGCACCAAGACTGCCGAAATTTTAGTGGTAATTCTAGACAAACCTGGACCACCCAGCAACATCAAGGTGGATGAGGTGAGTGCTGACTTTATCTCTCTGTCCTGGGATCCTCCAACCTATGATGGTGGATGCCAGATTAACAACTATGTAGTGGAGAAAAGAGACACTACCTCCACTACATGGCAAATCGTCTCAGCTACAGTAGCAAGGTCATCAATAAAGGTTTCTCGACTCACGCAAGGCACAGAATATCAATTCCGAGTTGCAGCTGAGAACCGTTATGGCAAAAGTTCTGCCATAGACTCCTCTCCTGTGATTGCCCAATATCCATTTGAGCCTCCTGGCCCTCCAACCAATCTTCATGTTTCTCATGCCACCAAGACTGGCATGTTGGTAGTATGGGGTAGGCCTGCCAGTGATGGTGGAAGCCCTGTTACTGGGTATCATATTGAATGTAAAGACCAAAATAGCATCATGTGGACCAAAGTCAACAGAGGTCTGCTGGCTGAAAACATGTTCAAGATGAGTGGCATTGAGGAGGGCCTATTTTATCAATTTAGAGTTTATGCTGAAAATATTGCTGGCATTGGTCCATCCACTAAAGCCAGTGAACCTGTTGCTGCTAGGGACCCTTGCGAGTCTCCACGTAACCTTAAAGTTACAAATATTACCAGAAATTCAGTTTCCCTCTTCTGGGATGCACCTGAATATGATGGTGGAGTAAAAATTACAGGATATATTGTTGAGCGCAAAAAGCTTCCCAATGGTCGTTGGCTGAAGTGCAACTTCACCAATGTGCAAGACACCTACTTTGATGTCACAGGCCTTAAAGAAGATTTCCAGTATGACTTCCATGTTATTGCAAAGAATTCAGCTGAGATGATGAGTGTCCCTTCAGAAAACACTGGTCCTGTCACTATAAAGGATGATGTTGACCCTCCATCTATTATCATGGAAGATAAATTCAGAAACCTGGTTGTCATTAAAGCTGGAGAGATCATAAAAATTGATGCTGAAATCACAGGGCGTCCACTCCCTGTGGTTTCCTGGTCTAAGGATGGAAAGGAGATTGAGGCCAAGGGCAGGTGTGAAATTACTTCCACCAACTTTTTGACCACACTGATCGTCAGAGACACTATTAGGAGGGACTCTGGACTTTATACCCTGACTTTGCATAATGTAGGTGGAACAAGCTCAATGACTGTCAACTGTAAAGTTCTGGACAGACCTGGACCAGCATCAGGACCACTGGCAGTGTCTGGCCTCACAGCAGAGAAATGCACTTTATCATGGGGACCTCCACAGGAAAATGGTGGTGCCGAAATCATGCACTACATTGTGGAGAAACGTGAGACAAGTCGCCTTGCCTGGACCCTAGTACATGGTGACATGAAGGCAACTACCTGCAAAGTTACAAAACTCCTGAAAGGAAATGAGTATATTTTTAGAGTCAGGGGAGTGAACAAATATGGAGATGGAGAAGCTCTGGAGAGTGAGTCTGTAAAGGCAATAGATCCATTCACTGTGCCTACAGCCCCCACTAACGTGGAGGTCACCTCAGTTACTAGTGAGGCTATGACAATCTGTTGGGAAAGACCAATTTCTGATGGTGGCAGCAGTATCTGTGGTTATGTAATTGAGAAGAGAGAAAAGACAGGCCTCCGTTGGTGCCGTGTCAACAAAAAGCCTGTTTATGACCTCAGAGTCAAAGCCTCTAACCTGCGTGATGGCTGTGAGTATGAATACAGAGTGTTTGCAGAGAATGCTGCTGGCCTCAGTGCTCCTAGTGTCCCATGCCCACTCATTAAGGCTGAAGACCCACAGTTCCTGCCCTCACCTCCTCCTAAACCTAAAATCATAGACTCCACAAAGGCCACTGTCACTTTGACATGGAATAAACCACTGTTTGATGGTGGGGCACCTGTGACTGGTTACAGAGTGGAATACAGAAATACATTAGATGATGAATGGATGATTGGAGTCCAGAACACCAAGAACACAGAGTTTACTGTGGTGGGACTGACTCCTGGGGCTGAATATGTATTTGTTGTCAAGTCCATTAACAAAATTGGAGTCAGTGAGTCCAGTCCAGAGTCGGACAAGCAGATAGCTAAAGAAAGAGAAGAGGAACCAGTCTTTGACATCAGCAATGAGATGAGGAAAACTCTTATTGTGAAAGATGGAAGCTCATTTACTATGACAGTGCCTTTCAGAGGCAAGCCTATTCCCACTGTTACTTGGACAAAGCCTGACATTGACCTTAGAGTACGTGCTGTCATTGACACCACAGACACATCCACCTCCATCACCTTAGAAAAAGCTACTCGCAGTGACTCAGGAAAATACACCGTCACCTTGTCCAGTGTTGCTGGGACCTCCTCACTGACACTTAGTGTTAGAGTTCTGGACTCACCTGGACCTCCTGCCTTTGTGGAAGTCAAGGAAGTGACCAAGACATCTGCCACTGTGACTTGGGATACTCCTGAGAATGAAGGAGGGGGACCAGTCAAGAACTACCTTGTTGATTTCCGAGAGGCCAGCAAGAAAGGTTGGACAAGGTTGACTGACACATGCCACAGACTGACATACAAAGTAACAAACCTAAAAGAGGGAGAAGTGTATTATTTCAGAGTGACAGGAGAGAATGACTACGGTGTCGGCATTCCTGCTGAAACCAAAGAAGGAACCAAGATCACAGGTACTGAAATTTACATTAGAAGCATTTTAATTTTTTACAAATGAAATGAAATAATATATGGACTTTTTTGATGAAACCTCTGTCATCCTTCAGAAAAACCTAGCCCACCATCAAAACTGGGAGTAACTGATGTCACCAAGGAGAGTGTGTCATTGGCCTGGTCCAAACCAGAGCAAGATGGAGGCAGCAGAATTACTGGCTACTTGATTGAAGCACTGGAGAAAGGTCAGGAGAAGTGGGTGAAGTGTTGTGTGACCAAGTTCACCCACTTCATAGTTTCTGGACTGAGAGAAAAAGCAGAGTACTTCTTCAGAGTCAGAGCTGAGAACCACGCTGGACTCAGTGATGCTAAGGAAATGGTCACCCCTGTTATGGTCAAAGACCAGCTTGGTAAGTTAAAAGCCATCAGTATATTCACCATTGAATTGATGATTACGAATAAAAATTAACATGACCTTTACTAAAAATCACTACCTGCACATAATAATTAAAAATTAATGTTGAAGTCCAAGCATGAAAAAGTGTTTTTTATTTTTATATTTTCTACATTTTGCCCTAGAACCTCCTGAGATCAACATGAAGGACTTCCCCCACAACACTGTGTTTGTCAGAGCTGGCTCGACACTGAAGTGTGAGATTATGCTGACAGGCCGGCCCTTGCCTAAAGTCAGTCTTTCCAAGGATAATGTGCTGCTTAAGTCAACAATGAGATTTAACTCCGAAGTTACTCCTGACAGCATCAAAATCACTCTACGTGAGAGTGTTGCTGGAGACTCAGGTCGTTATGACATCACTGCCTCCAACTCAAGTGGAACCACTAAGTCATTTGTCAATTTAGTGGTTCTGGATCGTCCAAGTGCCCCACTTGGACCTGTAGAACTGTTTGATATCACAGAAGACAGTGTAAGTTTGATGTGGCAACCTCCAGCATATGACGGTGGAAGTCCCATCACAAACTACATTGTTCAAAAAAGAGAGACAACTACAGCAAACTGGAAGGATGTGTCTTCTGCTGTGGCTCGCTGCACCATGAAGATCATGAAACTGACTACTGGTCTGGAGTACCAATTCAGAATCAGGGCTGAAAACAAATATGGAGTCAGTGAACACGTTGACTCACCAGCTGTAACCGTCAATCTTCCATACAGTAAGGATTTCATATTTTGCCTATCTCATATTTTCAACTGTAATGAATTATTAATTTTTTAACAATGGACATGTCAAAACTGTTTTTTACAATTTTTTTATTCTTCACAAATTCCCATTGAAATATTCTCTAACATTCACAGAAATGTACAATAAGACCAGATACAATCATGCTGTGGTTTCCCTTTTGTTTCCCTTTGTTCTTTTACATCTGAAATGACATAATTTACCATAATTTCCAGACTATAGAGCGCACCTCAATATAAGCTGCACCGGGCTAAAAGCCGCAGATACCTACTGAATTGAAAACGTAGTTGAACTGAACGTAACTGAACTGATCAGTTTCAAACAAAACAGAAACGTTATTGATTAGTTTATTCATCGTCCTGCGCACTGAAACCACTGAAGTCATCTTCTTCAGTGTCAGAGTTGAACAGCCTCAGCAGAGCTTCGTCACATACCTTTTCTGTGGTAATGTCAGTGTCGCCCTCCGTGTTGCTGTCATCATCCAGGGGTGAAGCTGGGAAAACAAGCAACGTCATTTTACTGTGAAAAAAATCCTCCTGGGCGCTTTCCGTAGCACTCCTTTAACCATTCCTTCAATGGACTTTCCAGCATCCATCCTTTCTGGTTGACTAAAGCCGCACCTCATTATAAGCTGCATGGTTCAAAGCGTGGGAAAAAGTAGCGGCTTATAGTCCGGAAAATACGGTGTACATTTTATCACTTCCCCCATTTCTTTTGTCCTCAATTTATCTGTGACCGCAACTCCCCACCTTCTTTAATTATTCCTTAAGACTAAACACTACCCTCCCTCATCAGAGGGACAAAGACAAAAAATAATGATCAAAAAGAAAATGGAGAACAATCCTTCAATGTGTCAGAGCTCTACCATGATAGTTGTTATTGGTTCCCACATTGCTTCAAATAGAAAAACATTTATTTTACAATCTTTTTTTTTATTCTTATCAAATCAAATAATTGTCTACTTTGCTACAATGAGCAGACTTCTTACTGCGTACTTTATTTGTCTATTTGTCCTATTTTTGGCAAATAGGACAAATAGACAATTTTGTTTCAATCACTGAGATATTTTTGGAAAATTCCCAAAATCTTGCAATCCTGTCAAAATACAGGAGTGAAATTTCCTACCCCTCCAAACCCCTTTTGTTATCGATTAATTGTCTTATCAAATTTGGATGTGATGTATTATGTAGTAAAATAATGCATCTTCACCATTCAAATTCCCTTCACATTGGATGAGTAATTAATTTAAATCCAGACCTAAATGAGTCCTCCCATTTGTTGTCTGATATAATTATATTTGCCTTTAACTCCCACCTTTATTTTACTTCCCTAGTATTAGTGCTATTTCTTTAAGGCTCTATTCATTTTAAATGTGATTAGTTGTTTTACTTTCCCGTTCACGATTAAGTAATTTTTTTTAGATTTTCTTCCATTTGCTATGTTTCTGAAGGTAGCTTCTCAGTTGTAGCTACCCATTTGTTCAAATGATTTCGAAATGTTTAAACACTGCATGTTATCTACCAGCTATTCCAGATGCTCCATCAGCTCCAGAGATTACTGCTGTAACCAGGGAGAGCATCACATTAGCCTGGACGGAACCCAAGTCTGATGGGGGAAGCCATGTGTTTGGTTACCATCTCCAGATGAAAGACAAGAACAGCATCCTGTGGCAGAGAGTTAACAAAACTGTGATCCGTGCGACACACTCCAAGGTCACCAATATAAATGCTGGACTCATTTATGAGTTCAAAGTGGCAGCAGAGAATTCTGCTGGACTCAGTGCTTTCAGCAAACCATCAGATGCTGTACTGGCCATAGATGCCTGTGGTAAGTGCCAAATCAGTTTATGAAAAACATTAAACATATGATTTTGATGAAAAAATTACTTTAACATTAACCCTTTTTTCTGAAGAACCGCCTATCAATCTTCACATCAACGACATCACTAAAAACTCCGTAAGCCTAGTCTGGGAGAAACCCAACTATGACGGTGGATCCCCCATCACTGGATATGTCATTGAGAAGAGGGAAGGTGTTGCTGCTAAATGGTCCAAAGCTAACCTCACCAATATCACTGACACGCGTTTCACTGTGACTGGCCTTACTCAGAATGAGACATATGAGTTTCGAGCCATGGCCAAGAATGCTGTTGGCTCCATCAGCAATCCATCTATGACAGCGGGACCAGCCACTTGTGTGGACAACTACGGTTGGCATTTTATGTGTTTTGTCTTTTTTATTTTACGTTTTTCTACATTGTGACATCGTACTTTTTAATTAGTCATAAAATGTTAGTTTAAAAAAGTTAACATACCGTTTTTTTTTTTTATCTATTAGGTGCACCAGAGATTGAAATTCCTCAGGAGTACCTTAATGAAGTGAAACACAAAGCTGGTTCTGATGTGGAACTCAAATTTCACATCACAGCCAAACCAGCCCCCACTATTGAGTGGTGTAAAGATGGAAGAGAACTAAAGCCAACAGCCCAGTTGTCTTTCAAGCACACATTTGAGTCTACCAGTATTTTTCTGAAGGAAACTACTCGTTTGAATTCGGGGACCTATGAAGTGAAAGTGAAGAACTCTTTAGGAACTGCATGTGGCGTTGTCAGACTACTCATTCAAGGTATCAGATATGTTCCAAAAGATTTTGACAATAATTTTGCATTGCTAAATTTGTAGTCTACGTGTCATATGCACAAATATTTTGCCTCCTTCATTAGACAAGCCTGGGCCCCCTGCTGGAGCAATTCAATTTAAGAAAGTGACAGCTGACAACATCACTATCATGTGGACTCCACCTGCTGATGAGGGGGGTGCCATGGTAACTCATTACATTGTAGAGAAGAGGGAGACCAGCAGAGTGATGTGGTCCATTGTGTCAGAGAAGCTGGTAGACTGCATTGTGAATGTGCCTCGACTCATTCAAGGTAATGAGTACATCTTCAGGGTCCGTGGAGTCAACAAATTTGGCATTGGAGACCCACTAGAGTCTGAGCCCATCACTGCCAAAAACCTATTTGGTAATCCAACAAAATCTTGTTTCTATTTTTTTCTTACCAATTTGAAGAAACAGAACTGTCAACTAAACAGGTAATTTTTTTTATTTGTTTAGTTCCTCCCAGTGAGCCATCCAAGCCTAAAGTTACCATGATAACCAAATCCACAATGACAGTGATTTGGGAAAGACCAGCATTGGATGGAGGCAACGATATTAATGGTTATTACCTTGAGAAAAGGGAGAAGAAAAGTCTGCAATGGTTCAAGGTTTGTTTGAAGGATTGTTTTAATTCTAACATTATAAAATGCCAAATTAGCAATCAGTGTCTCAATATATTTTGTTTTTGAGCAGGTGGTAAAGGGCACCATCAGAGACACTAGGCAGAAGGTCAGCAACTTGACAGAGAACAATGAGTATCAATTCAGAGTGTGTGCTGTCAACAAGGCTGGTGCAGGAAACTACTCTGAGGCATCTGACCTTTACAAGGCCTACGACCCCATTGGTACGTCAAAAATGTTTACATAATAGCATTTTTAACTATTACGGGTTGAAGTGTGGCCACCACCAACATAAAGATTTATGTTCTTTCCAGATCTTCCTGGGGAACCCTCAAAACTGCGTGTGGTTGACTCCACAAAGACCTCCATCACTCTTGGCTGGGAGAAGCCTATCTATGATGGCGGCAGTGAAATTACACACTACAAACTAGAACAAATGAATGCGGAGGACAAAGAGTGGGTGACCATCAACCCACAGGTCAAAACCTGCGAGTATGTAGTATCCCACCTCAAACCTGGCACATATTACTACTTCAGAGTCTCTGCAGTGAACTGCAAGGGTAAAGGAGAAGACATCAAGATGTACCAACCCGTGCAAGCCAAAGACATTTTAGGTATAAATTTTAAAATCTGATATAATACTAAAGAGAAAGAAACACATCACTTGTAAACTTCAATATTTACTAAGTACATTATATTTGTGATGGTTAGACTTTTTTATTTCATTACTTGTTCGATCAGTACTTAATGAGTTTCAATTGTTCAAGTATCTAGTATAAGCACATTTGTCAGTTCTGGTTGTTTCAGAAATTTCAATAAAGTTGGCTCGGTAATAATGTCAATTTGTGCTTCTTTTCTATCTAACAGAGGAGGCTGATTTGGACTTGGACGTACCTATGACGACTCAGTACACAGCTAGAGCGGGCCACGATGTGGAAGTGTTCATCCCACTAAAGGGACGTCCTGCTCCCAATGTCACTTGGCGCCGTGGCAATCGGAACATGGCTGGTGACAACCGCTATACCATCAATAGTACTGAAAGATCAACCACACTTCTCATCCCAAAAGTCACTCGTGATGATTGTGGAAAGTATATGCTGGAGATAGAAAACGGTGTAGGAGAACCCAAGTTAATCACTGTTTCCCTAAAAGTTCTAGACAGTCCATCCACTTGCCAGAAACTTATGGTTAAGAATGTCACAAGAGGAAAACTGACCCTCAGCTGGGAGGCTCCCCTGATTGAAGGCGGATCTCCTGTCACTAATTACATTGTTGAAAAGAAAGCCTCAACCATGAAAGCTTACCAGGTGATCACTGCAGAGTGCCTCAACACATCTTACAAGGTGTCAAGCTTGGAGGAAGACGTAGCTTACTTTTTCCGGGTGTCAGCTGAAAATGAGTTTGGTGTGGGTGACCCCTGTGAGACCACTGAACCTGTGACAGCTACAGAAACTCCAGGAGCTGTTAAAGACCTGTCAATGGTGGACTCTACAAAGAACTCTGTTACTCTTCAGTGGACAAGACCTGATCATGATGGAGGTAGCTACATCACTGAGTACATTGTTGAAAAGAGAAGCGAAGAGGAAGTCAACTGGAGTCTAGGTGCCACATCCAGGCGCTGCACTTGTGAGGTGATGGGACTTAAAGAGAATACTATCATGGACTTTAGAGTGTTTGCCAAGAATGAGAAGGGCAAGAGTGACTTCTCCCAAATCGGTCCAATTACAGTAATAGACTTTATTATTCCACCTGAAGCAAACCTCAGTGATTATCCTAATGGGGAGCTTGCGGTGCGTATAGGTCAAAACATCCACATTGAGCTACCATTCAAGGGTAAACCAAGACCTGCAATCAGCTGGCTGAAGGATAACTTGCCACTGAAAGAAAGTGAGAAAATCCGTTTTAGGACAACTGAAAACAAGACAGCAGTCACAGTCAGAGGAGCCAAGAAAGAAAATGCTGGCCAGTACACCTTGGTTTTGGACAACAGAGTTGTCAAGAACTATTTTGATATAAATGTGATCACATTGGGGCCACCTTCCGCACCTGTTGGTCCAGTTCGCTTTGATGAAATAAAAGCTCAGAGTATCATTATCTCTTGGGATGAGCCAAAGTATGACGGTGGTGGCGAGATTACTTGCTATAGTGTGGAAAAACGTGAAAAGTGCCAGGCTAACTGGAAAATGGTCTGCTCCAGTGTTGTAAGGACCACCTTCAAGATCCCCAATCTGGTCAAGGGTACTGAGTACCAATTCAGAGTTCGTGCAGAAAACAAGTATGGAGTTAGTGACCCACTCAACTCCTCTGAAATTATTGCCCAGCACCAGTATAAACCTCCAGGCCCACCAGGAAAGCCAGTAGCCTACAATGTCACCTGTGATGGTATGAGCATCAAGTGGGAGGCCCCAGGCTTTGATGGAGGTTCCCCCATTTTGGGTTATCATGTTGAGAAGAAAGACAGGAACAGCCTCCTATGGCAGAAGGTGAACTCCACCCTCATTTCCAATAAGGAGTACAGGATCATTGGCCTCATGGAGGGTCTAGAGTACTCCTTTAGAGTCTATGCTGAGAACAACGCTGGAATCAGCCCTGTTAGTGAACAGAGCAAACATGCTCGCGCCATTTCCCCTGTTGGTAAGTTTTGAAATAATATGTATTCAGAAACTGCATTTCTTGTTCTGTTCTTCATGAAAGCACTTTAAATCATTTTGTTTATTAATGACTTGGTAAATGTATCTAAGACACTCGGTACCATTCTATTTTCAGATGATACAACACTGTTTTACTCAGGATCAAATATTGAGGAGGAAGCTAAAGTGATAAATGAAGAACTGGTTAAAATTAAAAACTGGTTTGATATAAATAGATTGACACCGAATCTTAATAAAACAAATTTTATACTGATCATTGATTAAAAGAACAGTGATGTGTTATTGGAAATAGATGGAATTGAAATTCAAAGAAACTAAATTTCTTGGAGTTCTTATTGATGAAGACTTGACATGGAAATCCCATATTAGTTACATAAAAGGTAAAACTGCCAAATCCTTAGGAGTATTACATAGAGTCAAGTTTTTACTGACTAATTCTGGTTTGTTGGCATTGTACAATTCACTGATTGTTCCATACTTGACTTATTGTGTAGAAATCTGGGGTGCAACATACAAAAACTATACACAGCCCTTAAGAGCTCTGAGAATCATCAATTATAGTGGCTGTAGAGATCCAGCGAACCCATTGTTTATTAAATATAAATTACTGAAATTTCATGACTTAAAAGACTGGAAAATCTTACAAACCATGTATAAAGCCAATTTAGGTACTCTGCCAACAAACATTCAGGGGATATTTGAAAAGAGAACTAGTAATTACACGCAGAAAGAAACAGATGTGTTTAAAAACCTAGATTTAGAACTAAAATTAAGGAGTGGAATATATATTTAAATGGTGTTAAATTATGGAATAACCTTAAAAGGGAAATAAAAAAAACAGTCATTTAATATATTCAAAAAATGTACCAAATTGAGTGTACGAAATAATTATGAAAATGTAAATTAAATCAATGATCATGATCGCACTGGAATTTAGAACAGGAAAAAGTTTAAAATGAATCTGTATGTGTGTCTGACAAATGGAAATTATATATAAATTGATAATTTCTTCTGGAAAAGGGGGCAGAAATTATAAGATGTTTGTCTTCATTCTGCTCCTTTTCGTTCAAATTTGATTTTTTGTTATGTATTTCTCACTGTTTATATGTTTTATTTGTTTTTATTTTGAATGAGATAAAAAAGAGAAAAAAAAAATCCTATCATGCTCTGATAAAAATATTCTAATGGTAAGCTCATCAAATACACATACAGCCAAGGAAATGTTTTTGCCTGGAGGACAGTTATGATTACATGGGATTCAAGTATTTTTTTTTTATTTTTTTATTTCTTATCTAAATTAGATCCACCTGGCACTCCTGTCTGCATTGATGTAACCAGAGACTCTGTTTCCCTACAATGGGAAGTTCCCAAGAGAGACGGTGGAAGCAGAATTGTGGCGTACAGTGTAGAAAGGCGTCAAGGCAGAGGAAAATGGCTCAGATGTAACTTCATTGATGTAAGTGAGACCCAGTTCACTGTGACAGGTCTGTCCCCTGGAGACAGATTTGAGTTCAGAGTGATCGCCAGGAATGCTATTGGCACCATAAGTCCACCGTCTAACTCCTCGGGATACATAATGACCAAGGATGAGAGCAGTAAGTATAAATGAAATACAAAAATCTAACAAAAATAATGAAATTAGCAGGAATGTGATTTAAAATAAAGTGTAATGCTTGTTTGTGATTTTCCCCACTTTGGGGTAAACAATGTCTATTGTATTTTATCCTAATAATTTTTTTAACTCTACCAACAGTTGCCCCAGAAATTGAGTGGTCTCCTGATCAGGTGTCCACCTTGAAGGCTGGAGAAAATATTAAATTGAGCTGCACCATCTTTGGGCGTCCAATTCCCCAGGTTGTGTGGTACAAGGATGGCAAAGAGATTGATAAGAGGACAATGGTTGATATTGAGATTACCACTGGCATTGGCACCAGCAGTGTGTTTGTCCGTGATGCAGACAGGAACCACAGAGGAATTTACACAATTGAGGCAAAAAATAGCTCTGGTACAAGAAAAGCTGATGTAAACGTCAGAGTGCAAGGTTGGTGAATAAGAAGCTTAGATTTCAGTTATAAATCAGTATGAACAACATTTCTTATAACAAAGATGTGTTCTACAATAACCTTTCAATCTTCGTCCTACACAGACACTCCCGGCCCTGTTGAAGGTCCAATTCGCTTCACTGGCATCACAGCTGACAAATGCACAGTATGGTGGAACCCACCAGAAAATGACGGATGTTCTGCCATCATCCACTATGTAGTGGAGAAAAGGGAGACATCCAGGATATCCTGGGCATTAGTCACATCCAAGTGTGAAGCTTGTTCATACAACGCCACCAACCTCATCAAGGGCAATGAGTATCAGTTCAGAATCTCTGCTGTCAACAAGTTTGGTGTTGGCAAGCCACTCGACTCTGATCCAATTATCGCTCAAATGCAATATAGTGAGTGAAGTACCCCAACACTGTTTATCAGACATCTTTGTTAAACCTCTAACTTTTAGTTCTAAACTCAGAAGCACCTTTGACAATTAAACAGGCCTTTTACAATTTACTTTTTTTCCTGTTCTGCCCCATAGCTGTGCCTGATGCTCCTGGAACCCCAGATGCCACACATGTGACTGGAGACAGCATCACCATGTGCTGGACCAGGCCAAGATCGGATGGAGGGAACGAGATCAAACATTACATTCTAGAAAGGAGAGAAAAGAAAAGTCTTCGCTGGGTGAGGGTTTCCTCCAAGAGGCCCATAACAGAACTAAGGCACCGTGTCACCAATCTTACAGAAGGAAATGAATATGAGTTTCGCGTCATGGCTGAAAATGGTGCTGGTGTTGGACCAGCTAGCAGCACCTCCAGGCTATTTAAATGCAGAGAACCAACCAGTGCTCCCAGTGCTCCTACTGTGATTAAGGTAGGACTGAAATAACACTTGAAATAGTTATACCATAAGAGATATCAATGTTTAAACTGTTTCCATTGAAGGATGCTGATATTCAGTGCTAAAGAACTCAAGTTTAAATATAATTACAAACATAAAGCCGTGTATTCATTTTACATCATTATGGATATAAAATAATTCATCATGCAAATGTTAAGTGCTGAAACTAGTACTTTTTTGTTGAACAGGTCATTGACTCAACAAAGTCTTCCGTCACTTTGGAATGGACAAAGCCTGTGTTTGATGGTGGCATGGAAATTATTGGCTATAATATTGATATGTGCAAGGCCAGTTTAGAGGAATGGCACAGAGTCAACTCTCAGATTTGTATCCACAATAGTTTCACTGCTAAGGGCCTGGCACCTGGAGAGCTCTACAAGTTCAGAATAAGTGCTGTTAATGGGTCAGGAGAGGGTGAAGCCTCCGTTATGCCACACCCCGTTCAGGCTGTGGATAAACTGACTTCCCCAGAAATTGACATTGATGCCAAATTCAAGCAAACTCACATTGTGAAGAAGGGAAGCACTGTCACACTTCACATGGCTTTCAGAGGAAAGCCTACTCCCCTTGCCACCTGGTGTAAGGTAGATGGTGAGCTTCCCGTCATGGCTGATATCAACACCTCAGACACCTTTTCTACTTTGACTATAGAATGTTGCACCAGGTATGAAGCAGGTAAATATACCCTTACCCTGGAGAATAACAGTGGACGTAAGTCTATCACATTCACTGTCAAAGTCCTGGATACCCCTGGACAACCAGGAGCAATTACATTCAAAGATGTTACCCGTGGAGCCTTGACAATGATGTGGGATGCTCCATCTAATGATGGTGGATCCCGAATCCACCACTACATTGTGGACAAACGTGAGGCAAGCCGCCTTGCCTGGCAGGAGGTCAGCGGCAAGTGCTCCCGCCAGATGATTAGGATTACAGGTTTAGATATTGGCATACCATACTTGTTCAGAGTAACTGCTGTTAACCAGTATGGCCAGGGAGAACCTCATGAAATGACAGAGCCTGTCATTGCCACGGAAGAACCTGCACCACCCAAAAGACTAGATGTTGTTGACACTACAAACTCCACAGCCTACCTGGTGTGGCTGAAACCTGAGCATGATGGAGGCAGCCGTATCAGAGGCTATGTTGTTGAATTTAGAGCTAAGGGCACTGACAATTGGATTGTTTATGGAGAAACAAAGTTGCAGAAGATCCTGGTGGAGGGTCTGAGTGAGAACACAGAATATGACTTCAGAGTCAAGGCCAAGAATGATGCTGGTATCAGCGAGCCTCAGAGTACCTTCAGCTCAGTGGTCATCAAGGAGCCTCGCATTGAACCAACTGCTGACCTCAGCAGCATAACCAATCAGCTCATCACCTGTAAGATCTCCAACTCCTTTACAATTGACATACCCATAAGTGGCAGACCCACACCCAAGGTCACATGGAAACTGGAGGAAATGAAGCTGAAGGAGACTGACAGACTCTCAATCAAGACAACAAAAGAGAGAACCACTCTCGTTGTGAAAGACAGCAAGAGAAATGACAGTGGCAAATATTACCTGATCCTGGAAAATGCTGCTGGCATGAAGACATTCACAGTGGCTGTGGTCATTGTTGGCAGACCAAGTCCACCCACGGGCCCCTTGCAGGTGTCTGGAATATCCTCAGAGTCCTGCACTCTCTCCTGGTCGGAGGCAGTTGATGACGGTGGCACTGAAATCACCAATTATATTGTTGAAAAGCGGGAGTCTGGCTCTGCCTCTTGGCAGGTGGTAAACTCCAGTGTCCAGAGAACTACAATCAAAGTGACTCATCTTACCAAATACATGGAGTACACATTTAGAGTGCGTGCTGAAAACAAATTTGGAGTCAGCAAGTCCATCGAGTCTACCCCTGTTGTGATTGAGCATCCATTTAGTAAGTTCTGCTCTTAATGGAACAAAAACAGAATCTTGAATTTGTGGGGCAAAGGTGAGTCTGACTATTATCACCTTTTCTTAACTTTCACAGTTCCACCGAGTCCTCCAACTCGTCCAGATGTGGTCTCTGTGTCAGCCAGTGCCATTAGCATTAAGTGGGAAGTCCCATATGCTGATGGTGGTAGCAAGGTAACAGGCTACTGGATTGAGAAGAAAGAGAGGAACACAATTTTGTGGGTGAGGGAGAACAAACTGCCCTGTTTGGAGTGCAATTACAAAGTGTCCAACCTCATTGAAGGCCTGGAGTATCAGTTCAGAGTTTATGCCATGAACCTCGCTGGACTCAGTAAGGCCAGTGAGGCCTCGAGACCTGTTGTGGCGCTCAATCCAGTTGGTAAGAAAGAAATCTACATGATAAATGCTTCAAATTATGATCCTCTAATTCAGAGCTATTCTGTATTGGACCCAGAGGGCCACCACCTGCAGGCTCTCTGTTTCTCTACACAAACACACCTGGTTTCAAAGCAACTGGTGATTCATAGGGTTCTGAAGAACTAGACAATTTGCTGAAGAGCTGATTCAGTAATTGAATCAGGTGTGTTGGGGCAGGGAAACAGGGCCCTCCAGGGCCATGACTGAATATTCCTGTTCGAAATAATTAAATTAATGTAACTTTGAGCTTAATGAGTTTGTGGGAAAAAAAGCTATGATTAAAGTTATGATAACAATGTAAAATAAACGCTCCCTTGCCTTTTTCAGATCCTCCTGGTAAACTTGAGATTACAGATATCAGCCGCTCTTCTGTTTCCTTGTGCTGGACCGTGCCATTCAATGATGGAGGCAGTAAGATTGTCGGATACATTGTGGAGAGAAAAGTCTACAGCAGCAATGAGTGGGATGACAATCGTTGGCTCAAGTGCAACTACACCACAATCACAGAGAACTACTTCACAGTCACTAATCTGGGAGAGGGCGATACCTACGAGTACCGTGTCATCGCAAAGAACGCTGCTGGAGTCCACAGTGCGCCGTCAGAGTCAACAGGGCCGGTCACATGCAAGGACGAATACTGTATGTTCATGTTTCTTTTTGACTTTTGGGTTCTTTTTATGCCTTTCATTGTTGGCTATTGTAAAGTTTATTGTGTTTTAGGACAGTGAGCTTACTTTACTAGAACAACCAGCTTAAGATATTTTGATCATTTTAACAGGTATCATTTGTAAACCATGTACTGCTCAGCTAGTTAACAAAAACCTAAAATGATATCTCTTGTGTGCTTCAGCTCCTCCCAAAGCTGAGCTTGACAGCAAGCTTATTGGGGAGACTGTGACTGTTATGGCTGGCTCTGATGTGGTCCTGGATGGTGCTGTGGGAGGCAAACCAGAACCAACCGTGTACTGGTCAAAGGGAGAAAAGATTTTGGACCTTGGTGAAAAATACTCACTGACATATACCCCTACCAGAGCTATGGCTGTCATCAAGAACTGTGACAGATATGATACTGGCAGATACATCCTCACTGTCAAAAATGCCAACGGAATAAAGACGGCTACGGTCAGCGTGAAAGTCCTCGGTGAGCTGCCACAAAACCTTTCAACTGTAGCCAAGATGAAAAAGGTGTGATATTAAAACACGTTCAGAGAAGCTAACTATTGATTCTTACCTCTCAGACACTCCGGGACCTCCAGCTGATAAGATCATGATCAGCAGAGTAACAGAAGAAAAGTGCACAGTTTCCTGGAAGATTCCCATGGAGGACGGTGGAGACATTGTCAGTCATTACATAGTGGAACGCCGTGAGACTAGTCGCCTTAACTGGGTGGTTATGGAGACAGAGTGCAAGACTTTGTCATGCGTTGTTACCAGGCTGATCAAGAACAATGAGTACATTATCAGAGTCCGAGGAGTCAACAAGTTTGGACCCGGAGTACCTCTGGAGTCTGAGCCGGTCATTGCTAGAAATGCCTACAGTAAGCTGCTAAGTTTGTCTGACTTTTATTTTTTTTAATCAAATTAATTTTTTCCATTAATAAATGTAAGTAGTTCAAGTCTTTTACAGGATCATACATCCTAAATCTAGTTTGTCTTTACATGTTTACTCTGAAGAAAATGTTAACATTATCCAGTTTGAGCGTTTTTAGATTATTTATAAGTCATGAAGTTCATCACCACTATAGAATAGTTTTTATTCTAAGCCTGCCAAACCCTCCTTTCCCAGCCGTTCCCACACCGCCAGGTGCTCCAGAGGCCACAGCTGTAGGCAAGGAGCACATTATCATTGAATGGCTGAAGCCTGAGAGTGATGGAGGCAGCGAAATCAAAAACTACATTGTAGAAAAACGGGAAAAAAGCAGCACCAGGTCAGCAAATGTTCTAAAACAGATACCACCATTCCCTGCTTTATAAAATAATCATTTTATCCTGTTGTTCCTTAAACCAGATGGACTCGGGTAAATAGGACTTATACCATCTATGACACCCGTCTGAAGATCTCTGGCCTACTGGAGGGAAGCGAATACCAGTTTAGAGTGACAGCTTCAAACAATGCTGGAGATGGCCAGCCAAGCGATGCATCCCCGTATATCCTCTGTAAAGACCCCACATGTAAGTATTTTTTTCTTGTTACAGTTTTAATTGGATTTCACCCTAACTGACATTTTCAACTGATTAAATGTCAAAGCACAATTAAAACACATTTATGTTTATACTCAGATACCCCAGCTGCTCCATCCATGCCTCGCATCACTGACACGACCAAGCACAGCATCAGCATGACTTGGACGAGGCCAATGTATGATGGTGGCTCTGACGTTACTGGCTACATAGTAGAGATCCTAGAGGAAGGTTCTGAGCAGTGGTACAGAGCCATTGCTAAGCCTCTAAATACCACTGAATATGTGGCCGCTGGCCTGGCAGCCAACAAGAAGTACAGATTCAGAGTCGCTGCCATCAACAACAGTGGTACGGGTGAATTTAGTGAAGCAAGTGCTGAGACTGAGCCACTGGAGCGAATTGGTGAGTTTGTGCCAGTTATTCTAAAAAACTAAAACAGAAAACACTTTCTATAGTCAGTAGTTTCAAACATCTATGTTGTTGTTTTTTTTCTCCCTTTTTTCTGATTCTTATTCATACAGATTAGCAAATGTGTTTCACTTGATCAAAAGAATCAGAAAAAGGAATTAAAAACAACACAGAATTAACTTAAAGAAGAGATCTTCGTATATCCCACTTTTCTTTTTCTAAAAATAAAAACCCATTTTTAAAAATATTCATGAGAGGCTTCCAAATGATAAGCATATTTTTGGAAGATCTTTCAATTATAATAAATTTCAATATTTGATTTCTAAATGTTCAAAGAGTCCAAGTCCAAAGAAAACCTTTGAAAGAAAAGATGACATCAAACTGGCTGCCAGAAAGAACAAAAAGACCTTAGACAGCAAGGACAGCAATGTCAAAATATATATAAAACACACTTTCATATTTTATACCATTTGAAATGTGAATAGCTGAATGAAAACTGAATTGTGTTTGAATTAAAAGTAAATGTTGGTTTTTAGTAATCCTCCAACTATAGCAGGGGAGTCCAAACCTTTTGGCTCCAAGGCCAAAATCAACAGCTTTAAGTGTATTTGGTCTGTTTTAGTTGTTGTTTGTTGTCCTGAACATTTATTTTTACCATCTTTGTTACGTTCGTACTGTTTGTTATCCAATTTCATTTTCTTTTGTTCTTCATTGTACACAGAGTGATACGGGTTTGTTGTTACCTTTGCTGGCATGTTTTGACCTTTCACTACTGCCTTCGTCAGAGAAACCACCAGATGTTGGTAGCGTCACTTCCTTTTATCCCTGGGCAGAAGAGGACGATATCGCCCTCTGCTGCCCGCGCCCTCTCCGCTGATCACTGTGTCCCATGAGTGCTCCAGGGTGTAAACTCATTCGTCCCTGTTCATTGTCCTGGGTCCACGTCTCCTTATCTCAATTGCTTCTTTGATCATCTTTTGAATTTCTGTTGCTCTGTGTTTATGATCTGTGTGTTCTTCCAGTCCATTATATGATTTCCTCTCGTACAGTGGTCTGTTATGGCTTCCTGCTGCTCTACAAGAGCAGCACGATGCAGAAAACACAATAAAGTAATCAGTCACAACAGACCACTGGTGGTTGCTCTGATGAAGGCAGTAGTGAAACAACAAACAAACACAAACAAACCTTTGTCACTCTGTGTATAATGAAGAACTAAAGAAAATGAAATTTACTTATGTCCATCATCAGCTTCAAGAAAACCCCTCTAGGTGACTGTCTTCTGTAAAATTTGCCATATTTTGTCAAAGTCTCTAAAGGATCCTAACAAGTCAACCTGACAATAAAAGTCAGGGCTTGTGGTCAAATTTACTATGAAATTAAAGTGGCACTTCTGATAATATCATCACTACAAAGTAACACTTATAACACCATCAAACAGTACAGTACAGTAAATAAGCTATACTGCTGCATTGTTGTCCACTCATTAGCCATTGAGTATATCCTGTTTTAATTTCATCTGCTTCACTCCCGCCAGCTTTTGTTTACTATTTTACATTTTGATCAGATGTAACCTTTGACATTTAAAAAAGATTTTTATTCACCGGAATATAAAAAGCTTGTGGCTTGGAAAAAGTTTTGTTAATCTTCAAAGGCAGTTGAGGGTCACACAGAATCACTCCGAGGCCCACAAGTGGCCCTTGGGCTGTCTGATTAACTGCCTTCCACCCTGTACAAAGTAAACTTGCCATTGTTTCTATTTTCATTTAACCTTTATTTAACCAGGAACGGTCCCATTAAGATTAATAACCTCTTTTCCAAGGGAGTCCTGTTATCGTGACATTATACTGTGATCCATCTGTTTAGAAATGCCTGATCTGGAGCTAGCTGAAGACATCAAGAAGACTGTGTGTCTGCGTGCCGGTGGTAACCTACGTCTGTTGGTGTTTGTAACCGGTCGACCAGCACCAGTAATTGCTTGGAGAAAGACGGGTGTGGAACTTCAAAATCGCGGCTACATCGAGACCACCGACAGTTACACTTCGCTTATGGTGGAGAAGGTTAATCGCTATGACTCTGGAAAATATGTAGTAGAGGCAGAAAATCCATCCGGCAAAAAGACAGCCACCATCCTGGTTAAAGTCTATGGTATGTTCTATAAAACTCAGTCCTCACAGATAATTTCATTTCACTAATAATTTTACATGTATTGAATATATATGATGCTGCTTTCTCGTTTAGACACTCCTGGTCCTCCAGGTTCAGTCAGAGTGAAAGACTACACCAAAGAATCTGTTGTTATCACCTGGGATGTGCCAACCATTGATGGTGGTGCTCATGTCAGCAATTACATTGTAGAGAGGCGTGAAGCTAACATGAAGTCATACAAGACTGTCACCACGGAGTGCAGGAAAACCTTGTTGAGGATCACAGGCTTAGAAGAAGGTGTGTACTACTTCTTCAGAGTCCTGCCTGAGAACATCTATGGTGTTGGGGAGCCTTGTGAGACAGCAGAACCTGTGCTGGTGTGTGAAGTACCATCAGTGCCCATGGATCTTAATATCATTGATGTCACCAAGAACTCTGTGAGTCTACACTGGGATAAACCATTGCACGACGGAGGCAGCAGGCTGACAGGATACATCATTGAGGCCTGTAAAGTGGGTTCTGACAGGTGGAGTGCTGTAGCCACAGTCAAAGCTTCAGTCACCCAACACACGATCCAGTCTCTGACAGAAAATGACCAGTACCTGTTCAGAATCCGTGCCACCAATAGCAGGGGAGCCAGTGAGGCAATGGACATCATCACTCCAGTCACGATTCAGGAAAACAAGGGTGAGTCATCACAGAGTCATGGAAAGTATCAGTCATCTCTGGAATCTAACTGGAAAAGCATTAAACTTTATTGTGTGTATTTCAGAAATGCCCAAGATTGACATGACCAGCATTCCTCAAAAAATCATCCATGTGCACCGAGGCAAGCCTATTGATCTTAACATCCCTATTAAGGCCAAACCACAGCCTGTCTGCTCCTGGTACTTTGGTGGTGTTAAGCTGAAAGACAGCCTGGACCGCATCAAGATAGACAGTAACGGCAAATCTACTCACCTCGTAATCCGTGACACCACCATTAATGACACTGGAAACTACACACTAGAGGTGAAAAATTCCATTGGCATGGCAACGGAGGTTATCAAAGTTATCATCCTTGGTAAGGAGACTTCGTTTTTCTGTCGTATCTTACTCACTAGAGAGCCCCAAAATGAGAAGTGTTAAGAATGTGTGAAATTAAATGGTTTGCCATAATGTTCAAGGTTTTTTGAAGTCTTGTTTTTTCTGCGTAGACAAACCTGGTGTCCCAGTTGGTCCAGTGAAGATTGAGGAGGTTGATGGTGTATCAGTTACTGTTACCTGGGAACCTCCAGAGAAAGATGGTGGTGCTAATGTCAGTGGCTATGTGGTGGAACAACGTAATGCCCACCATCCAGGCTGGACCACAGTCTCAGAATCAGTGACCAGGCCATGCTTCAAGTTCACTAGGCTATCAGAAGGAACAGAGTATGTTTTCCGTGTCGCTGCCATGAATCGCTTTGGTGTTGGTGGATTCCTGCAGTCTGAGGTGGTTGAGTGCAAGAGCCCCAAGAGTGAGTTCATCAAATTATTGTCTGTACATTTGGGTCTTTAACTGACCTGATTCATTGTTTAAGTTTTCTTTTTTTCTAACCCTAACCCACAAATCAATTAAACCCTTCCAACCCTGTAAAGGCATGCAGCCATAGTGATTTTTCTGTTCAAGGCACAGAAATCATGTCATATACAAAAATTATTTCATTTTCATGCAATGGCAATTACTATTTCTAATGTCCTTCAAATTTTCCATATGACTTCCTGCCTCACAGTCAACATTTTTGTTGTTGTTTTCTGTAAAGCCATCCCTGGACCTCCAAGTCAGCCAGAGATAATTGATGTTAGCCATGAGGGCATGACTCTGACCTGGCAACCACCTGTGGACAATGGTGGCTCTACTATTGCAGGCTACATCATAGAACGTAAAGAAGCTAATTCGGACAGGTGGCTGAGAATCAATAAGAACCCTGTCACCATGACCAGGTATCGTTCCTCTGGACTAATTGAGGGCTTGGAATATGAGTTCCGTATTACTGCCATCAACTCCAGAGGAACTGGCAAACCTAGTGCACCTTCTGCTACCACTGTTGCTATGGACCCCATAGGTACGTGACATAAATCTCAGTTCATTTTTTAGATCAAATATTTTAGAATAATCCAACAAGATGTGTCCGTGTGTGAACAATGTCTCTCTTTTACTGTTGAATAGAACCTCCAGGTCCTCCAATTGACCCCAAAGTTACAGACGCCACAAGGACTTCAGTGTCATTGGCCTGGCTACCACCTAAAGAAGAGGGTGGCTCAGTTGTAAGTGGCTATTTGATTGAAATGCAGAAGGTGGACCAGGTAGAATGGACGCTTTGCAACACCACGCCCACCAGGATGTGCGAGTATACTCTCACCCATATGCCCCAGGGTGCAGAGTACAAATTCAGGGTCATAGCCTGCAATGCTGGTGGTTCTGGAGAACCTGCAGAAATTCCTGGAGTGGTTAAAGTCCAGGAGATGCTTGGTATGAGAACAAATTCTCATCACTTACAGACTAATTAAATTTAATTTAATCAGATGTCTCGTTTTATATTGTGCTGCTAATTTGTAGATGATTCATTTGATGAAAACAAATCTGTCTTCCTCAGGTTATCCTGACTATGAGCTTGAACGTCAGTATGAGGAAGGCTATGTGGTGCGACAGGGCGGAGTCATCCATCTGTCCATACCCATTAAGGGTAAACCTATCCCAACTGTGAAGTGGACAAAAGATGGTCGTGATATTGCTCATCGCGCCATGATTGCCACCCATGATGACATCACTGAGTTGGTCATCAAAGATGCGCACAGGGATGACACTGGTACTTATGACTTGGTGCTGGAAAACAAATGTGGTAGGAAGGCCGTTTACATCAAGGTGAGCATGCTGGCAGATTAAGCGAAAGTGTGATTATAGTGTGAAATAATTACCTGAAGTAATTGAGATGAGCCTAAAATATTCAGTTAATTATACTTGAAAAAACTATTTGCCTTCCATCTCCAGGTCAAGGTGATTGGTCGCCCTGACCCCCCAGAAGGGCCCCTAGAATTTGATGACATTCAGGCCAGATCAGTCCGGGTTAGCTGGAGACCCCCATCAGATGATGGCGGTTCTGATGTCCTGGGTTACATTGTGGAAAGACGAGAAGTACCAAAGGCAGCCTGGTACACAGTGGATGCTCGGGTTATAGAGACCTCTTTGGTGGTTAAGGGCCTGAAAGAGAACGTAGAGTACCACTTCAGGGTCTTTGCTGAGAACCAGTTTGGTGTTAGCAGATCTCTCAAATCAGAGGAATCTGTTTTACCAAAGACACCTCTTTGTAAGTAATATTTCTCAAATTCTTTTTACATTTTAAATCCAAGTTACTGTGATGTGATTTCAAATTTTTTAACAAACTTACCATATATCTGCAATGGTGACGTTTGTGAATATAAAGGGGTTAAAAGTTGGTTTCACTGATAACATGCTTTATCACAGGTCCGCCTGAGCCACCCAGCAACCCACCAGAGATCATGGATGTCACCAAGACCACAATCTCTGTGTCATGGGCTCGACCCCGCGATGATGGTGGATCTCGTGTAACAGGATACTATGTAGAACGAAGAGAGGTTTCAACAGAGAAATGGGTCCGTCACAACAAGACCCACATCACCACCACTATGTTCAACGTCACTGGTCTTATACCCAATGCAGAGTACATGTTTCGAGTGGTGGCCCAAAACGACATTGGGCAGAGTGAACCTGGTCCTGCGTCAGAGCCTGTGGTCTGCAAAGATCCATTTGGTGTGTAGCATTACTGATGTTTATTTTTGAATGACTATGATCAAATGAAATATGAAGAAGAGCATTTTGGAGTAGATGAAGTTATTTTGTATTGAACTAAATCAAAAATTGATATTACATCTTTTAAAGAAAACGTTTTCTGAAAGAATTAATTCTTGTTGTTTTATCTCCTGTAGACAAACCTAGCCAGCCAGGAGAGATTGATATAATCTCTGTCACTAAAGATAGCATTACCATACACTGGCTCAGGCCTGAGCATGATGGTGGCAAAGAGATCCTGGGTTACTGGATCGAGTACAGGGAAGCTGGAGAGAGTGCTTGGAAGAAATGCAACAAGGAACGCTCCAAGGATCGCCAGTTCACCATGGGTGGCTTAATGGAGTCTACCGAGTATGAGTTCAGAATCTTTGCTGAAAATGAGACAGGACTCAGCCGACCTCGTCGCACACCAATGGGCATCAAGACCAAGCTAAGCGGTGAGCTGCTGCTGCTGCTTCATGGAACTTCTGTCAAGCTGTCAGGCAACAGTTCTAACCACTGCACAGCCATACAGAAACAAAATAGTCAATTTTCCAGTCTATTTATTTTTTGGTTTTAATTTTTATTGAACTTTGTTTTCCTGCAGTTGGTGAAGCTCCAGCCTTGAAAGAAGAAATGCAGGATGTTACCACGAAGCTTGGCGAGTCTGGCACTCTAACATGTGGAATCGTTGGAAGACCTCTCCCTGAGATCAAGTGGTATCGTTATGGCAAGGAACTGATCCAAAGCCGCAAGTACAAAATGAGCTCAGATGGCCGTAACCACTCCCTCACCATTCTAACAGAGGAGCAGGAAGATGAGGGCTTGTACACCTGCAGAGCCATCAATGAGGCCGGAGAGATGGAGACTAGTGGCAAACTGCGCTTGCAAGCACCACCTGAGTTCCACCCTGGCTTCCCTCTAAAGGAGAAGTACTTTGCTGGGGCTGGTACCAGTCTTCGACTCCATGTTGTCTACATTGGTCGTCCCATCCCCCAGATTATGTGGTTTTATGGCAAGAAACCTCTGAATTCATCTGAGAATGTGGTCATTGAAAACACAGAAAGCTACACCCACCTTGTGGTGAGAAATGTACAGCGAAAAACCAATGCAGGTCGCTACAAGGTGCAGCTCAGTAATGTGTTTGGAACTATTGACACTGTACTGAGAGTGGAAATCCAAGGTGAATCATACTGCAGTGATGAACAAACATTTCCAGTATTTGCATATTTTCTCACTAATGGTTTTAGGCAGCAAATATACAAATATATGAAAACACATAAGTGATTCTCATTTGCTGTTTCTAGACAAACCTTGCATCCCTGAGGGCCCTATTATTGTTGAAGCCCTGCTCAAGAGTTCAGTTGTTATCAGCTGGAAGGCTCCTAAGGATGATGGTGGGTCTATCATCACCAACTACTTAGTGGAGAAACGTGAGGCCAAAGAAGGCGAACAGTGGCACATGGTGTCGTCCTCTGTTTCTGGTACCACCTGCCGTGTCCCCAACCTGATAGAGAATGCTGGCTACTACTTCAGAGTCTCTGCCCAGAATCAGTATGGTGTCAGTGAGCCTCTGGAGATCCCATCAGTGGTCATTGTTAAGAGTCCATATGGTATATAAGTTTCACTTTTAAATTCTGGTAAATACATAGCACAAGTGAAGTATTAGAGCTTTTTACTAACATTGTCGTTGTCTTCTCAGATAAACCTGGTGTCCCACAGCAGCCCTTCATTATCAGTGCCACCAAAGACTCCTGTGTTGTCTGCTGGAAGCCTCCAAGCAGTGATGGTGGAGCAAAAATTACCAGTTATTACCTTGAGAAACGTGAAAAGAAGCAGAACAAATGGATGTCGGTCACAACCAAGCCAATTGAACAGGCCAGCTATGAAGTCAAAGGCCTGATTGAGGGCTTTGAGTATGAGTTCCGTGTCAAATGTGAGAACATTGGAGGCGAGAGTGACTGGAGTGACATCTCTGAACCCATTATTCCCAAGTCGGAACAATCCCCACGTGCTCCTGCATTCAGGGAGGAGATCAGAGACATGACTGTCAAATACCAAGCCAATGCCACCTTTGTCACCAAGGTACTGTAACATGCTCTCTAATTATTTTTGTTTGTTACTTTCTGTGAGTAATTGACTTTTTTTACTGTTTCAATAACAAGGTTGTGGGATATCCAAAGCCTGTAGTTAAATGGTATTGCAGTGGGAAGGAGATCCTGGCAGATGGAACAAAGATAAAAGCACAAGAGTTCAAGGGTGGCTATTACCAGCTTGTCATCACCACAGCTGATGAGAGTGATGCAGGAGAATACCAAATCAGAGCTACCAATGCTTCAGGATCTATCTCTACAACAGCCGTTCTCGACGTGGAAGGTAACTGTCACATATGGGAATATTTACTAATAATTTGTAAATTCCTACAATTATGAAGTGGTTCCCTCTGTCACTGCACCTGGTAAAATGTGAAAGTCAAATTTCAAATGATTAAATTTGTTCCTTTTAATTTCAGTCCCTGCCAAAATCTACCTACCTAAAGAGCTTCAGGGAATGGGAGCAGTTCACGCTGTACGTGGTGATCACATAACCATCAAGATTCCCATCTCTGGAAAACCTGAGCCAGCAATCACTTGGCAAAAGGGTCAGGAGATCCTATCAAACTCCCCTTATCACCAAGTGATTACTACCAGGTCCTCCACCTCCTTGGTGTTCCAGAAGGGAGTACAGAGGAGGGATACTGGCTACTACATTATTACTGCAAAGAACAGATTTGGATCAGACAAGCAAACCATTGAGGTAAATGTGGTAGATATTCCTGACTCTCCAAAGGGACTTTTGGTTAGCGACATCGCACGGGATTCTATAAGCCTAACCTGGGAGCCCCCTGCAAATGATGGCGGCAGCGACATAATTGGTTACATTGTTGAGAAGTGTCCAACCACTGCTGACAGGTGGATCCGTGCAGGTCAAACTACTGACTGCAACATCACCATAATCAACATATTTGGAAAAACCAAATACCAGTTCCGTGTTATAGCAGAAAACCAGTTTGGCCAAAGTCCTCCATCTGTGCCAACTGAACCTCTCACCACAAAAGAAGACAAGTCTGTCATCAGAAATTATGATGAAGAAGTAGATGAAGCCAGAGAGATCACTAAAGTGGAGGCTCAATTTTACAAAGTCAAGGAGCTGTCCTCTAAGTATATCATCTCAGAGGAACTTGCTCGCTGTCAGTTTGGAGTTGTTCACCGATGTGTGGAAATTGCTACAAAGAAGACCTTTATGGCCAAGTTCATCAAAGTCAAAGGAACTGACCGCGAGTTGGTGCTCAGGGAAATTGAAGCCCTTAATGTTGCAAGACATAAGAATATAATCTATCTGCATGAATTCTTTGAAAGTATGGAAGAAATTATCCTGATCTTTGAATTCATCTCTGGAGTTGACATCTTCGAGCGTCTTGGCACAAGCAACTTTGAACTTACAGAACAGGAGATTGTCCGCTATCTCAGACAAGTCTGCTCTGCTCTCAAGTTCCTGCACAGCCATAACTTTGGCCACTTTGACATCCACCCAGCCAACATTGTCTACACCACAAGGAGAAGTACGGACATAAAGATTGTTGAAATGGGACAGTCGAGGTTGCTGGTACCAGGAGAAAACATTAGGATGCTGTTTTCAGCTCCAGAGTACTATGCCCCAGAAGTTCACCGTCATGATCTGGTCACAACAGCAACTGATATGTGGTCTGTTGGTGTTATGGCATATGTTCTGCTCAGTGGCCTTAATCCATTTGTTGCAGAGTCCACAACAAAGATGATTGAAAACATCTCGACTTGTGAGTATGTCTTTGATGCGGAAGCATTTAAGGACATTAGCTTGGAGGCTATGGACTTTATAGACAGACTTTTAGTCAAAGACAGAAAGCTCCGTATGACTGCTCATGAAGCTCTGGAACACCCATGGCTCAAGATGAAAATTGAGCAAGTCAGTAACAGTGCCATCAAGACATTGAGACACAGAAGATATTATCAGTCTCTAATGAAGAGAATCGATACTATAGTGTCAGCAGCTCGAGTGGCATACGGAGGTGCCTTCAGAAACCAGAAAGGACTGGCTGTTGGTAAAGTGAAGATTGGAACAGACTACCATGGCCTCCGTGCTGGCCCTGTTATGCACAGCTCAGCTGAGGAAGGTGGTTATGTTAGATTTACCTGTAGCATTGTCAACTACGACAAGAGCACTCAGGTGTCATGGTACTTTGGCAACCGTCAGTTACACACTAGCTCTAAATATGAGATCTCATACAGCAATGGTTTTGCTAGTATTTATGTAAAGGACATTGAAGAGAGTGATAACGGTGTCTACAGATGCAAAGTGGTGAGTGATGATGGAGAGGACAGTTCCTGTGGAGAACTCTTTGTAGAAACCGTGAGGGACATCAGAGAACACTACATGAGCCGCTCCATCAAGAAGCTGAGGAGGAGGGTCGACAAAACAAAACTCCTGCAGAGGCCACCAGAGTTCACTTTGCCTCTCTACAATCGCACTGCTTACATTGGTGAAGACGTTCGATTTGGTGTCACCATCACTGTTCATCCAGAGCCCCGTGTAACATGGCTTAAAAATGGAGAAAGAATCGAGGTTGATGACAGCAAGTACACATTCACCTGTGATAAAGGCCTGTATCAACTCATGATTCACAACCTCGATGTGAGAGATGATGCTGAATACACAGTCATGGCTGACAACAGGTTTGGAGAAGACAGCTGCAAGGCTCGTCTTACTGTGATACCTCATCCTGTAATGGAAGAAACTATGAGACCGATGTTCAAACGTTTGCTGGCTAATGCTGAATGCACTGAGGGAGAGAGTGTCCGCCTTGAGCTCAGAGTTTCAGGGCTTCCAACTCCTACATTACAATGGGAAAAGGATGGACAACCACTACAGTTTGGTCCCAAAGTTGCCGTTATAGAGCAGGACATTGATCATCACATTCTCTACATCAGAGAGACGCTGCTTGAGGACTCTGGTGTGTACAAAGTTACAGCAACCAACTCTGCTGGCATCACAAGTTGCCAGGCTACTCTGAAAGTGGACCGCCTTACTTACACAAGAAGAGAATATAAAAGCGAAGAGGAAAAGTACTGGCACATACAGAAACAAATAGAAAAGACTAACAAAATGGCTCAACATATCGCAGCTACTGAGGAGCTTGTGCCTCTTAACCCCACAGCACAAGAAGCTCTCAAATTAGCTGCAGAAGTGTACAAACCTGCAGTAAGCACCAAGAACATTGAGGGTGAGTTTGACATCACAGAGGAAAAAACAGAGACCAAAAAGCTGGAAGAAGAGAGAAGGATCTTCTTACCCTATGAAATTCCAGAGCCTGTGATCCATGATCCCAAATCTCTAGATGAAGACAAAGCTATTAAGCAGTTTGTGCCTCTGTCTGACATGAAGTGGTATCACAAGCTAAGAGATCAGTATGAGGTTCCAGAAAGAACTGAGAGGATTGTGCAGAAGAGGCAGAGGCGTATTCGTCTGTCCAGGTGGGAGCAGTTCTATGTTGTGCCACTCCCCAGGATAACTGATCAATACAGACCAAGGTGGCGTATTCCCAAACTAACACTGGATGATTTAGAGACTGTTAGACCAGCACGCCGCTCACCCTCCCCTGAGTCTGAAGCCTCTTTTAGATCTAGAAGAAAATCTCTGGGTGACCTCAGTGATGAAGATTTGCTGATGCCTGTGGACGATTACCTCACCAGGAGAAAATCTGAGGAGAAAATGATGCTGGAGGATGAACTGGAGCTTGGCTTTTCAGCCTCTCCTGCAGGCAGCCCCATCCGTATCACGCGACACGTTGCGGAACATGAGGAAAGGAGACTTGAAATTGGACACAAGGCTACAGAGGTGGCCGAGACAAAGAAGAAACACACTATTTCTCAGTTAATGAGAAGGAGAAGGTCACTGTCTCCCACTTACATTGAGCTAATGCGTCCGGTCTCAGAGCTGATCAGACCGCAACGTGCCAGGCTTCCTGTCGAAACAGAAGGAGAGAATGTGGAACGAAGGTCTCCCACTCCAGAGAGGACTCGTCCTCGTTCACCAAGTCCCATCAGATCAGTGGAGAGGTCATCCCGTTCCTCCTCTAGGTTTGAGCGGTCAGCCCGCTTTGACATCATGTCCCGCTATGAAGCCAGAAAAGCTGCTTTGAAATCTGAAAGGAAATATCAGGTTGTCAGTCAGGCACCTTTCAGCCTTGACCATGCTCCTCGTGTAACTGTCAGAATGCGTTCTCATCGCATACCAGTTGGTCAAGACACCAAGTTCACTCTAAATATTCAAGCAAAGCCAGAAGCTGAAGTCAACTGGTTCCATAATGGAAGCGCAATCTCAGAAAGCAGTGAAAAGTACATATTCACAAACATGAGTGGTGTGTTGTCCATCACTATTCTGGACTGTCAGGAAGACGACAGTGGCACATATCGATGTGTGTGTTCCAACTCAAAGGGAGAAGCATCTGACTATGCTACGCTTGAGGTGTCAGGATGTGGCTACACCACATTTTCTTCATATCGCAGGGATGAAGAAGTACCTAAAACATTCGTCCCTCAAGTTAATCGGATTGACCATTATCACACCACACACTTTAAAACTGGCTACACCTCCCAAACTCACCTTGAAGTGGAAGAAAGTAAGTCAGAATTAACAGAAACACATGAGGTTGTCACGCGGGAACAACTTGGAGCTTCTGCTGAGAGATATGACTCATCTATCAAGTATGCCTCAGCTGAATACCTCTCATCAAGTTCTTCATACTCATCTGAAAGGTTTTCTTTGATGGGGAAACATACTGCATCTGAGGCTAAGCTGGAATTATCTACAAGCAAAGCTGACCAGGTTTTGGTTCACAAAGAGAAACCTTCTAATCCAGCCAAGTTCCTCACTAAACCACTGTCTGTGACTGTTACGGAGGGAGAGACAGCCAGGTTCTCTTGTGACATTGATGGAGAACCTTCCCCTACCACAACATGGCTACATGAGAAGAAAATCATTGTATCCTCTCATTCTATCCAGGTCTCAACTACCCAGTACAAATCAAGCCTGGAGATCTCCTCTGTTAAATCCTCTGATGAGGGCAATTACACGGTAGTGGTAGAGAACTCAGCAGGTCGACAGGAGGCTCACTTCACACTGACAATCCACAGGCCAGCGCCTAAAGAAGAAGTTAAAGCCATTAAATCCCCTGAGCCTACTAGAAAGACCACGCCGAGTATTGCATCACCTAAGCCTTCAGCCACATCACCTGCTCCCTCAATCACATCCCCCACTCCCAGTGTTAAGTCACCAGAGCCTAGTGTGAAATCCCCCGAACCTAGTGTAGCATCTCCTGTCTCTTCCATGAAGACTCCAAGTCTAAAGTCCCCCGAACCAGGCATAACCTCTCCAGTTCCAGGGGTGAAGTCACCAGCACCAAGTGTTAAGTCTCCTGAACCAGAGGAAATTAAGTCCTCAAAGACTGTGAAATCCCCAGAGCCACCAGCCCCATCTCCTGCACGTGGCTTAAAATCACCTATTCCTGGTGTAAAATCTCCTGAACCAGAAGGAATTAAGTCACCACGTGGTATAAAATCTCCCGAACCTAGACAAGGTCTTAAATCTCCAGAGACTGCAGGATCCAAAACACCAAAAGGTTTTAAGTCCCCAGAACCTGCTGGAATCAAAACTCCCAAAGGCATCAGGTCCCCGGAACCATCTGGTATCAAATCACCAAGGGCCTTAAAATCTCCTGAGCCCGAAGGATTAAAATCACCTACAAGAGTAAAATCTCCTCCTCCAATCATGTCCCCCAAGCGGGTTGTTTCTCCTCCCACTGTAAAATCGCCAGTCCCCAAACCTCCTAAAGTTCTGAGTCAGCTAACAGCTGAGGCCTGTGAGGGTTCAGTCAGGATGTCCTGCGTCTGTGAAAGTAGTGTCAGGGAAGTGACATGGTACATGAATGGGAAGAGGCTTTCACAGAGCAACCACTTTGAGATGCACTACTTGGAGGGTTCTTGCAGTCTTCTGATCCATGACCTGACAGAGAGTGATAAGGGAGAGTACACCTGTGAGATGACCTCAGAAGGAGGAATATCCAAGTCCTCCTTCTCCTTCACTGGACAGGCGTTTCAGTCTGTACAAAGCAAGGTCACCGCCTACTGTGAGAAGCAAGTAGCACATAAAGGTGAGAATTTCCTCATAGATGATTTATATTTAAAATAATCTTAATTTTTGACTATTTTCAAAAGTTTGCTTCCCTTATGATGCCAATGTAACTTTCAACAGGAACTATGATGAGAAGTCACCAGCAGTCCTCAGTTAGCTCATCCCTGATGACCAAGAAAGAAGTTCACACAGTGGAGGAGTCTTCGTCATTTTCCTCTGCACACCAGACAATGATGTCATCTATGATGGAGTCCAGCTCCTTCAGCAGCATGGCAGCTGAGATGAAGTTTGAGACAATGTCCATGTCCAGCATGTCCTCCATGGCATCTGAAACATATGCCATGAGCTCCAGCAGCCTCACAGAGATGGCATCACACGTGGAGGAATCCTCACTGAGAGCCGTTGGTAAGAAAAGAAGCCATTTCATAGATATGCTTCTTTTTGTTCCAAATAACTGAAACGTGCTGGTTTTAGGTTCTGCTCCAAGAATCGAAGCCCTACCAGAGGACATCAGTGTTGAACCAGGCAAAGTTCTAACCGTTGCCTGTGCCTTTTCTGGTGAAGCCAAAACCATTGAGTGGTCCCGTAGTGGTAAAGCCATTGAGGTGACCTCTGGTGGACGATTTCACATTGAAACCACTGATGACCTGACTACCCTCATCATCACTGGAGTAAAGGAAGAGGACACTGGTGCTTATACCCTCAAATTATCTAATGAACTTGGATCTGATACAGCGACGGTTCATATTAGCATTCGATCCGTGTAAGACAAATTTATTGATTCTAAATGTTCCCCTCCCCCTTTTCCATGCCTTTTCATTTATTAACTAAACAAAGTAGTTTACTTGATAAAGATCAGGTATATTCTTGTAAATATGAACTATTTTTGTACCAAACTTGACATTATTTGTGCCAGACTAAAGTCTAAAGATGTAAAGTGTGCCATATTGGATAACATTGACTTAAGATGTTTGATCCATTTTTCTGTGACATGTACATAATGTATATAGCCGAATATACCGGTTATGGGAAATGTATGCATTGTTATTTATGACAATATGAACTGAAACTTAATGAAACTAAATGTAGTTTACAGGAGAAAGTTTCTATGGGAACGAATACCCTGTTTAACTGAGAAACTAAACTCTGTGCCTCAACGAGAAGTTGAAGACGTAAGATTGCCTCAACAGGTAGAGAGGCTCCCTGTTGATGTTACTTCAACCAGAGACAAATCATGTGCACCGCTGATATAGAAAAACAAGCGGTGCTGTAGAATTGTAACAGGAGCGTGAGAACCTGAGTTCTGTTTGCATCTACCCTCATGTAAGCAGAACAACTGGATCTCGCACTCTGACTGAATGTGTCATATGCCATTTTTATGACAAGCTCACAGTGCAAGCGGCCTGCACTGCCTGGGCACAAGAGTTGTTTTTGTTTGGTGCTCTGCTTCTGGCAAATGACCGCTGGCTCAGGCGCTCAACGTGTTCCATCAACCTGGCTTAGACGTCCTCTAGTGTTTATTTGCAGAAGCAGAGCTGCCTCTTGGAGGGGTGCAGTGTGTTTGTGTGTTAGTTTTTAGAAGTTCATTTGTCAGTCTAACAGGGTGGCACCATGGACAAGAACAGCTGCAGAGCCAACTCCCGCTGCTCTGAGAAACAAGTCTGTCCACTATGCTTAGTGGTCATCTTGCACTTTGTTAGACTGATGTTACAGTTTTAGGTTTGATTAACTTTGCAACCTCCTTGAGTTTTTCTCCAGTTATTAAACAGAGCATGATCATCAGCAAAACTGGAAGCTTCTGTTTGTTTATCGCATCATAAATATACACATGAACGTAAAATATACATATTTACTGGCACATTCAAAAACAACTTTTCAAACACACTTACCTCAACATTATCCAACTTTTCCATTGACAAGGGTTTTCAGGCAAGATGCCACCTAAAAGAACTTGACTCAAACTTTGTTTATAATAATAATAATAATAATAATAATAATAATAATAATAATAATAATAATAATAATACATTTAATTTAAAGCGCCTTTCAGAACACCCAAGGTCGCTTGACAGAAAATACGTTCAGAAAATACATTAAAACAGCAATAAAACCATAATAAAACGCAACGAAGAAAAAACAAAGACAGAGACAGTTCAATAAAATCAGAGGTCATAGGAAGATTTAAACATATGTGTTTTGAGTTTGGTTTTAAAAGGGTAAAACTGTCGATGTTCCTGATGTCTGGGGGGAGTGAGTTCCAGAGACGGGGAGCAGAGCGGCTGAAAGCTCTGCTCCCCATGGTAGTGAGACGGGCAGAAGGAACAGCAAGATGGATGGAAGAACAAGATCCGAGAGAACGGGAGGGGGTGTTAATAACTATAAGGTCTGAGATATGTGGAGGAGAGAGGTTATAGATGGCTTTGAAGTTATGGAGGAGAATTTTGAAGATGGACCTGAATTTAACTGGGAGCCAGTGAAGCTGTTGGAGAACCGGGGTGATGTGGTGAAAGGAAGGGGTTCTGGTGATAATACGGGTTGCTGAATTCTGGACCAGTTGCAGTTTATGAAGGAGGGGAGACCAGAAAGAAGTGAATTGCAATAGTCGAGACAGGAGGTGATGATAAAGCACCAAATCAGGACCAAGGACCTTCACACAGTAAACATTCCAGTACAGGTCAGGTCATTAAGCCAGTCAGTAAAAATTTTCCTATATAAGGAACCCACCAGGTTGCATCAAGTCACTGACTAGTGTCAGAGTCTTTACAGCAATCCTCATAGCAAGCAAGCATGCAGTGACAGTGGAGAAGAGAAAAACTCCCTTTTAACAGGAAGAAACCTCCAGAGGATCCTGACTCAGTATAAGCAGCCATCCACCATCCAGCACAAACACAGACTAGTGTTTCTATGGTTACATTGTGATTTCTTAGTAAATATTCTATTTGGTGAAAGATAAACTTTATTGTATTTATCCTAGTGAATCTATAATTAAACGGGTAAACTAGTAGTAGCACATTCAATATCAAAGAAAGTAAAATGTTATTACCAGGAGAGGGAGAATGTTTAAGTGGTTAGCAGCAGTGTTCAAGCCAATGGCACCACAGCTCAGCAGAACATCGTTGTAGCTTCTTCTGGGGAGAAAAACACTTAGAGAAAAAATAAAGTTAACAGCTGAAAAAGCAGGAAATAATACAGTTAAAGAGCAGATTGTAGAAGAAAGTAGTAGAGTGTGGAAAGTGGTTAGTATGTCCTCCAGCAGTCTAAGCCTATAGCAGCATAACTACAGAGATAACTCTGGATAATCTATCCTATTTAGATGGAGGCATGTTGGAGGCAGGGCAAGGGAGAGCCGTCTTTACCGACTGTACACTCCACCTCCCTCTACTCCCCCACTTGTCCAGATTTAGGCTAACATCAGATTTTAACCATAGGCCCTATCAAATAAATATGTTTTAAGCCTATTCTTAAAAGTAGACTGGGTGTCTGCCTCACGGACTAAAGCTGGGAGCTGGTTCCACAAGAGAGGAGCCTGATAACTAAAAGATCTGCCTCCCATCCTAATTTTAGATATTCTGGGAACCACCAGTAGACCTGCAGTCTGAGTGAAGTGCTCAGTTAGGAACATATCAGGTCACTTATGTATGATGGAGCTTGATTATTAAGAGCTTTATATGTGAGAAGAAGGATCTTAAAATCTATTCTGAATTTAACAGGTAGCCAATGTAGGGAAGCTAAGACAGGAGAGATATGATCTCTCTTTTTAATTCTCATCAGAACTCTTGCTGCAGCATTTTGGACAAGCTGAAGACTTTTAACTACATTCTGTGGACTTCCTGAGAGTAATGAATTACAGTAATCCAGTCTTGATGTAATAAATGCATGAACTAGTTTTTCAGCATCACTCCTGGAAAGGATGCTTCTAATCTTAGCAATATTCCGAAGGTGGAAGAAGGAAATCCTACAAACCTGTTTACAGTGGGATTTGAATGACATGTCCTGGTCGAAGATAACACCAAGGTTCCTTACTTTGTTCTCATAGACTAATTTAATGCCGTTCAGGTCAGGTGATTGACTTCAGACTTGTCTTGATTTAAAAGCAGAAAGTTTAGAGCCATCAAAAAAATTGTTGTCTTCAAGACAAGCCTGTAATCTAACTAACCAATCAGGTTCATCAGAGTTAATGGATAGATATAACTGATTATCGTCAGCATTAGGGATGGACGATATAGAAAAAAAGTATATAGATAAACTTGTTTTTGTATTGATCGATATTGAAAATTATTGGAAAATATTGTAGAAAATATTTTACGTGCACCCCTGGCCATTTTATTTTTGGCATTTTGATTTTTTTTCTCAACCTCTTCTCGCTGCAGCATCTTTAGGACTGCCACAAACGACTATTTTAGTAGTCGACTAATCATGTCATTCATAAAAGTATAGCTTATTGCACCAGGATGCTCTAATATACCATCATTAGCTTCTAGTCTGAAGTGCGATCAGATATGTGTCATCTAATAATAAAGACAAGACGATAGCTTACCAACAACTATAATTAACTTTGTAACCTGTTAATACAAATGCTGCAGTCAGGTGGAGATAGGCACCTAAAACCAAAAATGACTTGAGTTCACCAGAGTCATGGTGGCAAGGTTAAAGAGCTTCATCTTCCAATCTTAACTCAGGAAATAGCAGGACACACTAAGGTAGCCTCTGTAGCACGGCTGGTCCACACGTCAGCAGTCAGGGACCATCGACAGCTCTGAGGGTCTGCTTTACCATAAAGATAAAAGATATTAAAGTTAGTTTATTTACCAGATTAAAAATTCTGTTATATCTAATAAAGTAGGTTAAGATTTAACACAAAGAGCATGTTTTATGCTTTAAAAAATATTAGTTTCTTGATTGTTCAGTCAGCAACCTTTTTATTTGATCATAAATGCATTTTATTCTAATGTTTATTTTATTTGTGTCCAGAGAGAAACACACACACACCTTTAAAGTTGTTTATTTCTTCTTTTCCATCATGATGGTGAAGTGGGATCGGCCTAGTACAGGGGTGGGCAATTATTTTTTCCATGGGGCCACATGTGAAACAGAAAATATTGTGGAGGGCCAGGCCAAAAGGCTGAAGTCAATTATGCATAATATTAATGGTATTTCTGTATAAAAAGCAGTAAATACCATCGTTTTTTCAAGCTGGTAAGAGTAGACTATATGTTATAAATGAGCAAAAAGGAAAAAGTGAGGTTGGCTTACAAAAATGTGATTTATTCAAATTTCGCAAGGCAATGCTAAACAAAGTGCGCATTTGGTTTTTGTTAAACATTTGTGACTTATATTAGTTAACAGTTTTAGTCACATTCACTCCAAAACACATTCTGAGTTTCAAATATTGCTGGAAAGAAGACACACAGTATTGTCTGTAAAATAAAATCACTGAACTGTGATCTTGAGAAAGAGGTTTAAAAAAAAGTGTCCCAGTTCACTGCTAGTTGCCTACATTTGTGGTCCAAACACCTTATTTTGTGTTTTTAAGCGATTTTTTTGTTATTCAGTGAGAGAAATCTAGTCTCTGCTGGGCTTTAACGAGTGCATCAAAGTCAGGTTGAATGTCTGAGGTGGAGATGCGAAGCACAGCTGACAAATGATCATCAGTGAGAGAGGATCTTTACCTGGATTTTGTAAACTTCATCATTGAAAATGTTTGTTCACAAATGTAGGTAGAGCCGAAGAAATCCAACATCTTCTGAGCATGTCTCCTCAGGTTTGGAAAGTTCTCCTCCTTAAGAGAAGAGTAGAAATCCAGCAGAGATCCTGAATCTCTGCTTTCAAGTCCCAAACCCTCTTCAGCAATTTCCCCAGGCTGAGCCATCTGACAGCTGTGTGGAGTCCTCCAAAAGAGCGACAAACTGTCTGTGATTCATTGCCCGTGCCCTGATGAAGTTTATTATTTTAGTAACAACATCAGTAACATGGTTGATTTTTAGCCCTGACTTGCACAACACATGTTGGTGTATAATTCAATGCAAAAACACCTATTTTTGATCTGCATCGATTTCTGTCACTTTATCTTGCATGCGCAAGGGCGTCAGTTTGTTGTCAGAATTGCTGGGGACAATAACCATACACTTGAGTGGGGTTTAAAAATTGCTGGGGACAATAAAGTAGGCTAGCACAGGGGTTGGCAATCCGCGGCTCTGGAGCCGCATACGGCTCTTCCATCCATCTGATGCGGCTCTCTGTGCTTGTAGAATAATGAATGGATATTTAAATAAAATGCTTTATATTTTACTGCATTAATTTTACATCTGTATGCCAATTCTATGTAAAGATTGTCTGCGTAAACCTGAACAGGTCCAACCCGGTCTTACTGTGAGACCGGGTTGACGGGTCACGCTTGTGCGTAATCATATAGGCGCTTTCTGAGCTGAAGAGGATGTGAGATTCTGGGATTCTCCTCAGACGGCTCCTGGATGTGTCGCCACACTGGAGACAGGAACAAGCACTATTCAGCCAAAGTTTCATAATCAGGGAACATTTTCTAAGTGACAAGTCTCTCTGAGAGACAGGGTTTGGAAAATACTTGCTTCAGTGGGAGGAACCTTCCTGCATGCGCTCTGGTTCTCTGGGTGGCTCTGGGGTTAATCAAGTTTAATTGTTTCTCTTTGCAACAATCTTCACAAGAAGGCAAAACAGTTAAACGGCAGGTTACAGATATTTCCATTTGACTGTTTATTTTGACAGATGAACTCAAGGATGTTGCTTGGTTTGAAAGAATTACCCCGACGCAC